CTGCGGTTTTTTTTTTTTTATCCTTGCGTACTATATAGTACTATATTACTTGTAAATAGCTTTAATATTATAATAATTTAGCATAGGCCACCTTTTTTTTAACCTACATACACTTAGCAAGCTTAACTAGTATATAAATATTCTCTCTTCTCTTTTTCTCCAACTATCTCTCTCTGTCTCTCTATTACTTCTGTTCTCTCTGCCGATATTGCTAATATCTTCGAATATAAGCTACTTGTAAATAACTAAGGCGCTGGAAAAACCTCAGACTACTAATATTTCAGCCTTTGATAATTCTATAGACCCTATTACCCCTATTGCCCAAACGGGCCCTCCTGTTTTTATTAGTTAGCGACGACTTACAATAGCCGATATTCTCTTTATATTTATATTCTTTTTCTTTCCTTCTCCAGCAATTTCTTTTGTATCTAGCCTAATTTAGGTGACTACAGGTATAGCCCTTACACTACCACCACAGTATCATGCTCTTTTGTAAGATATTCCATCTATTTGCCGCGCATCTGAGGCGCTATCGGCCTGAACGTAGAATTTATATATTACTAATCAGAAATTGTGTGTGCGTGCGGGAAGTGGCAATATGAAATTTTTGAAAGCACGTGATTTTGTCCACATGCTCGATTCAGTCCGCCGTAGTCCTGTACTGGCACATCGGCCACTTTTGATGTTCGAGTGCTTTTCTGTTACGACTGTTAGAAGTAGATACCCAATGCGATTTGTATTCCGTTTCTCTAATGATCTAAAGCAGTACTGTTGTAGTCTGAGTTTCCTTAGAAAGAAAGATTCCGGAAGGATAGGAAGGTACGTTTTACGACGAGGGTTGGCTGAATCGTTCAGCGAAACGGGGGAGAGATATATATTCTGAATTGTCGGTGGACCAGAGGGTCTGCAAATTGATTCAGCGTTATATTATTTGGAAAAACCCCTTACGCAAACGCACTAAGTCTCGCCCGCGGAATCTTTCGAGCTGGTTAGAGATTGATTCTGGCTCATACTTTGTAGGTACTTTTAGGGGCGATGGAAGACAAAGTACGGATGGGAGAGTCGGGGTTCTCGCCCATAGGCTAATTGGGCAGGCATGGTTTTCTGAATCGAGTGACGAGAATAAGATCTCTTTTCTACGATGCTTGTGGATAATTAAGATAGCTAGACGACTTTAAGAAACGTAAGAATGCTCTTACACTACGGGACTGATGGATAATAATACTGGTAGCAGTAGTAGTATTGGGGTAATAGTAATGATAATAATCGATGGAGTGGAGTAGTAGTGGTTAGAATAAATAGAGGGGGGTTTAGGCAGTAATAGACGGGATAGTGGAGAATAGTAGGCGCAGGGAAGAGCGATTCAAGAGAACGATAGAGCGAAAGGTTAGACGGGAGGGATAATTGATCCATAGTAATCCCGGGCAGGGTTAATGGGGTATATAGCAATCCCGGCCGGGGTCAGTTAGCTACCATAGTAATCCCGGCCAGAGTCAGGTCGGAGGATGACGGGAGAGGATCGGGGGGCTTCGGAGGATGGAGCGGCCATAGAAATCCCGGGCAGGGTCATGTTTATGTCAGAAAGTGCGCGACGGCACGGGGCGCACGAATGGCGTATCTAGGGATTCCGATGGTGGTAAGGTGGATACCAACGTGGTGCATAAGGATGGGCGGCTGGAGAAAATTGAATGCGACGGTATGGACAGCTTTGACGAAGACGAACAACGCAGACGAGTGGTCTGGCTGGGCTGGCATACTATCGGCACACCTACGGACTGGGGGAGCACTACAACGCCTTCAAGGAAGATTGAGCCTATGTCCGCGAAATTTCTTTAACAAAGCGCCCTTTGCATCCCGGCCTTTCATTTCGACTGTCACTTCAGCGTCTAGGAGCTGGCCCTTGAAATCCAGGGCCGGACTCCAAAATCACCTATATTTCCCATTTACTTTTCCCCTTTTTGGGTCACACAAATGCACAGGCACATTTCTAGTCACGTCGACGCCAAATAGAGACTCTGTCATGGATCACCCCATTCTTATCCTTGCCCACAGTGTGCGTGCGCTCTGGCTGCCAGTGCGCCACTCTCTCCAGGCCCGCCTTGCTGGGCTCTCGCAACGGGTCCGCATCGACAAGACCCTTATCGTTGTAGGAGATCTTCTCACCGGGGTGGCTCAGGTGCTCCATGTAGGCCTCGGAGGGAGAGGCAAATGGAGGGCCGGGGGCCAAGGGGTCCTTATGACGAGGAGATTCCAGACAGATCAGATTGCCTGCAGGTGAGGGAGCAAGGAGCTCGGTGTGTCGGAGAGCCCATTTAGGACGGAGCTCTGGGTTCAGAGCACAGAAAAACTAGATGGTTGTTAGAAGGAAAGACCAGAAAGACCAGAAAGATCCAGGATGGGTCGGAAATGGCACATCAAAAGTCCAAAGACAGAGTGAAGCATCTTGCAGGTCCCTCTGTAGGACGCAGAGTACAAGTGGAGAGAAAATGATAGCAATGACGGAATGGAGCCCAACAGCGTCAGTGAGTATACATACCGTGTAATCATAAATGACATCAAATCCATTTCGAGGTACTCCAATTTCCTTCAACCAGGTATCATCAAAGAAATCCCCCTGGACGAAAGTGACCTTCCCTTGCCCTACTTTCTGGTCTCGCACGCGGTACCAGCTATGGTTCTCCTTCTCCTCCTTCTTGCACGCTTCGACAGCCGCGGCGCTGCACTCCAGGCCATAGGCATCATACCCAAAGCTCGCGAATAAGAGTACGTCGACTCCACGTCCACAGCCCGGCACCAGGGCCTTCCGCCTCTGACCGTCCTGGGCGATGGGCCCGCCAATGGTACCAGCTCGCTGGACCAGGGTGTCTTCTAGCGCCGGGTTGGGGAAGCCACGATCCCAGGGCAGATTATCACCTTTGTCCCAGAGGGAGGCCCAGCCCTCAACATACTTGTCCCCTTGATATTTGGCAAAATGTGCTTGAACATCAATGTTGGTAGGAGTCGTCATGGCTGTGGGGTGGTGATGGAGTGCCCGGGAAGTTGGAGGTGGCCGCTTGTTTAGATATTCGATGGGAGGTGGGCGGATGCGCCTTCTTGCATTCGATTTATATGCTGCATGTCCACACCCTGATTAGAAATAACCTCAGGAGAGAAAGTAAGTATTGATTCGTAATAAGGTTGGACGAAAGTCTCCACTCGATCGCCCCCACCTCACTACTATATTAATGTACATTGTAATTTCAAAGTTGAATCACACATTCTCCTGAGAGATTGTATAGTAACAAGTTATACACAGGAAGACCAGCTAGCCACGCAACTCCATGCGTAGGACTGGGCCACTGTGCTCTTCATTCTCAAATTGGATTTCCGGACATTTAGAAATTAACGGTGTCTCGATTTAACTACGGGTCGGAAATGTTTACTCCAGTACCGTACCCCACAATTTATGATGTAAACGTTATATAGCGTCGGCTGGATCACTAATCCTATTGACATGCTAAACTTCGGGTACGTATTGTCGAGCGGTGTAAACGTCTATTTCATTACGGGAAATGCTTTGGCCAGGAACCTAACTGTTCCATAGAAGTTGTTGCACACTTTATACACCTTTCAACTCTGCTCGAGGTGGATTCTGCTTCGATTTCTCGCCCTCGCCTCCAGCCTGCAGACTCATCAAATCCTAGCAGTCACCAAATCTGTACTGTAGAAAGACGACTCATCCATGTATGGGTATTTGACGAACACATACGAGCCAGAAAAGACAGCGAAAATGAGTTTTGTCCAATGCCTTGCAGAGACATTGAATTCAGGGCCTTCGACAACCTCACTCTTTGGGATGGTTCTTCATCCTGAGCGCCCTCAGGAAGTTTACAGGCCTTGTCATGATGCGTCTGAATATGTTGCGGATTATTTCACGTCAAGTTTGCGTATTGCCTGCCTTGCCTATAACAACCGTTGTATCGGCGCTAGTGATGCCTTCAGCACATTCCTTGGCAGTCAATCGCAGCGAGCCTTTCTCATCCGTTAACCCAGAGGCTTGATGCGATCTGGGCGAACTCCGTGCCAAAGAGAAAACCTCAGCCTTTACAACGATCATCCCTCTAGTGTCTCCGCCAGGATGAGGGATTTTGGCGCCACGCCATAGTCGATCCATCTCGGATAGCACTTGGACCCGCACCAAAATTGGCCAAAACATTTAGAGAGGTTCGGCCATGGGTAGGCACTGTTCAGGGTCATGTTGCTGCACTCTTTTCTTCCAAGTCACCTCAGTGAAGACAGCTGCTATATCCGGAAAGCTAGCTGCATCAGTTGCAACATTCGAGCGATCCAGCAGATTTTCATAGATATCATTGGACGTTAGCTACATCAATGACGTGCCGTCAAGAAGGCTCCGTCGTTTCCAGAGCCCAACCGGCTTGATTAGATAAACGCCCAACCCCCACTCTCAAGAACTCCAGACAGCACGTCCCATACTCTACCCCGACACAAACAATTGTCGCTAAACTATTCGAACTGCATGAGCGCCTCTACGGCATATAAAACTGGAGGTGCGTTACCGGTTGGGTGTATCTAAATCTTTCATCAGGGCCATGACTCTTCGACAAGTTCATTGACCTTTTTTGTTCCACCTTATGATAATTCAATTGCCACCACGCACGTCGTATATACGATGGGGGAGCCAATAAGTCTTGCTTCAGGGCTTTGACTCTGGCCACCTTCGCACTCCAGTCTAGCATTACGCTCTATGATACAATAAAAAGCTTCCACTCTCATCTGAAGCGCGTATGCGATCTCCGAGAGGAATTAGAGGCGCTAAGTGAAGTTTTGGGTCCCCTCACCGAAATAATGAACACTGATACCGACTCGGACCTCGCGGCGTTGAAACTTCCTTTACTACGGTGTGGTAATGCCTGCAAAGAATTCAAAGGGAGCTATTAAAATGCTCGTCAAGATCAAGTGAAAGGCGGACGAGCTTTCGAGATTGGGCTCGGCATAGGTACATGGGAGATGATATCGATGGGTTCAGGCGACTTGTGGCTGGAGATAAATTGACGATCAACGTTGCTCTGACAGATGCAAATCTGTAAGTTTAATCTGTACCCGGCAGCATACCAACCACCCGTTACTCTGGCGATATTAACCCTGTCAGTCGAAAATCCAGCGCAACTGCCGAAAGCCTTGCATCCTACCAGAGTCTAATCGAGACTGCCAAGGCCGAGCTTGAGGTTCATCTGGAAGTTATTGATAGCAAACTTGAGGCTATGCTGGGGCGAAACATGCCAAAGTCTGATATGGCTTCAACAAAGACTTGGCATTCTTTACTTTCCGGATTTCTTCATATTCACATTGGTTTGTCTGTACACTCTATAGATGGACACTTAGGTCTCGCTTCGGAATGTTACGTCCGATTCGCTACATACTAGCAATGGACATGAAATCATTTCTTGATAATAGCAAGACACGGCGTCAGTCCTGTTTTATTGGCTATCACACTACCCTGTTAGTATGTATGGTACTGTACTGTATTGATAGATATATTATTACATACAGTATGAAGATGGACTCAGACGATGGAGGGTCGTCAAGACGAGGGACTTTCAGACTAAAAAAAAAAAGCCTTGAGCGAAGTGGATTACATACCCCACTGCTCTGCAGGCCAATTAAAGTGTACAAGAGCCATCCCTAATATGCAGTTGACAAGGTTGCAATGGGCAGGAGGGTCATGCAGAAACCCGCAGGAAACTGGGGGCTCGGGCTGACTTGCTGTTTGTTTATTGTCTATCCTTAGGGACTGTTCTCGTCCCTTCATTATCCTCTCAATTCTTACTCCCATCCTTCGGCCTCCATGCCTTCATCTGCGCTGCTGTGTGACGTCTAAATCCATCGGAATGCTGCCAGACATGAATATCGGCTGGAAGCTGGAGGTGGGCACCACGGTCACATTTATCAGTGCTTTTATCGTTGTAATGCTACGGACGCTTGCGCGCACTCTATATGCCACTCTGGGATGGGATGACTATCTGATGCTGTTTGCTGTGGTAAGAAACCATTCCCTCCTTTCTCCCACTACGCAGACAGGACTTTGCATGGACTGACAGGTGATGATTGACTAGGCGCAAGCCTTTGTAGCAACCATCTGCGACTACATCGCGGTCAACGGCCTGGCTAGCAACGATGCACATCAACTTATCCCTTCACTGGGCGGGAAACCAACCCTGATGAACTACCTCCAGGGCAAGAGATACTTCCTGGCCCTTCCCGTGTTCCACGCTGCCTGTCTCACTTTTGTGCTCGCATTCAACATCTTCTCAGGCGTCACCTGTGTGCTGCCGCCCGCCGGTCCTCTGACGGCCGACGTGGCCAACGAGGTCTTCTTGCACGGCAACCTGGACGGCGCCCTCTGATTGTCGACTGTTTCAACAACCCAGCCTATCGCACTAACATGGTCGAGAGCGTCCGCTTTCTATCTTACGTCGGCGGCTCTCTCCCCGAAGCCGTCGGCGATGCGCTATCCACCCAGGTCAAGTTAATATCCGTCATGTGCACTTGTGAGACCCTCCTATTCCCCCTCGAGGTGCCCGATAGCCCTGCCGACTGGCAGTACGTGACAATCAGCCGCTTCTTCGGGCACATCTTCCGCCCAGACCGTGATGGGCTCTCTGAGCTGGTCCTCGTCCGTCAGCCCGACTACGAGCAGTTCCAAGGCGCCTTCTACACCTTTCCTGAGCGTCAGGAGTACGCCTTCAGCTACCTCTTCGCGCAGCATCCGCACCATCCAGAGTCGTGGGTCTTCCGGGCCCGCACCGACGACATCATCGCCTTCACGACAGCAGAAAAGCTGAATCCCATCGCCATGGAGAGCGTGATTGTGGCCAGTCCCAAGATAAAATCCGCCGTCATCCGTGGCCAGGGCCAGTTCCAGGCCTCCCTACTCATCGAACCTTACATCTATCCGACCACCCCTGCAGAGGAGCGATTCATCCAGGATATCCAGTCGAGTCGCGACTGTCCAGCCCACGGCCGCATCATGAAAGGCTTCGTCATGCTCACGAAGCCGGACAAGCCCCTCCCGCGTGCGGGAAAGGACACCGTCCAGCGCCATGCGGTGTTCAAGCTCTACGCGGAAGAGTTCCAGGCCTTGTATGATCGGATGCGGCCACATGTGGAGAGCGAGACCAGTACGATCGCGTCTCCCCAGCCATTGGCAAAAGGCGCATCCTCAGCTGTGATACCGTCGACTTCCCTAGATCAACAGATCGAAGAGGCCCTCGATCGTCTCCTCCCAAGTGCGATCGAGAAAGCCGTACACGTGATGCTAACACGACTCCTATCGGGTCTGAACGGGGCAACAACCACTTCTTCTAATCCTGCCGTCCCGTCTCCAACAACCGTTAAGAAATCCATCAAGAATGGGATCCACTCTGGCCCTAACGATCTCAAAAAGTTAATCTACAACCAATTATCCGAGAACCTGGACACAGAGAGACTGAATGATGATTCAGATCTGTTTCAATTCGGGCTTGACTCGCTGCAGGTCGTTGAACTGGTGAAGATGCTGAATGCGTATCTGGAGGAATGGCGGCCCAATGTAGACCGCCTCGAACGAAAGGCTGTGTATAATAATCCAACTGTGAATGGGGTTGTGTCGCTTATGATGTGATGATTACTGTTTAAAGCAATCACGGGAGATATGTCGCAGGAGTAGAAATGGAATGTCTACATCAATGTACTATCAACTAATACTTCTAGAAGGGTTAGAAAAAGTTTGTCGGTTCTGTCACGAAGTATTATTGATTATAGATCTGTGATATATATTATCCTTTTAGTTTTAATTATTTTAGATATTTGGCACGTTTACAATTCACCTCCCATTGACGTTCAAGCTCCAAACACCCAATTCCGAAGGTATTGTTCGTCACAGGACACCATCATCAAAGCTGGACGGAACAATCAGCCAGTTGTATAATCCACCGTAGCGTTCGTAAGAACATCATACGAGAACCCCGTTTGGGCTGGCTGATCGATGAACAAATATTCGATTCCTGGTTCCACGGCCAGGGATTGGCACTCGGGGAGTTCGAATCAAAGTTAGTGAGACGTGGTCCTGCCCCGGAGTACATCGACGAGATGGAACTTGCGCCGGGTCCGCCACCAAGGTAGATGGTCAGGGGTCGTGGAAGGGTCATGCTGCGATGGAGTATAGAAGAAGTAGATGTTGCTTGGGTGGGGAAAGGCGGAGGTGGGATTGGGAGGGAGGTGGATGTGGCCCGTGTAGGGCGAGGTGCAGAGGTTGGTCTGTAATGTTTAGATTGGTTAGAGAAGGATGTATGGAGAGGTAGTACCTGTTTGAAGGAGAGGGAGGCACCGGGGATTTTCCATTGGCTGTGGGTGAAGTCTTGGAGTTGTGCGAGGCAGAGAGTAGATAGAAGGAAGATGGCGAGAAGAGCCATTTTGACGGTGATGATGGACTACACAGGAGGTACGTTAGAGGTATTTATATCTACGAGAATCAATGGATGTTATGGTAGAGGATGGTATGAAGAGCTCGTATCTTCTAACTGGAAATGGATGGCTCTATGAGTCTATGCTAGGCTTGGTGCCTAGTACAACTCCGTAAATGGGGCTCAAATCTATGAGGTCATTAAAAACTAAGATGGATGATATTGACACTGATTGGTCTATATTACATGACTATAGGCATCTTGTAAATGTGAGACTGCCATGGTCCTAGTTTGCTTTAAGGGTATTGAAATCTGTTGCAATTAGGGTCTACAATATTATACCTAATTGCCACGGACCCACCTGGGGCTCAAGTAAAAATGAACAGGTGTTGCAGTGCTATCCTTTAGAATTATGTGTGTAATTCTATGAGAGCTGGAATAATCGCTTTGTTGTTGATTATTGTGTTGACACCTCTTCAGTCCGGTTCGTTATTTCATATGATGTCCCAATATAGACTAGCTTTGTCCTGACAACTAACCTTAGCAACGGGGGATTTATTACCCAATTAGGAAGTTCGCCCAGCAGTCCTCAGTCATGATGATATTTAAACCACTTTGACCATGATTCTGAGCAATCCACACAATGGCGACTTCTCCAGTTCCAGATACTGATCCCGAGCAGGAATGCCTCTCGACGAACGCAGTAGAGGAAGAAAAATGGAATCACCCACGGTCCAACGTATTCAAAGTCCTGGCAACGTTTCTGAGTTTCCTAGTAATGGGGGCAAATGATGCTGCTTACGGAGTATGTACAGACATTCCTCTATTCATATTATAGCTAACATACAATAGCCCCTGATCCCATATGTAAGTCCACACTGCCAATCAGACCATAACTAACGAGTTAGCTCGAATCCTACTACAATCTCTCCTACACCATCGTGTCACTTGTCTTCCTCTCTCCACTTGTCGGATACACGCTGGCCGCTGTTCTGAGCCACAAAATCCACATCACACTCGGTCGTCGTGGCGTGGCCTGGATCTCCCCCGGCTGTCATATCCTAGCATACATCGTCAACTGTATCCATCCACCGTACCCAGTGCTCGTGATATCGTTCATCTTCGCCGGGTTCGGAAACGGACTGGCTGATTCAGCATGGAACGCCTGGATAGGAAACATGGCCAACGCCAACCAACTCTTAGGTCTTCTGCATGGTTTATACGGCGCAGGGGCGGTTCTCAGCCCCCTCATCGCGACATCACTAATCACCAGAGCCCACGTAGAATGGTACTATTTCTACTATATCATGGTATCCCCCCAAGTCCCCAATCGCCTGACAATGTTAACATAGATAGACCGCCTGCGCAACCATCGAGCTAATCTTCTGCGTATTATCATTCTGGGACTCCACCGCGACCAGCTTCCTCGCAACCCATGTCCAAGACGAGCAGGGTGGACTGCATCAAGCGCTATGGCAAAAACGTCACGCCAGAGTCACTTGGATCTGCGCGTTCTTTCTCCTCGGCTACGTGGGGATCGAAGTCGCGCTGGGCGGATGGATCGTCACGTTCATGATGCGTGTTCGTCAGGGTGAGCCCTTCGCGAGCGGAATGGCTGCTACGGGGTTCTGGCTTGGGATTACGTTTGGTCGTGTGGTGTTGGGGTTTGTTACCCCGAAGATTGGGGAGAAGGTTTCTATTGTTGTGAGTCTTCTTTTTTTTTTTATATACTTATCTATATCTAAGTCTCTCTTTCTTTTATGAGTATATGAGTAACGAGGATAGATATATTCTCTATGCCAAATGGTATGCGGTCTGATCCTCTGGCTCGTCCCGAACTTTTATGTCTCCATCGTGGCCGTCTCCCTACAGGGATTCTTCCTTGGACCGTTCTTCCCCGGCGTGGTCATCGTTGCTATGAAGCTGTTGCCGCGCTCAGTGCACGTCAGTGCGATTGGCTTTGCAGCAGCGTTTGGAGGCGGCGGGGCTGCGGTTCTTCCATTTGCCGTGGGTGCAATTGCCCAGGCGAAGGGGGTGCAGGTCTTGCTGCCGTTTGTTATCGGTTTGTCGGGGGGGATATTGCTGTTGTGGATGGGATTGCCTCGTATAAGATAAGATATTTAGCTTTGTGATGTGTTCATTTTCCTGTTTTCAAGAAAATCTTTACTGTCCCAGATTATAGATGTCCCACCCCTGGCCGACCTTCCAAATTGGTATCTGCCCCCCAACTTTGGAACTCGTCCAATTATAACCATCTCTGCTTCCTTACTATATGAATAATTTAGTCCACCAATCCAATATAACTAAATAAACTAATTCATCGTCCGTTTCAACATATCCCAATCGATCTTCGGTCCTGCAAACTTCTTCCGTCTGTCACTCCACATCAACAACACGAGAACGAAAACCCCCACCACCACAGCCGACCCACTGCTTAATTAGCATAGATATCCCATACTCCTTACGCACAGACAAAGAAAGAGGAGGGGAAAGGAGGACATACTAATTCATCTTCCCCGCCGACGTCGGCAACCTCATCGGAAAACACACGAACACCAACGTGAAGAGAAAACACGCCACGGAGAACGCATTGACCGCATACCCGTACCGTCCCAAATCGAATGGACGACGAGGCAGACGACCACGTCGACCACAGAGGAGAATCGCTTGTGGAGCGGTGTAGGTGAATGTCAGGAACATGACGGTTAGGTTCAGAATGGAGTTGAATGCGTCTGTGCTAGCGATGTAGAGGAGGCCATACATGAGGACGAAGACGGTAGTTAGGAAGATGGTGCGTACGGGAATGTGGAATTTAGGCGAGACGTGGTTCCAGTAGGAGGATAAGGGGAGGCCACACTAGTTAATAAAGAATTAGTTAGCTGGGGGGTATACTGGGTGGATGACTGACGTCGCGGGAAAATGCCCATGCAATTCGACTGCTTGTGATCCATTGGCTCGGGAGACAGGCTGTTCAATTAGTATGTATTGCATGGGCAGGATAGGAGACGAACTGTAGTAGAGAAGAACGAGATAGGCTTGGAGTGCCGTAGCGGCTTTTCTACTATGAGTGGCTTGATAGAATATCTCCAGCGAGGGAAAGAAGGCGTTCTGAACGGCGGTGATATCTTCGATACAGTTTATCATGACGATTGCACAGGGAATAGCTGTGACAACGCCTATGAGCATGGCGATGTTCCTAAGAGAGTCAGCAATAGCAACCCGAGTGTTGTCGGCGCTTACATCACCAGGGGAAGCTTGCGGCCTGGTCGAGGCATCTCTTCTGCTATATGCGTGACAGCACCGTTGCCTACATAGGCATACTGAGCGAGATTGATGCTCAGTAACCACGAGGGCACTTTGGTCCATCCGCTTGCCCCATGATATTCAGTAAGCATCTCGGGATGGTAGTGATTTCTTCCCATCACCAGACAAGTGATGATTACCATCAAGAACCCGAGGATAGAGAGAAACATGGCAGAATTGGCCAGACGATCCACATGCTTATGAGGGATGGCAAAGACGGGAATTACTAAGATAATCAGGATACCGGTGCAGACAAAACGAGCAGCACGTACAGCTCAACGCCATAGTCAAGACATAGCACAGATATACCTGCCACTGCTGCGGCGCAAAATGCGGATACCAGAAGGTTACGATGCCGAATGTCGAAGTCGCCACGATGATCGTCCCAGACGCGAGAGCCATCCACCACCCGAGGACGTTGCAGATGCCAACCAGGAAAGCAAGGAAGTTTCTGATCGAGTGCGGAGCCATAATATACGTGTAATGATATTGGCCCTGGACCGGTAAGCCAGTGGTACAAACGAAACAGAGAATGACTAACTCCGGAGGATGGAAATGCAGAGGATAATTCGGCGAGGCCTAGGAAAATTATCCATACTGTCACGCCCGAAATGACAGGCCCGAATACGGAGGTCGCTCCACCACCAAAGCGCAGCACAGGGCCAACGGCGGCTGAATATCCCAGCCACGCATTGGAGATACTGTTCAGTCAGCATTGTCTGTTGTTGAGTGAAAGACTTGCCTAAAAGCGAATCCAATTGCTCCCCCCCAGGAGAAGGATCGATCGAGTTCCGCTCGGTGACCCTGTGCTTCGAGGATAGCATCGTCAGATTTAATTACGTCCTCGGAGATGTTTTCCACCTGTGTGGGCTGTTCGTTGGGCTTGACATCAAGCGACATGTTTGCGAGGAACATGGTTGGGGACATAGGTGCAATGACCCAGATATATGAAGCCAAAGCATGTGCATTGATTCCACTTATCACATGCGGATGACAAAAGAGGAAGTTGTTACACTGAGACAAAGCAAGGACAAGGAATGTGCAGGACTCTTCGGACATATTGGATGGATGTGTTACGATATGGCTTGTTATTGTTGCTACAAATGTTGGTATGGGAGTATTGGGCTATTGCCTGTTACTCCTATATTCTGACTCATCCAAGCAATGGAATTCTTGGCCATTAGGGTAATACAATCAGGTACGAAGATTGGAATCGAGCTATGGAATACGAATTGTGGGCAAGGTATAGGACATCATGGTGGTACGGCCCTTGCATCGCGCATGTAAGGGAATCCAAGGCAGCAGAGTTCAAGTCCGTGGCGAGAACGGATCGGGGTGTCGGAATGGACCAATACTGAAGTCGTCTTCAGGGCTGAAACTGATAGGAAGTGCAGATGCGTGAATATCACAGGTTGATGATCCTGTAAACTCTAATATCATAATTGCCTATCTAGATTAAGCTGGCGCTTTCAGGGCAAGAGATGGATAGGAATGTATCCTAGCGGGCAAATGGTAGCAATCTGCTCACACTACTTGCTAGCCATTCTCAACGGTTATATCCTTATCTGATAGCAGCAAATCACAGATTCTGCTAGATCGAGGCCATTGAGGCTTATTTGTACCACTAACTGTTCCAAGTAATCCCATCAGAAGGAGCCGAGAACCTGAGACAAAAGTTCGGATGAAGCTCAAAAAGACCTGACTAATTAAACCTTCCGGCCATCAATCTCCTTGAATTTCAACGCCTTGATATCAACATCATTAATGGTTCGGACCTATCGTTGTTAGCGAACCTATATTCGACCGGTACAGACACCTCACGTTCACAGCGACAAGCTCCCCACCGTCTGGAGCTGACCCTTTCGCGTAGAGACTAGTACCACAGGTGGTGCAGAAATAATGGGGATAATTCTTCGATGCAAATCGATATTCCTACTAATGTCAGCCTCAACATACCGGAACCAAACCAGCAATCAGTTACCTTGAGTGCGCTGTCACTATGCTCAGACTGCAAATCTGCCGCCTTGGAATACACAAACAGATACCCGTTTCTGCTGCAAATCGAGCCTGTCGCTGCTGATCAGCTTGGCCAGTTCTGTGATGGGGGAATATATGGAAGAATATGTACAGTTGCATTGGATAACATCCTGCTGCTCCAGTGGAGGAGACAGCGACACGGAATATTTCACCTGCCCGCAGTGGCAGCTGCCTTGGTAGGATTTCTGGTCAGACATGTTGATGGTTCGGATTGAGACGTGAATAGAGATTTCGTGGCCCAAGTGGATTTATATACTGTCGACCAGAGTGGGTCGATTGGTGATACTAGCTCTCACGCGTATTCAGCTAACCGACATATACGTTGAAATCTTGGAACCTCGTATTCAACCTGACCCAACAAGTGGGGGGGCGTTCTAGGAGTGGTGGGATGGTCCGCTTTCCACTGATTTGCCAGATCACAAATCAACTGATTTTGAAACTGATAGAGAAATATCGGGATTTTGGATCCGATAACCCCGAGCGCCTTGGCGAGAGCTCAGCGTCATCTCCCTGAATCGTTCCCATTCCTTTAGGTAGAAGAGCGTTCATGAGATAGTGATCAAGGCAGGATGGATACTCTCAAATACGGTCATTAGCAGGCTACGTGCAAGCAGCTGATATAGTGTTCTTCTGCCCCCTTTTGCCTGAGTTATAGAGATCGTGTCCAGATCGCTTCAGAAACTTCATGTTACAACTAGAATGTGAGGACCTGTCAAATTCATGCTGAAAATGACCGCTACCGAGGCCGTTTACGGCTGCATTTCCACTTGTAACTCCCAACCCCCGCCGCACGTGCTTCGCACGACTAATACGTATTCTTTTACCCCCGAGCTTCGTTCTGTCACCGCCGTGAAGGTGATGTTGGTGCTCAACCTCGGCGGGAGTTCTTTCCCCTTCTACTCACAACCAAAGCGACGCCGAAAATGGCCTTCTCTGGAGCCAGACCCAGTTCCCCTCTAATCGGGTTCTGTATAAAATACATCTCGTCTTATATAATCCCTTTTTTCCCTTCCTCTTTTATCCTCCACTCACCTCAAGAACACCTGTCTCTCCAATCTCCAAGTTAATTATAGCATAAATCACTTCCGGAGCACAGTTCTCTTTCCCGAATATTATTTAAATCTTATTTTCTTAATAACACCTCTTCCCTTTCCCACGGCGAATCATAATAAGCACCAGTACTGGACCGACTCAATTCTCTGCGAAAAACCTTAAGCCGGACCAGAATATTTCCGAAGCCTCAAATGGGTTCCCCCAAATTATTAAGCCCAAACGTTTAAAGTCCTTGCTGTTGTTAATACCCAGAGGTGGTGCAGAAATAACCCACGACCAACAGATATTGCATCCAGTCGAGAGAGGACTACGTAGAGTATTTAATGCCGGAGAACCAAGCGATTTATATAAACTTTTTTAATTAGACATACAAGTCCTTGTGAGAGAAGGCATTTTAGTTGTATAATAAATACTATTAATACCTTTATTAATATTTTAGCCCCGTTCGCCCGGCGTTGCGTGAATGGCAGAGTATATAAACAGCTATAAGTACACTAACATTTTTAGTCCCTTAAGACCAGTATAGCAGTTTCTCGAGCATGTCTTCCCTGCCAAGCGCAAGCTTTACAGGCGCATGAAAAAGAAAAGCATACTAAATATAGATATATTTGTATTATCTACCGCTATTACTAGGTGCATTTAAGATTTTTCTATCACGGGGTATAATTATTTAATTTATTACAACCTAGCACTAGTCCGGTATCACCGGAACTCGACCCGGTGTCTTCTACAGAAAGCCACTATAGTTAACAATTCGTCTCTGGGAAAATGTATACGTGGCCAGATCTTCCAGAGCGACCTCCCAAACATGATAAATAGATTAAGCAACCATGACGTCTGCGCCTGCGGCATATACAGAGGACCGGTGTGGGTGGTCCAAGTGCTGCTCTGGTCGAGTTTAAAGTGTTCTTCGAATCGTGCCGGATCCCAGTGTGGATGGTTGATATTTGCTAAGAGGATTGTCCCCTTGGGAATAGTATGATCCTGATATTTAATGTTTGCACCTGCCATGCGGCAGAGAACAGTCGTCGCCACAGGACACAGGGGGAGCGTCTCTTTGATCAGCGCGCTGATGTAAGGCATGTGATGTTCTCTATCAAGAGTTGTCGTGCGGTTGTTCCCAAAGACGCGAATTACCTCATGGTGTGCGGCTGTTTGGGATTCGGGGAATATGGCTAGATAGCGGATCATGACAGTCAGAGTGCTGGCGGTTGTTTCAGCGCCAGCTTCGGGCACAGCTGTTGACATTGGATTGAATATGTTAGACTATGCGACAGGAAAGACTACCACTGGCCAAAGGCTTATCTTCTCCTCCAGAACATAATCTCAATAATTGAGCTCCATGAGATCTTGATAAAGAATCCTGGGGCATGACCGTGCGCTGTACTTTTTTTTAAGATATTTCCAATACCTCATCTTAGCACTGTGCATCTTCTCAGCCATCCACTTGGCCTTAGGCCATGAGGGGAACAAAAATTAAGGCAGCCAGTTCAATGGCGCAAATACATTAATCAAAAATACTCCCGGTCGAAAAATAGTAGATCACATACGCATGTTCCCATACACAACACGAACCTCCTGGCAGTCCTAATTTGAGAATGCGAAGGCCGTATGCCGATGTTATAACAATAGAGAAAGTCGTTTGTGAATGTACATGTAGAAGCAAGTTCTACTATTTTTGCCTGCTACGCGGGACAGATCAGAGAGCAGCTGCTTGATTTCAAATCCTTGGCTGGGAATGAATCCTGCTGATGCCCGAGGACTTAACAGCTGACGTTTCCATTTTTGACTGTATGTTATGGCAAGCATGCCTTCCCTGTGAAGACAGAACGCTTGGGAAATTAGCAGTGGCACCTTGTCTGAGGTAGCAGCTGCCTGGGATTTGTTACTTTGTTGATTCTACCCAGATATATATGTGATTGGCGCAAGCACTTGCTCACATCTCCCGTGGTCGGGCGGGCAAGTCCAGTTCGATCCCAATCAAAGGTCAGCCCGTGGTCCGGGGATACCAGCCATGCTAGTCTTGGGATTCCGCGCAGCGAACAGCAGCAGATATGAGTTAAAAAAGCGAAAATACAAAGCCAACAAAGGTAGAAGGCTTCCACAAGACAGCTACCACTGCAGGAGGAAGCTGTATGCCGAGGGCGTTCAGATTGTACAAGTTGAACAACGACGCATTGCCTGTATGGACCAGCAGATTAGCAACCACACCGGGCCTATCAGGGTTTGGATGACTTGGTGGGGGCTGTATGAGGAGGATTGCAAATGCTTTAGCTCTGTCAGCCTTTATGGATTCTTTTTAATTCTCGAATATTGGTCGGTCCGATAGGTACGACAAAAGCCTCCGAGGAGTTGTACAATCGACCCCGACACAACGCAGATGTTACATTGCTTGGCCAATGCTTGGTATCTGCTCGTCCCAATCAGAGCAAAAGCCTGCATTCCGGGGAGTCGCGAATCAGTAAATGACAGTTGTCAGGGACAGAAGTAACTGGTTACTTGACAAGCTTCATAGACCCACAGCGGCTGGATTCCACTGGACGCTCCCGCGACGCTTTACGGGGCTGGCGCCTGATCGGCAAAGCAAATCGGCATGGTATCATACCTGAAATCAATACAGTACGTGTCCCGTATATGGTAACTATGAAAGTGGTAATCATAATATACTATATTATAATACCGATAGAGTAGGTGTATCACACATTCAGCCGGTTCCAGGATCACGAACAAACAGACAGAGGATCTACCAGCCTTTTAGAAGCCTCCTGTGCCCTAGATTTCCATGTTGTTCAACGTCGATTCAGCCTATGAACATTTTATTCCACTTTCTAGTCTGGGTAATGCCTCCGAACACTTTAATATACTTTGCATTGCATATCTTTCCGATACTCCGGTTCTGCCATGATTCAGCTCTGGCTGCGATAACCAGCCATGGACATATCAATCAGAACCGAGACCAATGGGTATCCGCATCCAAGGTGGGCAAGTATCGGAGCCAGCTCAGGTCTGGGCGTTGATAAAGCCTGCGTGATTTGTTCCACGGCCAGGAAGGAAAGAATCCTATCGTTGGATCTACATCGTAGAAGTGTACCCAAAACCTCTAAGGGTGCAATCTCATACTCTTAGTCTAAGCAAGTCGGCAACAGGCATTAGGCGTTTGCTTGTCTGAGAGTTCAATCTATTTTAGAACTTCTGCATCTCAGCTTCGGTTCTTTATCAAGTCCTGATAAAGATCTGGATATACAGTTACAGCCTATCTCTCGACTGCCTCTGTCCATCCCGATGGGCATAGCTGTAATGCAAGTCCTCTTGAGCCAAGTCCGCCCGTATAGAGTAGTTCGTCTCGGCATCTTCTAGAACCGCCATATCCAAGACTGCTGCCGCCATGCCCTCGGTAAACGTCCCCAATCGAATGGCGCGTATGGGATAGTAATCTGGGATAGACCGCAGTAGTTTCGCCCGGGAGGTCCTCCCGCATTGGCAAATACTACCGCGAAGGTATTCTCATATGTGCGTGCTGTGAGAATACTGTCTAGAAACAGGGACTCGGCGCAAGGATTCCATCGATAACCTGCATCAGACGCCCCGCTTCGCATCCAATATTGTCAGCACAATGATGATTTTGGCACCTTGGTAGACAAGCTCGCCCAGGTTTCATGGAAAGCCAGATCCCAACAGACCAACAAGCCCATGGGACCTAGCGGGGGTTGGACAACCTGGTGGAGTGTATTGCCGACGATCAAAGGTGCTTGCGCTCGGTAGGGCCCCAGAGGTTCTTTTTTGTATAAGAACCCAGGATCTCTCCAGTGTTGGAGATAAAGTAGGTAAGATTCTCCTGCATTAGTTTATCTGATGATTGTGGTGTAGTGTCTGCAATGGTTTGAATAATTAAGCCGGGCACTATACAGATGTTGCATTCCTTGGCGAGTGCTTGATATTTCTGCAAATAAGCTTCCTATTTAGCACATAAGGGTACAAATCTGGGGTTATCTGGGGTCCAATTTATCAGGTGGAATTCCGGTAATACGACCAGATGACGCCATTGTACTGCAGCATCACGGATAAATTTAACAGCTTTGGCAAACTTCTCCGCAGGGCGGAGGGGCCGTCGGAAGCGTTCGAAGTTAGATGGGAGTTTCCTGACTGTTGACTCATAGACCCTAGTGCTAAATACGAGGCTTACCTTCACATAGAGTTGAATAGTGGCGATCTTGTAGACGGGAGCCATGGTCTCCACGAACACGCGCTTGTATAATATGAAGGATATAGATCGTTGCATGCTTTCTTGTTTTAGAGGATTTTGTAATTCATCCACCGTAAGACAGGATAAATACTCGGTCAGCCAGGATAAGCCGAGGTTCAGTACTGGATAAGTGCGCAATAGCCACAAGCACATGCTTGCCTTCTGTCGGCTCATATTGTGTCTCAGTTTATTCGTCGGCTTTCACGTAGCCAGACTGCGCCGCAACTAGGGCACGGTCTAAGGCCCGCCAACTGGCGATCACAGCAAATGGAAGAACACCTAGTCGTCTATCTACATTGTCGCGACATTATTGGCCTACAAACCATTCAATATCTTAATATCGAAAACTCTTTTACAAGATCTCGTCCCCGATTAGCTGCGCATTATTCCCACATTCTCGAGCAGTTGTGCCACCGAGGCGATGATATACCGAGTTACTATTAGATCTGTTCCAAAACTCACGAGGATTGTGACGCTACCATCATCTATCGTCGTGTAACGAACGTATCGACGGCAATTTTCCGTAGCGCACGACCTGAGCTCACATACCGTGTCGTCATCCTCCACCCCCTCGCCCGTAAACATGGAAAGGCCGCGGATCTGGCGACCGGCATCTAAACAGGCTATTGGTAACTGGTTCTGTATGCTCTTCTTGGCCACATTATCTATGGGCCTGCATCATCTCCCAGCTATTCTATCATACGTATACGACGCACAATATGGGATAGCCAAGTAAAAGTGCTATAATTCAGCACCAAATACAGTAGATCAAGAACGAAATTCGAAATGTGGGCAAGCCGTTTGAACCCAAAATTTATATCGGTAACTTATCGGCATATCATTGCCAAGCCTGGGTAGGATACGTCCCAGTGGCCACAGGGTTATGAAAGGTGGTTGGAAGTGCTGGAATGATTGACCGCAAGGGCCTTTCCCTCACATTTCTTCTCACGACGACGCTTGATAAGGAACTAAGAGACCCCAGGAAGGCGACTATTACCACAGGGACGTTAATCGCTTTGAGGATTTTGGTCAGACCCATGATGTCCGGTCAGGTGGGGGACGGTGTCAGAGATGAACTAATTAAGGATGATAAAGGAAAGATGTAGATATCGGGCGAAGCCACGGGAAAGGATTTCTATCGAACAGAATGCTGATGCCTGGAGGTAGGTATTTTAACTTAGCACTCATTACAAAGAGGGCTAGAGACAACATGTCCCATGTATGGTCGGCACTTAGCCGTGATGCTTGATTTGGTGTCGCTGGAATCGAGGCAGACGCTGAGTGGGCAGACCTGTACCTTCTTCATCACACGTCACAGACTGCTCGAACGCCGCGAGAGAAGCATTGGCCAGGGGAAATGCGATGGACTCAAGGACCAGTGCTTGGCACGTCGATCGGACTGGAATGGGACCAGTCTGCAGGACAGTCTCGATGTCTGGCCCCGTAGGGCTATAGGGCTGTAGGGCTGTAGGGCAACGAATCAGATGAACTCGAGAGGAAAAGAGGGGTCAAGACAATGTAGACAGGGAGACGTCCAATTTAAATATATTCTCTGTTATTCAGTGATAGTATCATTGTCCGTGAACCATGTCTTGCCGATTAACCTCTCAAATCGGCAGACAATGCCTTCGCCTCCGATCGAACAATAATAATCGGATAACCTAACGGACTTCGGAATCGTGCAAATCCCGAGTTGTATCTCGAGAAATCTTAACGTCACTCGCCGTCTACATTGGGTCGGCCCGTTCTTGACCGACGTTGAGAGCGGACATTGTGACTCATATTAGCAATCAGCGCAATTATTCGCTGTCTAGTTCTGACAGACGTATAAAGAGACATATAAAGAGACATACATGTGTATCTATATCTACAGGTCTGTATTTGACAGTGATCCACCACAATGCCAATCAAGTTTTTCTTCGCCTTGGGCGCCTGCTCCCTCTACCCCCAACATTCTCCTGCACGAAGTTGGTGCCGACTTCGAGCCCATCCAGGTCGTCAACAAAGGCATTCAAGTCAATTTATCCGAGGACGTCCACCGCATCAACCCTAAGATGCGCGTGCCTGTCATCGCCGTCGATGATCAGGTTGTCACGGAGCTACCGGCCGTGGCCACTGTCATCGAGACGGCTCGCGTCTACGAATGGATGAACTATCTCTCGGGGACCCTGCATAAAAGCGGGTTTGGCCATTTCTTCCGGCCTGACCGCTGGACCGCCGCAATGGATGCTGCCAGCCTGGAGGCTGTCAAAACCAATGCCTGGAAGAATGTCCTCGACTGTTTCTACTATATCAAGCGGAAGCTGCAAGGGGTGCATGGCGTGAGAGAACAGCTTACTGCCGTCGATCCATTTCTTTACGTGTTCTACCGATGGGGGGAAATGAGTGGCGAGGATATGTCGGCCTACCCTAAGTATACGGCGTTGGTGAGGAATCTGGAGGCGAGGGAGACGGTGTAGTCGACGTTGGAGAAGGAGGAGCTGACTGTAATTCTGTGAAACTGGGAGATGTGTATTTGTGGACGCTGTACATAAGTAGACAATAGATATTCATGATGAACCCCCAGTCATCTTTTTGCCGGACAAAAATAGCCCTGACAATTCATGTGGCCGAAGGGAGAGATAGATATATGATCCTCTCCAGTTCTAGACTGATAAAGTACTCTATCTTCTGCTACCATATTATGCTTGTTCTATCGATGCACAATGAATCATTCCCTAATCTAATGCGTCCAAGCCAAACTCCCCGCTGCGCCCGTCTTCTCGCAGTAATAGCTCAACTCATCTCCGATGTGCTGTCCTTCGAATTGGCAGTAATACCGCAGGTCTTGATCAGTCTTCGCGGTGCAATCCAGACATTGATCCCATTTCTCGTCGCCCGTGTTCCGATTCTGGTACCAGGTGCATACATGATCCGTGGCGACCTTCCTGTGTACTTGCTATTTGATGTTAGTTTATCCAACAGATGAGGATTAAGTATTATACGGACCACTTTACTGGCCGGAGAGTCGTAACAGATCCGGGTGAAGTGCAAGTCAGCAAGAGCGCTGGGAATACTCAGCTCATGCACACGATTTATATCGTGATCCTTACCCAATTGCCAAAGTCGAAGCAACCGCAACACTGCAGATCTTCATATGAGCATTTGATGGGAGATTCTGTAATGAACGAGGCTAGGTTCACTGCGTGTTAATTTATCTTCCATCCTAAAGGTCTACGAGATTATCCTGAGAATCAACGTCAACAACGATTCCCCCCCCCCGAGAACTATGCTGGCATGTCACACCGTCATAGTTTGATCCTTCGCTATGGAATATCTTCCCTAGCAGTCCAATTGTAGATTCATTCTAAATGAATCTGTATACAACCCAGCAGCAATCATCCAGATGAGGACAGTATATGAGGCAGGGTTTGCTGCGTGGAGCACATTCTTCAGGACACTCAGTGGGGCATTAACCCATAAGAGTTGAGCTATAATTAAGACGCTCAACGTTCTGCTACATCTAAGACTGGTGCGGCTTTAATGTAGAGTCGGTCCATCCACCATATATCTTGATCTATATCTTGATCGATAGCAGCATCCCGGTGGATTGTTCAGAGATTTGTGAGTGTCTCATCTTTTGCACTGAATCCACTGCGTTCTGCATTGGATATATCTATTGTTGTCTAACCCGGCCATACTTCGGAGATTTCCTGAGGTTTTCCGATATTATTATCTCATCACTACGGATCCTCGCATGCAAAGCAATGAAAACGCCTTCCATATCCCCATATCCATAGTTTATAAAGTCTTGTACATTGCTTGTCTAAACATCAATTTCATACGTCCCATCAGTTACAAGTGTCATAGTTTTTCGGCTATGAAGGCGTTTCACTCGTTCTCGGTATGTCGTGGTCGATGCTCGTAGTGGCCGTCAGTAATCCCTCGAGGGCAGCGGCAAAGGACGTCCCAAATGTGATGCTGTTGGCAATCATGTTCTCGGACTGCATGGCGACGGTTGCGTCGGCTTCTGGGAATGTCCCAGCCGAGGAATTCCTGGTCTGGCAGTGGAATAATGAATTGTGCATCTGAGCCGCATTTTTGGAAGTGAGCGGAGTTCGTTTGGATATACCGAGGGAGACGGTCTCATGGAGGGGGACAGTGCAATTCTATTCAAATGCGACGACAGGTCCGTCTTGTTAGTCATGCTGCTTCCAACGCACTGACGGCCACGGTCACCATGACGATTCCAAAGAACCGATGGGGCCGTCGTCAGTAATCCGTTGACCTACCGCAAGCGAGGGTATGTGTTTAGCGGACAGCCGGGGAGCGGGCAGTTTCAGTATTTCCAGGCACATTCGTTTAACCAGGAGACGTATACCTAGGGGAGAATACTTGTGGGTCAAGAGCGCCATGACGACTTATTTGGGCGATCGGTACTCTTCGCCTCGGTGTAATGGGGAGGGAGAGATAAAATGACAAGCTCTGTAGTCTGTTGTTCTGGATGCACCGGTGTTTAGGGGAAGGTGGATGGAAGGGCTTTTTCTTTTTGCTTTAGAGTCATCCGTGATGGAATACTTGTACTACGCAGGGGTGTCTATCAGTTCCAAGGGCGTAGCTGGTTGATCCTCTAGTGTGCAATTTAGAAGGAGACAATCTGTGTTGCCAATCCACACTCCTACAGTTACTCATAGCATAGTACATTCCATCTATATGACGAGATCCGAAATAATCAAAGACTCCCTCTCGCCACAGTCAGCGTCGCCCCCGCATCGACCGCCAACACCGTGCCATTTATATAGCTGGCCGACGGACTGCAGAGAAACACGATGGAATCCGACACCTCCTCGGTCAGCGCGCCTCGTTTCAACGGACTGATAGCCTCGACCATGGCACTCAGATGCGGCACGCGCTGCAGACTGGCTTCCATCATGGGAGTTTGCGTCCACGAGGGACAGACAATGTTCACACGGATATGGTTTTTGAAGTTATCCACCGCTATCTCAATTAGCATGTACTTAATATTAAGTAACGCAGGACTCACCCGCGGTCTTGGCGATCCCAATCACCGCCCACTTGGACGCCGTGTACGGCATCATGCCCGGCGCCGCGATGCACCCGTTGATGGAACACACCACGACGATAGATCCACGGCCCAGACTGCGTGTACCGCCGTGTCGAGCGCTCTGATATTCACGCGGTTCCTGCGTTGCCATGGCAGCCGAGACGGCGCGCAGGACGAGCATCGTGGCGCGCGCGTTGGTCGTCATGGTCTGGTCGAAGACATCAACTTTGACCCGCTCGGTGATCGCGCCGGAGATGTTTCCCATCTGATTATTCATTTGTTAGTTTTGTTATTTATATATACCGACAGTCCTATAATATTAGTATGTAGATAGACACACCCCTGCTGAGTGCACGCAGTAATCGATACGGCCGAATTCCTTGATTGCTGTCTGCACCATGATATTCACACTCGCTTCATCCGTCACGTCGGTTTGCACCGATACGGCACGCAGGTTTGCGTGGCTGGCGAATTTTTGGCTCTCTTCGACAACGACGTCCGCTGGTTTCAGATCTGCCAGGACAATGCCTTCCACGCCAGCCTGGGCTAGGGCCAGGGCGGTATCACGTCCGATACCAGACGCAGCCTGAAGATGTTAGAAATATATACATACATATATATATATGTAAAAGAGGAAGAGGAAAGAAATCGGGATGGGGTATCTACACCAGTGACGAGGGCGATGCCACCCTGGAAAGTTGACGAGGCCATAGTCAGCTATAACAACCACTAGAATAACCAACCGGTAAGTACTACACAGAAAAGAGGTTCTGGCATGCCTTTAATCAGATTCTGTGATGGAATTGGGTAACATTCCTGCCCCTCCACGGTGGTGGCCAGCCAGGCTGACTCGTCCACCGCGTCGCCAACGTCATGACTGTCTTGATTATGTCACATGATGTCCCAATATGGACTAGCTTTATTTTGACAATAATCCCAATTCGTATGAATTATTCGAAATATTTTCAGAATAGGCAGATAGACCAGTACTACGCATTGTAACAGTGCTACTTTTTGTGACGTATTTCTGACGATTATTCGTATAATATCTTGGCATTATTACCCGGGATATAAATAATTATTACTACCTCCGCATTCTGATTAACCATCCATCAAGTCTTCTTTTAAAACACCACTCATTTGTCAGTGTTTTAGGTATTCTATTCTCTTAATATTTTCAGCCGACAGCACTGCCCTTTCCCATGAGGTTATGTAATACAATATTCAGACACGAAAGTAATTTTGGTATAACTATATATAGATTAGTACATTCATTAGCGTCTTGGCATTTAGGTGGCACTGGAGACGCGGGCTATCAGGGTATTAAAATATTATGTGTCAGAAACCATCCATATATAATCTCTCCCCGTTTTCTTCCTATGCATCTAAGCCACAACACCCATGAGAGCAGAGCAAACAAGCACCGCAAGCAGACCCAGTCCACTCTTGGAGACAGGTTGGTTCAAAACGGCGGCAGAGTCACTGCTCGTGGAGGTCGACTTGCTACCGGTCGAGGTACCAGTAGAGGAATCGGAGTCATGGTCACCCGTCTTGGAGGGAAGAGGGGCGGAGGCCGTGTGCGAGGCGTTGCCGCCGCTGCAGAAGAAGTGGCCGTCAATGGCGCCCTGTTCTCGGAAGCAGTTGGTCAGGTCCTTGGCGGACTGCTCCTGGGCGAGACAGTAGATACCGCAGCCATCGTCGTACTTGGTGACTGAGGCGCGCTTGCAGCACTTGTCGAGGATATCGGAGGCGTTGCCATTGTTGGGGAGAGCGCAGGCAACGTCCTTGGTGGGGAGTTCCCAGAAGCCGGCGCAGGTGGGAGCGGCCGGGGAAGCGGAGGTGGTGGACATGGTTGGATGGATGTGATTGATTGATTATAGTGAGAGAACGTCTCGAGGGGATGGAGACAGTTGAACGAAGGACTGTGTGATAAGAAAATCGATGGAAGGGAGAAAATAAATTCAAAGGAGGTGAGAGGCGAGGTAGTGGTAATATTATATGGAATCGAATCCCTTGCTAAATCCTCCAACCTGGACGACCCAATCATGGGACCAGTGGGCCCATCGACTATATTTATCCCTCACAAGTGCGGTCCATGGGCTCCACGGGAATCATCATTGTCTCAGCTGCGTTGTGTCGTCCTGATTTATGTCGTTCTGATTTGAGGACAGGCCTGCGAGGGAATGTACATACAGGTAAGGTAGGTGAGGTGAGTGGAAATGGTCCTTTCACTACCATAGTGTCTTACTCTGAGCTGTACAGATGAAAATAGAGCAGAGATGCCTGCTGGATTTCAGGAGTGGTAATTACACATCCGATTGGCCTATCTTCACCCGTCGGGCCCCACCCAGGGAGTAATCTCATTCAATTGCGGTTTCTGATACATTCGATATCCACCCAAATAAGATTTTTACCCGATTTTATAACACCAAAGCCACTAGTGCTGCACTCCACGTCATCGGCTTCCTGTGCCGCTGTAGCATGACAGGGTCTAGCAGTAATAGTACTTCATATTCTGTATGTACATCGTCAGGGAGAACTTCTAGTACTTCTTAATCTCTCCCTGATCCCCCTCTCTCGATCTTCAAATACCCATCTTGCCGCCGTCCCCGAGTTGGCATGTTGGTCGGAAAATACCGGTCCGTCCCACCCTCGGTCGCGACTCGTTTCCACCGCTCTGTCCAAAAGATCCATCCCAACTCCCTGTCCGCGATAGCGTCGCTGCACTGTCCACGCCCGGATCACTGCTACAGGGAGAGACATACTCTGAGTACCCATCTCTTGTGCTCCCTGGATATGCGACTTCAGCTCTGACCGTGTGTAGACCGGACGCAACACCAGAACTCCAACAATCTCGCTGCCAAATTTCGTAATGAGAATGTGATCGGTCTTTTTATTCTTGTCCCCAGATTTCTCGATTCCATCGTATAGCCACTTCCATGTCCCGGTCTTCTCCGCCTGGTCGAGGTACGGAGCAGTAAGGAACCGAACGACTGTGAGACCGGTCATTATGCATCCGGTCCATGTCATGAGGATGATGGGCCAGTCACTGCAATCTGTATGGAGGCATTGGTAAGTGACTGCGAGGGCTATTGTCATGAGTCCCAGCCAGAGCGGATGCCGAATGAGTGCATTGGCGGCGACCTGACGCTGCTGGGCGACACTGTCGGCAATTAGGCGCAGTGAGGCGACTTTTTCGATCTCGGTCTGCGCGGTGGTGTTGGTCAAAGAACGATCCTGATCCTGTCTTGAATCCATATCGTAGGATAACTTGATCAGCAGATCAGGTTAGTGGCTATTAGAGATGGTCCGATGTGGAAAGTACCTTAGTCTGGATATTTTATGCCCAACAACAACGAAGAAGGAATGAATAGATGAAGGTCGTGACCTACAACCCGAGGCCTACGCTACCAGGAACAATCTGCATCTATCACTTGCTTCAATCCTCCAAGTTGAAGGACCGATTTCCTATTCTGGAAGTACGCCGGGGTGCTCTTCGACCAATCAGGCAATCGACAACCCACTCGACATGGTAGAAGGAGCAATTCTTCTGGGGAATTCTTCCGGGAGTTTGATTCACCATTCACTGAAGTCTCAAACATGTGTACATGGCGTCCAGACGCATTCCCCAGACCAAATGCCCCTGATGTCACTATGATCCAGCAAGAGAAAGACCACGTGCTCTGAGATGAACATGCTCTGTCCTCCATCGATGCTGCGGGCTGCAGACATGTGGCCAATCTCAACACGGTAATTGATATCTCGTCGTCCAGTCTGGGTCACTGGCTGTCTGATGGCGCTGTAAATGCCCACAAAGTCCAGCAGAATGCGAGAAGGCTTAGTAAAGATTGTGTTGGTTTCCTGAAGGCTTTGTGCCTCCCAGGGTTAACAGAGAGAGGGGAGACAGATGATCGGGTCTTTCCCCTCCCACTCCTCCGCCTCTTTCTTTTCTCCCCCTCCTTCTCTTCCTCAACTACTCCCCTATCCCACCCTCTCTATCAACCATTACCCCACGATGGCAGTCACTTCCACTTCTGGTGGCAATGCCGTCTTTCCCAACTATAATAATGACTTTGGTCACATCGAAGACCCGAATGAACGTCGTCGCCGGGCTCTCGCAGAGATTGACAAGGCTCCCTTTGGATGGCGCCACGCCCGCGCGATCGTCGTGGCTGGCGTCGGCTTTTTCACCGACTCGTATGACATCTTCGCCATTAACCTCTGTTCGAGCATGCTGGGGGTCGTCTACTGGCAGACTGCGACCTCTCGGCCCGGCAAAATCCCTTATAGTTCCGATACCGCGATCAAAGTCTCCACGTCCGGAGGCACGGTGTTTGGTCAGTTATTCTTCGGCTGGTTGGCGGACATGATCGGACGGAAACGCATGTATGGGTTTGAATTGATCATCATCATCCTAGCGACCCTGGCACAGGCTCTCGCCTCTGATTCGCCTGCCTTGTCGATCACGGGGATTCTGGTCTTCTGGCGTCTGCTCATGGGTATTGGTATCGGCGGTGACTATCCGCTGTCTTCGATCATTACTTCGGAGTAAGTGTCTCCTCTTTCTTCCCACTGCAATGGCCATGCAACTGTCTAAATCCCTCTTCCCAGATTCGCAACCACCAGGTATCGAGGGGCCATGATGGCGGCTGTCTTCGCGATGCAAGGATTTGGTCAGTTCGGGGCGGCGATCGTTGCGCTGGTGGTGACGGCCGGCTTCAAAGGCTCTCTTGAAACCGCGGTATCCCTCGGAAAGTGTTCCGGAGTCTGTCAGTTGGCGGTGGATAAGATGTGGCGCGTCGTCATCGGATTTGGAGGCATCCCCGCCTGTATCGCCCTCTACTACCGCTTGACGATCCCAGAGACACCGAGATATACCTTCGATGTAGCCCGAGACATTGTCAAAGCCAATGCAGACGTGCGCGCGTATATGGAGGGCAGACACGAGGGACACCCCGACGAGATGAAGCGCATCGCGGTGCTACAAGACGCAAATATCGAATTGGAGACTCCCAGAGCAAGCTGGCCTGATTTCTGGTCGCATTATCTGAAATGGGAAAACGGGAAGATTCTTTTGGGGACTGCGGGCTCGTGGTTCTTCCTTGATATTGGTGAGTGACAAGACCTTGGCGGAGCAGTGTGTCCTGGCAGCTGACCGCTCAGCGTTCTATGGTCTGGGACTGAACAACTCTATCATCCTGAGCGCAATCGGTTGGAACGGTGGTAGCAATGTCTACGAGTACTTCTACCGCAACGCCATCGGCAACTTGATATTGATCTGCGCGGGTGCGATGCCCGGATACTGGGTGACGGTGGCGACAGTGGACACGCTGGGCCGCAAGCCAATTCAGCTAGTCGGGTTTGCCATTCTGACCATTATATTTATTGTGATTGGCTTTGCCTACGAGCCGCTGAAGAAGTCCAACAACGGTCTGCTGGGGTTATACATCGTGGCGCAGTTCTTCTTCAACTTTGGACCCAACGCCACTACGTTCATCGTTCCGGGCGAATGTTTCCCAACTCGCTATCGGTCTACGTCGCATGGTATCAGTGCCGCTGCAGGAAAGATCGGCGCGATAATTGCCCAGTGTGTGTTTGGCCCTCTTGCCCACCGAGGATCGAAGCAGAGGAACGAGTTCTCGGATACCCCGTGGTTGAACCATGTTATGCAGATATTCGCTCTCTTCATGTTCTGCGGAGGCCTTACCTCACTATTAATCCCGGAGACCAAGCGAAAGACATTAGAATTCATGGCAGGAGAGAAGGCTGCTAGTTCTGGGTCTGTTACTCCAGTGGAGCCCGTGCAACCACCGGAGCAATGCACGGACAAGACTAACACAGAAAAGTCCAACATAAACAAGTCCAATTCTCTAACGGTGGCAACCACTGGTGAGCCACAGGTCTGATCCGGGAGTGTATTGACTGGCGGTAATACAGTAGGCTGGTCTGTTGCATTCTTGTAGATTGTCGTTTGATAAAATAGTTCTGTCTGTCAATATGACATAGTATGCGTATCACTTCGTATTCCTATTCAGACTTCTCCTGAAGACTCCTAGCATGATGCAATAAATATAGTAACACAGGCTATCTAGATAACCCTGCAACAGGTGTCTTTATATGATACTGAATCCTACGACATGGCATTTCGTCTTATAGGCATCTACATAGATACAAAATATGCGAACTGTCCCTTATTTCCCAACTATATATGACCTATACGAACCAACAATCAAGTGCAAGGCAACTAGACTATAGTATGGGGACATCCAACGAGGGCGTGGTTGCTTCCTATTTGGGAAGTATAACTAAAATACAGACACTTGATAGGTATATAGACATGTATCACCAGCTCCCAGTGTCTCAAGTCTTCCCGTCCATTCCATACTCTGATCTTGCATTCAGTTGAAGTGCCGTTCCACTTCTCCTTTGTGTAAAACTGGAGAAAGTCCCTCGTTGTGAACGATTTATCCAGATAGATATCAACTTTGACTTTTTATAATCATGAGAGATGACATCCAGATTTAGAATATCATCGATTAGATGAGTGGTGAATACTAGATCAACAGTATCACCTGGATCGTAAATAGCATCTTGTGTGTCAAAGTACTTCGGGTTGGCAATATTCTCAATGATCGTGTTCCGTGTCGTTCCCACAGTTAGTGGAATCAGAATTTGTAGTGCAATCCCCAAAATCATCAGCAGTAACGTGCCCGGTTGGGGTTGTTAGGAGCCAATGCGTGACAGGGAAAGAGTTTTTGCTGGGATAATTCGATCTGGCTGGTGGTTACGCTCCAGTCGCATACGAAAGCACCACCATCATCATGCTTACAATCATCTTTGACAATTTCAGGAACAGGAGTCGTCCCTTTTTTTTTTTTTTTTTTTTGGGGGGGGGGGTGTTTTCTTGTGGTTACATATAGAGAGGAAGAGAAAAAAAGAAATGAAGAGAAGGAAAATTGGGAAAAGAAAGCAAAACAAAAGCGGGAGAGGAAGAAAATTGCTGGTCACAAATCTATCACCGTAGATCCTCGAGAAATTCTTATGTATATCTTTCGCACCATCAACAGAATACAAATCGTTATTCCCGATAGTGCAGGTCGTCCGCATTCTCAAACAGATCTATTCGATATCCTACGAGGGACTTTCGTCACATCGCTCAACCCATTTCCTTGACGAGGTCGCCTATAATAGAAAACATTAGAAATTATCAAATATCACAACATAAATCTGAGTTTAGATAACATGCCGGTATCAATAGTCAAGAGATCAACATACAATTGATTAGCCCTGTCATGCATACGCTTTACAAAAGAGACATAGTCACCCCAGTCTGCAGCGTAATCTACCTCATTTAGATGGCCTTCCAGCCATCCGTGGGTATAGGTCGTGTGAATGAAGTTTATCTCATCCCAGGGAAGACCTCTCTATGGTCCGTTTGTTGCGTTGTGGGAATCAGGTTGTGTAAGAGGAGATATATTGGAACTCGCGCGCATTGATCTTCGTAGGCAGCGCCAGAAACTCCCAGGATGGCGGTGAAAAGGAGGTATAGGAAGCTCATCTCTCTTTTTTTGTGATATATTATATTGTTTTGCCAGGAAAAGCAGACAGATGATAGTATAGTAAAAGCTAGGGGATCATTCAGTACAATAAAATCAACTTATATTTGACTTATCATGCTGACTGCATTCATACGCTAGTTTCGCTAAAGGCGGTGATCAACACGCCTACTGTGTCAGACATCCTCAGTATCTGTGTTACATTCAGTCCTTCAGCTTCTCCCCACATAGGTAAATATAGCGGCGATTCTCGGGTGTGCTGCCGTAGAAACAGACTGACATACTACATATGCGTGTCCGACATTGATGGAATACTATACTACATACATATAGCTCTAAATTTAAGACGGTGGTCCCTGCCTTTGATGCCCCGGGAGAGCACCTCGGATTAGGAAGTCTGCAGGGCTCCGCAGATATGACTTAATTTTTTCGACATTGGAAGTCAGCTTCCGCAGAATGGGTTCTCGATGTATGCGTCAGTGAAATCAGATCGAGACCAAATTCGGGACGTGAAACATTGTATAATAAAGAAAGGACAGAAAGAGCCGGTTCGGAACAATTCTTGAGTTACATATCTGAAAACATCCATAGTGATATGTTGGTAGGACGTCATTATATCTTATAATGCAACCTTTCGCTTCAAATATGTTTCCAGCATCTATGGTCTAACTTAGTTTTAAACGCCATTGAGGAGGGTCAGAATTTCAGCCTATAGTAACTACTTACTACTTTAGATATTCATATTATAGGTTTATGGTGTATCGTCTATAACTCGGGCACAGATACAACCAATAGAGAGATTCAAGGGACTATACTGTCTTCGAGGTCTACAAGTTGTTCTGGGTTGATCGTGGACGTACTATCTAAAGTGGAGGTTGCCGATGTCCTTCTTTTAAGATCAATGCCGTTCAGAGTCTGTTTCGAGCTGTTTGATCCATCTTTCTTTTTCTTCCTCCCCCGCTCTTGTTTTGCTTTTTTTTCCCAATTTTCCTTCTCTTCGCTTTTTTTTCTCTTCCTCTCTATATGTATTGTTCATTTATTTCGATCCTGTACTAGTGCTACCGGTGAGCTGAAAGAAAAATTGCACTTTGTATGCGCTATATAATTGGGATATGTCAATACAAGTCATACTAAATACAAATTTAATAGTTTGCCTGACTGGTGTCTCAGACTGCATATACGCCTACAAGCGCGGGCTGTGACAATTATTAACCAGTTATTTTATTTGCCTTCTTTACCATTATATGCAGCTCTCTTGTTAGGGCTGGTTAGTTCCATTTATAGAACGTCGAAATACACCCGCGGTTACTATCTCCCCACGCGTCGGCATGAATAATCACATCGAATTATTACAGCGGAACTTGATGAACTTGCGACGAGGAACATCCAGAAATGGCATAGGAAAGCATGTGCACATTGTGTTGAAAAAAACAAAAAGTCTATAACATCTGATATCACGTCTAATATACATCTACTCTATAATGCCATATAAAAAAATCTTACAACCCATGCTTCATCTTCCATCGCATGATGAACGCTGCAAACGGGTAAAAAGCAATTGACACAGCAATCCATGCAAACAGAATGCCAAAGTCAAGACCGATACGGGAATGCGTCCCGAAGAGAATTGTACGAAGGGCTTCGACAACTAGATTTTCGTTAGTGTCAGTTCATCTCCACAGCATATATAAAAAAACAAGAGACCTACTACGGTGAAGAGGCCATGCTTCTCCCCATCGGAAGAAACCAGGGGCCAAATCCAGAGCATAAAATCCCGTGGAAACGTTTGTGATAACCCAAAAGATCAGGAAAAACGAACTCCACGGGAACCCCAACACCATGGCCATGTTTTCGCATGGGAGGCCCAGCGCGGCCATGCCTACCCAGTTCAGCATCCAGAAGACCACGAAGGAGCCCCTTCCGTAGGCGTTCGGGTTGGCGGCCGAGACGGTACCCGGGGCCGGGGGGTTGGAGAATGGGATCTGGAATGCCAGCGAGACGAACGAGTAAAACAGCGAGAGGAAGAAGTACGCGACGATGTTGGAGATAATTCGCCACGCTAGCCACTGCGCGATCTTTAGTGGTGGGTGGTCGCCTTTTAGGAACTGCATGTGCACCGGCATGAGGAATGGGAAGTTGAAGAACGAGATGATGATCAGGTAAATCAGCCCGACTGTCACTGCGGGAGTTGTCACCGCCGGCCCAAAAGGTCGTAGATCAAGCGTGCTGAATCCGATCGCCGGGTTGATGGCCTGTGGTACGCTCGAGAAATTGCGCGACTCTTGCGCCACGACCTGAACCCAGCGAGGGCCGAATTCCGCTAGCACGGCGCGTTCCAGGGCGTCTAGCGCCGGGTTGATGTAGCCGGAGTAAGTGCTTTCAGCACGGGCACTGATAATGACGAATTGTGCCGCCCCTGTCGGATCGTACGAGGAGTTTCCCTTGGCCACGGCATCTCGCAGAAGGACCGTTGCGTTGGCGTTGACAATCACGGCAGCGTAGGCGTGCTCGTCATAGACTCCTTGTCGCACTGCCCACGGGTCATAGTTGAAATCAGCCGGCGATTTGATTGTATACCCGACTGTCGTTGTGCCGGAATTGATGAACGACGTAGCGATGTCCGTCACTGCCGGGCCGACGATGGGATCCTGATCCTGGTTGCGATAGGGGTCTACCTGGCCGTCAAAATCGACCACCCAAACGGTCAGCGACGGCAGGTTTTGTTCGACGTGGAACTGGGACGCCCAAAAGAGAGACAGGATGGAGAGGATGAAGACGCACATGATGAGTACTAGAATGGTCAGTAGAATACGAGGAAGTGGGAGTCATTCGTTCGTACTAGTCCGAGCCCACTGGTAGAAAACCCGATTTCGCACGGCTTTCAGGGCCGGGTCAAAGAATGAGACAGCAGCAGGAGGCCCATTAGGCTTCGCGACGGTCTCGGCAAGCTCCGTCTTATCGGTCAAGTCACTGGCACTCATGGTGGAAACTGGTTATAAGCCTTGGGATCTACAGCCGCAGGGTTGATTTGAGGGCATAGTAGGTATTATTATGGTCTGATAAGAAGACAAATTCTGCGCTTAAAAGGCTGGAATAGGTATAATTACCGAGAAGCAAAGAACAAGGGGAAAATGAAAAGAGGGAAAAAAACAAATCCAACATAAATATTTCGGTCGGAGAATTATCTCCATTGTCTCCGACATACTAACTAACTAAACCCACAAACTCGGCCTTCGGGCTCGGCTCGGCCTTTGCTTGTTAAGCAGACCACTCAGCATCTTGGTTGACTAGCTGAATGCTACCCTGGTGGGATTATTAAAAGAAGTCTCGATGTCTGCGTCTGGACTCGAAAATAGTAGACAGTTGTTCCTGATGTGCCGAGAAAGTTCTTCGTCCATGTCCACTAGGTAACTAAAGTTAAACCCTCGCCAGGGTCCATTAAGTAATCTTCGCCTGGAAGGTTTCTTTCCCTGGCGGATCTTATCTGATCCCCAGGCAGCAAGGCATTCACCTCTCCCCCCAAAAAAAAAAAAAAGTCCTATTAATCCACGGGAAAAACAGACAACTCCATTGTATTTACAGTAGAAGCAGCGATAACATCCCCTGACGCCGCCACCGTACGTCACATACCTATCCCCACGAACTGTTCAATTACGGAGAAACGGCCCCAACCGGATGATCCGGCTTTTTCGAACATTGGCGCTGCTTTTCCCAGAACCACTCAAAGGATCGCAATGCGATCAGATGCCTGATCACGTACTGAGGTACACCGGCATTAGCGTCGTGGGTACTAAGGGAGAAAAGGATTACCTCCCATATCTACATATATGCTTTTCGCCGGTAGGATGCCGTTCCCAAGGGGTTTGAGGATGAGTCAGTCTTTAATTCGGAGGTCTTTTTGAGAAGGGCTTTACATTCTGAAGGCTCCGGGAAAATCGCAGGTCTGATCCGTTCTCTGAGGATCTGGGCTAAGTATGTTGTGTTGTTTATAGCGGGTCTAGTTCCTGCAGTATAATGCTGAGGATTCTCTTATCGTGAGCGATAAACAGACTGCTTGGGATGTTGACACAGCACAGTGCTATGTGGCGTACCACTAACGGGAGAGCAAATAGCTCGTAGTTAAATAGTTGGAACGTGAGAAGGAAAATAAGGCGGATGCGGAGTAGGTTGAAGTCCGAAGGCAGCGGATTAAGTGGGGGCCAGAGCATTGGGCGAGTGCGTACGACATACCAGGCTTCCTGTGTCGTGACGTACCTCTTTATCGAGGATAAGGTGGCCTTGGATAAGGGGACTCCTTGCATATCCTTCTTGATGATTGTGGGAATATTGTGACAGTTACGCTGGAATGCACTCACGGCTGATGATTATTCGGGACAGTGGCTTGCTGGACGTTGGAGCGAGACCTATCTCCATGGAGGGAGTCGGGGCTCTCCCTATTGTATCCTTAACAGTATTCTAGAGGAGAGAAAGGAACAGAGAATGGTTGTTCCATTCAATTCCTTAATGTTAACTAGTTTTCTTATTCCCATGAGAGGAGATGTACGTACATTTCCGTACAAATAAATTAAGAACAAAAGAAATAAAGAAACGAAGGGATGAAGAAACTCTATTAAGGTATTTGGTCTTTAAACTGAGCGGGAATCGTCTCCGACGAGTCCAGGACAAAATCGTCCGGAAGAGGCCACAGTCGTCTAGGTCTGAATTGATTTTAATACCTGACCTGTGGTTAGTATCATGTCCTTAACAGAGAAAAAAATAAAAAGAAAAGAAAAGAAAAGAAACAAACATACAGTGCATATCCCAGTCTCCAAATTTACCAATTGGCTCCTCCCCACCATCTCGCTTAGTCTATTTGCCAGGGCGTGGGTGGTCCTGGAAGCAACTGCTAAAGAAGTCGATCCGGCATGTCGAGTATCAAGGTCGCCTTTTAAAGCCTGGGATATCAAGAATCTATTAGCATCTAGGACCAATCAGTCCAAGAGACGGGACGGGAAAATTTTCTAGCCTGGTGAATCTTCCCTTCTTTTCATTGTAGCACATCCTATTGTAGTTATTGGTGTAACAATAGATAACAGGCTGGTTCGAGATTGACGGCGCAGGAAATATTTGACTGCATCGAGTGCGTGACATACTGTTTACCATCGCGAATGGTATAATTACCGACGGGTAGTTTAACCCATTGGTTGGACATGTTGCTGGGGCTGGATGTGTATATTAGCTAGAGTGGTTCAATCCTTTCACCAAAGCACTCGACACAATTCTGTAAGTGCCCGTCCAAACAAAAGTAATACTCGAGGCCCTTTAAGCGTTCAGAAAACTTCAATGAAATGATTTCTTCCAACTTTTTTTCGGGCGTTGACATACCAAGAGCATCAACATGCTGACCCAAAACCGGAACACCGAAAAAGCATTTGGTGGTTCAATCTTAATGCTTAACTGGTTTTATCGTTGAAATACCTGACTGAGATGTTGGAGGTACACGTTTTTCAACTTTTTGTTCTTGCTCTGATATCTCGAAACTACTCAATTGTTTGGCTGTCAATGTAACACACGCAAACACAGGGAACAGGTCAATTTCATTCAGTAGCTAGAGGTCGAAGATGCTATGTGAAGCCGAAAGGCTGACGATAGGAAAGCCGGAGCCGTATATTGACTGCTAAGAACCGGGAACGCGGTTCTAGCTTCCATGAAGTGCGCTCACCCGCAATATTTGGACTAACCTCGGGGTGTAGAACATACTTCTTAGTTACTTCGACTGCAAAGCACGTCCGCAACAGTCAATCATCTCTTTCTGGTTTATAATAGCGGAACCAGAGGTTTAAAACGCTCGGATGGTCAACTTTTTACATCTTAAGCGTTTTTAGGAATACCCATGTCTGGTTATACCATACCAAAGTATGCTTTAAAATTGCAGCAGTGGTAGGTATAACAGTGCTGGCAAGGAATCCCTAATACTGCCAAGAATCAAATTGCGTACTTTTTAACGAGCATATCGTAGAGTGTGATTGGGCAGCGTTCTCATTGACGAAATCCTGTGGGGGCAGTATTAGTGGCAGTTTATAGTATTATATGGGAAGGTGGAAATCCATCTACCATCTTCGGCATCTTGAATCAGCCTCAAAATCTCTCGGTGGCGGGTTCAGGTGGGTAAACACGGTGGAACCATGTTAGGCTAAACGGTGCCAGTCCACATCGCCAGGTAAGTAGCTTGCACCAGTTATTCAAGTGTGGAGGGTCTGGCTGTACTGTTGTGGATGCCCATGCTAAACCCTGGTTGGGCTCTCTGGGCGCGTTTCGTGGAAATTAAGTAGCCTAACCAACTGTCTCTTGATCTTGTCTAAGATTGTATAAGTAGTGAGTTGATATAACCTAGAAGACAGTAGGCAGCTGCTGACATTGCTTGAATAGATGGAGTGTGTAGAGAATAAGAAAGGTTAAACAGAAGAAGTACAACTAAGGCAGATTCATCCATTTTCTTTTTCTTTCATCACCACACTCATTCATTGCTTACTTTTCATTCACCCTAAGCTGCCGATATTGCCCTCAGACAACCGCGCCATTTTTATTAGTGTATTCATCATCTTCACTAGAAATTTAAGCGCCTCAGGTTAGTTTGAGGTTTAGAACTAATCAGATAAAAATATTCAGTAGTGTATTTCAAATACATACAAGAATACACTAGGCAAGGTACAGAGGAGAGAACTATAAGTTAATAATCTTAGTTAGGGAATTTGAAAATCAGAAGGCGGAAATAGTAATGGTAGGTATCAATATTTCTGGGGTGGTTAGTATTTATAGGATGGTTCTAGAATATTCAGGGCTCCGAGTGAGCTTGAACACCACTATGGTGTTTTCTGGAGGGCATTATCTCCATCCTGGTTAGAAAAAAAACATTGAAACTGGTAATGTTGTACTTCATCTGCTCAACACGTCCAGTATTTCAGGGTAGCGACATGTAGAAAACGATACAAAATTTAACTATCTCAACCAATCAAATCTATTTAGAATCATGACAAAAATATTCAACTGTATACTAATATCTAATCTATAAAAAAGACACTGAATAAACTGCATAAATTATGCACAATAAACAGACCCACAAGAAAGAGAGCGGGGGGGAAAGAGAGAGAGAATATGCATGAATAGCCTGTAGATTACTCCTAGCCGGTGGACGCAGTGCAAATACGCTCCCTATCTCCAGTTAGTCAGTGATATAAAGCAAGAAAGTGTAGGGTACATATCAGAACTAAAGCCACCTCCAGTTAAGTCTGAGCGTGTCCATAGAATTGAATGAGGTCAGTGTGAGGAGATGCCGCAACTCCATGTTCTTCAAATTACGGCATTGATCCTTTTCGAAATCTATTAAATCCCAGGAGTGTAGACAGATTATGCGTTGACTCGATGATGTTTTATTAGTAATTTCGGAATGAAATATCTAGTTCGGTTGAACTTGCCACATTCGCACATATCTTTACATAATAACTAGTCGCAGCTCGTAACTCTACTGTGCTGATAACCCTGATTAATCGCTGTCAATTGTGATCAATAACCGAGCACCAGCGACGTAGTGGAGCGAGCCAAGTGCCGAGATGCTTACTTGTTCCGGGGCGAAACTCAGCGCCATTGAAACCTTCTCTGTCATTCGCGCATGCCCTAGATCTAGAATGTGAACGGTTTTGGTATGGAACCACCGCGCCAAGATAGCTGAAACGATCAAGAGCGAGGGTGTTTCAAGCTGCCGGATTTGGCCGTATATCTCCGATTCGCTGCCTCGCTTTTCATTTTACAAATACTTACTAGAAAAGAGGAGGAAGACAGTCGAGGTGTGGGTATACTAAGCTATACACGCTGGGTATCGCTGGGCATCGCTGGGCATCGCTGGCTGTCTTAAGAAACGAAATCCTTTCCAATCGATCAATTCTCGGATGGCTAGCCGATATCTTGCACGAACCGAAATTAGACGGATAACCGCATAGTTAGACTCTATACACGCTATACTATAGGGAGGATCAGATGATGTAATGTTGAATGGAGAGCATATTATTCTCATCCAGTGGGCGTATCCCAACACCTCGGCAGGATAAAAGTCAGTCACATGTGCTGCCTCCACTTGAGCTTCAATTCTCCACTAGAGCTACATCGGTGGTTTGGTGGGTCCATCGTATCGCTGATGGAGCACTGCAGCCATCAACCCACAGCTGGAGTCTGCAAATATTATTACTATTATTTTTATTTAATCAAGTTTAACGTCCTTGCCGAGACTCTTCGGCTAGGAAAGACGGGGGGTCGTGGGCTATAGCCCCTTACCTCTTTCCTATTACATCTAATATCCGTCCTACACCTTTTCTACGCCCCAGATCGCCTCACTGCGTAGGGCTTTCGGACCACGTTGGCCCTCCTTGTGTTCAGTACAGTATAGAGCCCCTCGTTAAGCGAGCCACCCTCCCCTTTAACTCTCTCCTTCGCAATCCGCTTCCGCCAAGATTTCTAGCCCTCATTGACTTGTGGTCTGCAATTCCCTTAGTCTAAATATACCAGCGCCGCAAACTATGGTACAGTACTTTAATTATCTATATGCAATTAACTGCAGCATAACAGTAAGAAAATACCACAGAAGCACCCAATATATGCATCTCCCAAAGAAGTCAAGCTCCCACGGCTATAAATGCTGATGAGCTCACCCATACCGAACAGGTCGCTAAGCAACATGTGAAACAACGTGGTGTGAGAAGGATTAACAGTTACGCTCGCATTTATGTTGATTATAACAGGGTTTTCTGGTACCAGTCAGTTTCTGATCGAAACAAATACCTATGAAGCCTAGACAAGTCCCCTTTAGGTTAAGGGCTATGGCTGGTGATGACCTCGACCCAGCTCGATGGAGCTCTTTGGCATAGATGAAACATGTCTCAAGATAACTGGAGAAGTGTCCTTCATGTCCTGATGACAAGACCACGCCAGTGCTGCCTGTTCATTCCAGAAAAGTTTAGAATATAAATATACCAGCATGGTCCGACATCTGCTGCAGACTCAACTTTGGGATCACAGCTGGAACCTTCTGTCATTCTATAGTTCCCTAGATGTTGCAATTGTCACCCGTTTTCCTGTTGGCGCTCACTGCGGCCTGGGGGTCTGTTTCCGCCCACCCCCAGGCAGCTTCGACAAGGCCAAATGCCGACAAGGGGGTTGTCAACGTTGAGCTGGTCTCACTTGGCAACACTACCGTGATGGCTAAGGTTACCAACACGGCGAACCAGGACTTGAAGATTGTCAAACCTGGTAGCATCTTGGATAGTCGACCTACTCGCAAAGTCAAGGTCTACCGCGGAGGTATGCCATATAGCGCCATTCGTGATTGATCGATAGCTGACCATTTCGCACTGTAGGTACTGCGATGAACTTCATTGGCGTTGATGTATCTTATGTGACCTCCCATTTAACCCCTATTAGTTTTCTTCCACTGTTCGCCGATGAAACCATTAAGACGGTGTTTGACGTTGCCGATCTGTACGACCTTTCATCTGGCGGCCAGTTTACCGTGGTAGCAGACAGTGCGCTGGAATATACCGTGTCAAACACAAGCAAGGCCTATTCCTGGGCCTCGTTCAAGTCCAACGTCCTCGACATCAACATTCCCAAGTCCTTGACAAAGTCTCTCAAGAAGCGCGCCAAGTTAGAACAGTGTCAAGGCGACCAGACTGAGACCATGAAAGCCGCCATGGCCCGCGCCGCCAAAATTGCACGTGCAGGTGCTGACAGTGCGAAGAAGCCTTCGGAACTCTTCAAAACTTTTTTCATGACAGACGATAAAGCTGCGCTGGACAAGGTGTCAAGCCGCTTGGAGGCCATTGCGAAGGAAGCCGAAGCGGGAGACTCGGGCACATTTACTCAGTATTGCACAGAAGCACCATCTGATGGTAGCAATTTGGACTGCTCTGGTGGATTATCTGCCGTAACCACATATTCGTTTGCGGATAGCAATGAAACCCCGACCAATGTTCAAGTCTACAGCTGTAGTGGTTATTGGAATACTCCAAAGGTTTCTACCACATGCTGGAACCTTGATCAAGCCGGCATCACCGTACATGAATATGCACATGGAATGGGGGCCAATCCTGATCGGCAAGCCGGTGAAACGGAGACGTACGGGTATGATGCAATGACGAAGCTGAGTACAGACCAAGCATTGCGAAATGCAGATTCCTATGCATACTTCGCTCAAGGTAACTACTTCACAGCGACTGTAGATACACTATAAGAGCTAGGGCTAATACCATTTGCAGGTGCATTCTTGAAATGCGACACCAACGGTAAGTCGAACAACCCGGACGCCGGCAAAGAGGAGGGTCCGTCGGGAGGAGATGGACCTTCAGGCGGATCTTCCTCCCCGTCTGGTTCATCTGGCCAGTCCGGAGGAGATGGGCCTTCAGATGGATCTTCTTCGCCGTCTGGTTCATCTGGCCCGTTCAATGGGGATGGACCTTCAGGTGGATCTTCCTCTCCGTCTGGTTCATCTGGCCCGTTTAATGGAGATGGACCTTCAGGTGGATTTTCCACTCCGTCTGGTCCATCTGGCCAAACTGGCCAGTTCAATGGCGGCAGTCATTTCAGTGGATCTTCCTCTCCATTTGGTTCATCTGGCCAAAACGACTATCCAACTAGCCAGTTCGGAGGCAGTCCTTCGGGTGGAGACATGGGCTCCGGTCAAACTTCTAGCCCTCAAAACATGGCTCCATTCGCTGGAAACAGCCAGACTGATACAGGCAACGGCGCCGGTGACGGCTCCGAAAAGGGGACATCTTGGTCCTCCGGCCCAGACAATTCTTACGGCGGAAACAATTTTGGGTATCCAGCAGGTGGTTCCACGGATGGTCCATCTACCTACGGTCCCGATGGCATGAATATGGGCGACCAGTCTCAAGGTGGGCCTCAGAGTGGGCATCAAGGCAATGGTGATTCACACATGGGAGGTTCATATTCCCCAGTTGAAGTCTACTCAGCAAGTGCTCCTAGCTCAGGCAACACCCTTGTCTAACGGCGCACACTCTCCTGGTACTGCTCCCGGAGGGTCTAGCAGTGGATCTCTACCTGAGAAATTGAACCTGTGGAGTTCCGCCAGATAACGTAGATCGGACCATAATTTAAATTCATGATTGGCCTGCCACACTGTGACTTTGTATGCCCCACAAAGAAATAAGATATAACCACCCAGGCTCGTGGGTATGTCATTCATTAGGAATAAACCATTGTATAGCTATTTGCCTTATAGATCTTGTTCTCTCCACTTTCTAATACTTAGCTGGGGATTAAATCCAACCATAGTGGACAGGCATTAATTTATTCACCAAAAACTATTGATAGAAAGTAGAAAATAGCGTAAGTTACTAGAATAGTATTGCTTCTTTTGAACCAAATAGATACACTATATGTCTTGTATACTGATTGTTTTATTAAAATAATGACCCACTCCAGGTCCACGTGCTAGGGGTCTTCTAGGGTCGTCAACGGCTAGGGGCTATTTAGATTGGCGTACTAGATCACTTAATATTTGAAATATGTAATATACGTTAAGAAGATTAGTTATATAATATACACAGAAATAATAGGGATATAACTATGGCTTCTATAGACCTTGCCGTTCCTATGGGCGCTTGCGAGTAGTATTTTTCAGAGACTAACGACAGGGTATTGTCAGAATAGGCAGATATGCCAATACTATGCACAAATTGAAACAGTACGACTTTTTGTGGTGTAGTTGTTAGGAGCGCTCAGAAGCGCGATAGCCAGATCCTTAGCTAACAGCTATTATTGTAAGTACTTAGTAACCGATTTTTAACTGCTTAGTACTTAGATCCTCTTCAGTGGAAGAATTAAAACGGAAAATGAATTTCAGGTGTAAGTGTTGGTATTTAAGGATTGTGCGGGACAAACCAGCTTAATAATGGACTTGGCGGTCATGTGCTGGGGGTGTAGAACGCATGAGCTCAGCTCTTAGCTCAGGCGACCTGCGTACACCAGGCGGCGTAACCCTGCCCTAGGTGTCGACCTCGCTTAGTCATCATTTAGTAAGCTAGATAGCTAGATAGTTGTCAAATAATATGGCCGTTGGTGGACCAGAATCATGTGACTGGATCGGGGTAAAACCCCGTGGAGCACACAACAAAATAATCAATCAAGAATAACCAAGAAGAATAATCAAGAAGAGCCCAACCAGCTCAATTCATTCAAATAAGACCTTTTCACCAATCGTACTCTATTTCCTCTTCGGGATTAGCCGTATATCTGACAATTAAGAGTCTCATTCGCTCAAAAACTACCTATACAGCGAACCACGGCTTATACAGCTCAGCTATCCACCGGTCGAAACTTTATTTCCTCCGAACGAAATGTCCACGCAGAATACCGTCCTTTTGAAAACCCAAGAGAATTGGAAGGAATGGAACACGCAGTTTGAAGGTTTAGCCAGAGGCAAGAATTTATGGGGAATTATTACTGGCGATGAACAAGAGATTTTAAAGCCAGCACCACCTACCGATGACACTTTGGCACCACCAGCTGGAAGTACACGATCAACAAATCCTACCTCCCTTGCTGATCGACAATTTGCTTGGACTGTTTACAAAAGCCTTCGTGACGACTATATTCTTCAACAAACTGAACTAAGCAAACTGCGGGAGTGGATGCAGAAGACTATTTCTCCACAAGTGTATGAATATTGCTGCGATCCAGAGGATTCGATGAAGGAATGGTACGCCAAACTAAAGCAACGGGTGGGAATTGATGATGCCACAGTCAAGAAACTTGCCCGCGAAGCGTATAAAAAGGCCATTAAACCTGTCACAAGACCTCGGGATGTACTTACCTGGTTAAACAATTGGGAAGAAGCAATGCACAAGGCCGAAAAAGCTAGAATTGCAGTGGCTGCAACCACAAGTGACTGGATTGAGGATTTCCTGAATGCTGTACGGACTTTAAACCCGGTATGGGCAACCTCATATGAGATTGCTAAGAGTAAGGATATTGAATCAGACAACCTGACATTCAGACTGGTAGCACAAGACTTCCGAAAAGGTTTGGATACCAAATTGATTCAACAGAGCAGCAATATTGCCAAAGGGTCATTTGGTCCAACCTTTTGATGCTGAAGAAGCTAAGACTGAAGGCACGGAATTGAATCACGCACCAAAAGGTCAAAGCTATACCCAGAAGCGCAAGCAAAAGCCTAATAATCTCGAGAGCTGCAATATAGCCAAGAAGACAAAGGTAGCTTGCAAAGCATGTGGGCAAATGCATGAATGGAAGGCCTGTTTCTATCTTTTCCCTCAAGAGGCCCCTAAAGGATTTAAGGAACGTGCTGTAATTAGGAGATTTATTAATCATCTGCTTCAAACAGACAAGGAATTTGCCAAAGAGGTTGAAGAGTGGAAGAGCTTGAGGAATCAAGATTGACTACTTGAACGACAGATTGGAAGAATTCCAGCTTCATTTGCGACATTACCGGATACCTATCCATTAAAGAATTCAGCTATTCTTGACTCCGGATCCACTATCCATATCTTTAATGAAATCACTCGATTCAACACTACTCGTAAACCGCACAACCAGGTGACTTTATATGGGCCGGAGATTCAAAGGTGGAGATCCATGGATATGGCAATGTGGATATTCAGGTTAGATTAGGTGGAAAGAAGTCAATACTGCACTCCAAGATGTTGCTTTCTGTCGTCAAGATGGCTTGCAATTTAGTGTCTCTACGCCAGTTGCATAAGGCCGGAATATGGTGGGATAATCGACCAGAGCAAAACATCCTCCGACATCAAGATAATCGACCGATTGCGCAGATTGAAGACCAGTTCGACCAGTTTGTGATTGAATACCTTCCCATGAATATAACAAGAGGAAGTCTTTTTAATCGCCGAAACCGCTTTCAATCATCGTTCCATTCTACACCAAGATCTGCACGGGCAGATGCATACCAATGGCACCTTCGACTTGGACATCCTGGACCTCTTACCTTGGAGCATCTAGTCAATTCAACTAAAGGAGCAAGGATTAGAGGTGGACCGACAACAGTGGAATGCGACGCCTGCGGGATTGCAAAGCTAAAGCGTCAGGTTAGCAGAATTCCATCGGATTTTATAGAGGGACCGGGTCAACGCCGTAGCCATTGATTTCCATGACTTCGAAGCTGGCTATGGTGGTTGGAAAAGCTTGATGCTAGCAACTGATCGGTGGTCAGGTTTTATCTGGGATTACTACCTAGAGGACCGAACGGCTGACTCAATTATCCACGCTTTGAGCATTTACTTGGAACACTTGGGCGAATGGATATAAAGGTTCAGGTTATTGAATGTGACAATGAAACTGTGGGCCAAAAGCCTCGCATTGCAGCCTTTCTGCAGTCAGATCCTTATTTTATAAAGATTGAGCCCTCCGCACCTTATACAAGTGCTCAAAATGGTGGTGCAGAGCGCTCAGGGGGTGTAATAAAGGATAAGGCTCGAGCAATGCGGGAACATGCTAGATTACCTGCATTTCTATGGCCGGAGATTGTACGTGCATCAGTCTATCTTTCCAATCGAACACCTCAGTACCAAACCAATTGGAAAACGCCTTTCGATCGATTCCATACCTACGTTGCGCACCAAGACGGCATGGTAATCCATGACAGAAAGCCTCAGCAAGCGCATCTAAATGTATATGGATGCAAAGCCTTCGCCATGACCACAGAAGCACTGAAGAAGTCAAACCGGAAACAGAGATTCAATCCAAGAGCGCATATTGGATATCTAGTTGGATATGATTCCACTAATATCTACCGAATCTGGATTCCACGCCTAAACCGAGTCATCCGTACAAGAGATGTGATATTCAATGAAGACGAGCAGTTCTCTGGGGATCTGTCCGAACTAGCAATCATGCAGGATCAATTCCGGCAGATATCCATCCAAGATTTCAACCAGATGATCAAGAATATTGAGGTTCCCGAAGAGTCTATGTCGCCACCAAGCCAACAAGAAGAGCAAGTAGTTGGATATTTTGATTCTTTAGACTTTCTGGTGGTATGGCACAATCAGCTATGGATTTGGCGGAAGAAATAGGTCAGAAAGATGCTGAAGACCTAGTCTATCCAACACCACCGGAGACGCCAGAATATCTACAACCAGCTTCGCTATTAGCTATTGGTTCCCCAGCTAGATCTAATCAAGAATCATCGCACTTAGCTGCATGGAAAGCATCGTTTTTGGCTGCACCATTAATTCAACCGAAACGACCCGGAGAGAACAACCAAGGCACAATCAGAACGATTACTTCGACAACCTGAAAAGGATTTGCACCACAGAGATTTGCCACCTAAGCCAGTCCACCACAGAGATCTTATTAATCATCCACTTGGCGAACAGTTCAAGCAGGCTGAAAAAGATCATCTTAAGGGACATGAGGATATGTGTACATGGCAAGAAATAAGCCGGCATAATCCTAAATGCAAAGGCAGGCAAATCCTGGATTGCAAATGGGTGTACGCGTACAAGTTTGACCAGAAAGGAAGACTGCAAAAGTGCAAGGCCCGTCTGGTTGTACGCGGCGACCAACAAGAAAGGAAAACAGAAGATCTTTATGCTTCAACACTGGCTATACAATCATTCCGAATCCTAATGGCTACAGCTGCAAGATTTGACTTGGAATTGGTGCAATATGACATTACCAATGCCTTTGTCTATGCAGATATCGATGAGGATGTCTTTATGCAGATGCCACCAGGATACCAAAAGCCAGGTATAATCCTGAAGCTTAAAAGGGCCCTGTTTGGACTGAGGCAATCACCATTGCTATGGCAAAAGCACTTCAAGAAATCCCTTCAAGACCTAGGATTTAATCCTATTCCTCATGAACCATGTTGCATGATTAAAAATGGTATTCTAGTATTCTTCTATGTTGACGACATAATCTTTGCATACCAAAAGGGCTGCAAGAATCAAGAGATACTGGACCAAATTGTTAATCAGCTCCAAAACCAGTACAAGATGACTGGCGGAGATAAACTGCAGTGGTTTCTTGGTATAGAGATAATCCGGGATCGGGAGAAAAGAATTATATGGCTAAGTCAATCCTCTTATATAGAGAAGATTGCTAACCTAGCGGATTCAAGAACCTCAGATACTGTCCCAATAACCAGAGATGAGCTTATTATCTACACCGGACAAGCCACACGCCAAAGTATTCAGAGATATCAGAAGAAGAACGGTTCCTTAATGTACACAGCAGTCACCACACGACCAGACATAGCCTTTGCAGTGTCCAAATTATCCCGCTTTCTTACCAATCCAAGCGACGAACACCATGCTGCGGCTGACCGCGTCCTTTTATACCTTAAACGAACGAAAGACCTAGCGCTGCAACTGGGGGTGGAGATGACTTCATCCTGTACAGCGATGCTTCGTTTGCGGATAACAAGGAGGATCGAAAGAGTTCGCAAGGATATATAATGCAGTTGTTTGGAGGAGTAGTAGGATGGAGGGCCAACAAGCAGGCAACGGTGACTACTTCTACCACTGAGGCAGAGCTTCTAGCGTTGTCCCACGCAGCTGGAGAAGGAAGTATTCATCAGCAGACTGCTTAAAGAGCTTGGAGTTCAACTGGATAAGAGAAAGAAGGACCAACGGATTCAAATCTTCTGTGACAATCTCCAAACAATCCGGCTTGTGCATAAAGATATAAACCGACTTCAGACAAGGCTTCGACACGTGGATATCCATAATCATTGGCTCAGGCAGGAAGCTCTGGAAGGAAGAATCCAAGTCAGCTACACACCAACAGACAAGATGCTGGCAGATGGACTCACTAAAGCACTGCCACGGCAGAAATTCGAGCCGTTTGTGGATCAGCTAGGACTTCGGGACATCTCTGGAGTCAAAAGGATTGATGGAAACACTGAACGGATATGACTGAATGTCAGATTCGACCCGGAATAGCTTCAAGGTTGCTGAAATTGGAAGGAAAGGTTCGAATCTGAGGGGTGTGTCAAATAATATGGCCGTTGGTGGACCAGAATCATGTGACTGGATCGGGGTAAAACCCCCGTGGAGCACACAACAAAATAATCAATCAAGAATAACCAAGAAGAATAATCAAGAAGAGCCCAACCAGCTCAATTCATTCAAATAAGACCTTTTCACCAATCGTACTCTATTTCCTCTTCGGGATTAGCCGTATATCTGACAATAGTTTGGCCGTCCCGGCCACCCAATAAGACAAGCATCCATCGCTTCCAACTGTTGTGGAACTCAGGGAAATGGGGCGTAGGGAGCTATTCCATCAGCTACAGGCCAACTAGCCTAACTAGGAAGTAGATGTCATTCAGTGGAACCAACTGAGCCTACAAGCGGTTCCCTATATTCTCGTTAAGGTGTTCTACTAACTAAAGGATTGAGGGGTTGGATGGATCGTCAGATACTTCCGCACCGCCAAGTCGGGCGGATTATTATAGTGTTTCCGTAACACCAACAATAGATTCGTAACAAGAGTCAATGAGGTCATGGGCCCGTAATCTTTTAACTTGCAACGCGTGTCTACTTAAAGCCCTTGATTGTCGCTGTTGTCTCTGTGCACGCCTCGACCGTTTGCCTAGAAGACAAAAGTCGCTTATCGAGGTCCCAACCTTACGCTTCCCATCACCTATTCGTCTCTCAAATTGTCCAGAGCAGGTTTCAAACGCTCGCTTCTTCTGGCATCATGGCTCGGGACAATAGTGCGCAAGTGATTGTTATTGGCGCCGGCCTGTCGGGTCTCACAGCTGCCTCAGCATTAAATCGTCAAGGCATTGATGTCATTGTACTTGAGGCATCATCCAATGTAGGCGGCAGAGTGAATTCGGCCGATACCAAACTGGGATCACATCTGGACCTTGGAGGGCAATGGATTGGGCACGGACATCATCGCATTGCTGCTCTGGTAGACAAGGCGAGAGGCACGACATACCAGACGTTCTCACGCGGCCTACCGAATATTGTTCGCGAAGGTCGCACTGTTTCTCCCTTTTCTCCGTCCGTGTTTCTTGCGACTATCTATCTTCTCTTCTTCGAGCTAGCGAGCAGGATGTATGTTCCGCGGCGCTGGATTAACGTCTCGGTGGACAAGGCCATTGCAACACTCGTCCCCTTGGAAATTACTCGACAACTCCTTCATCTGCTCGTTGCAGTATGTTCTACCACAGAATTGGCCATGTTTTCGGTCTACAGCTTTGCCAAAGCGATTCCTCTCTCTGGGGGGTTATTGACGATGTTACGTACGCAAGGCGGAGCTCAAGACCGTTTGGTTGTGGAATCTATGGGCATCACTACATCCATGTTAGCCAACGAGCTCTCTCGGAAAGTTTTAACCGACATGTCTGTCACGAGCGTGTCCCAAATTCATAGAGATGAAGTGACTATACGTACAGCGTCAGGCCGACAGTTCCACGCTAGGAAAGTGATAATCACGGTTCCACCACCAATGTTGAAAAGCATTAAGTTCGACCCGCTGCTGCCACCCGAACGCATAGCGCTACAGGAAAATACCCGTATGGGCGTCGTCTACAAAGCCATCGCTGTTTTCGACAAGCCCTTCTGGCGTGAAGGATTGGGCGGGGAATTTCTCGTTCTTGACAATCCCGCATGTGGCGTCTTCGACTCTTCGTCGCCTGGAGGCCCTGGGCACTTGTGCTTCCTAGTACCCGGCACTCCCGCACGCCAGCTCGATACGCTTGATCCAAGTGTGCGGCGCGAATTGCTGTTGTCACGACTTGCGCCACATCTCGGGCATCAAGTGCTCCAGCCTGTGGACTGGCTCGAAAAACCCTGGCATTTGGACGAATATTGCGGTGGCGGGTATCTAGCATATGCGCTTGTTGGCACCAGTGAAGGTACTCTGCCGATGCCTCATAAACCAATCAACAATTTGCACTGGGCGGGGACAGAGACGGCGCAGGAACACCCTGGATATCTAGAAGGAGCCGTGCAGTCGGGCGAGCGTGTCGCCAATGAAGTCGCTTGTGCTCTTGGTGGAGCCCACACTGACGATCAAAAAGAAAGGACATGACAAGTGCCACGCCCTTAAGCCCTTTTATAATCATCCTGTTTGAAAGCGAATACATCAATATGTGAAAGGAAAGCGGGTCAGTTGTTGTGATGCTTTCAAGCCCCTGCCCATTCACCATGGCTGTTTCAGTCTCTTGCGGGTTATCAGGAAGCTTCACATCCTCTTTCACCTCAATTTTACTTTCCTTAGGTAGCATCTGGAAGGGGTAGTCCCTATCAGAAAGGTGGGGATCCACTTGATAGTCGAGAGTATATAAATAATTAATCATTTGGGCAACTAAAGCGGGATCTTCATTCAGCTCAATTATATGATCAAACGATTCCTGTGTGACGGCCAGGCAACTTGATGAAATTGGTGCTATCTAACGAAAATTTCAAACGTGGGGAGGAGGAAGAAAGGTGGTGAGGGGACTATGCGGGGAGATAAACAACTAGATATAAACAATGCAAACAGGCTACATGGTGCGTTCGTCACACTAAGGCAGTTTTATAATTAAAAGGTTCCTTCCAGATTTCTACTGCTTATACTACAAAAAGGTCTGTAAAGGGTATAGCTCCCCTTCATATTAAGATATAAAAAGTATATAGACAAAGATAAAAGAGGAGGTGTTATGTGTGGGGTCGGTAACGAGCTGAATGGGGCGATACGGTGCGAAAGGGAGTGTCTATATGGGAGAGAAGATAGGACCACGTATATTGCAGAACTATTGTTGGCCTTTAAGAGTTCAGGCCCGCTGATGCGAATATAAGCACTTCGCACCTGACTAAGCATCCTAACTAAGGATCTAGCTATCGCGCTTCTGAGCGCTCCTAACAGGAGGAAACAAAAAATTGTTCCAAAAAATTGTTCAAAGGAAGCATACGGATTTATGACTTGCGTATTTAACAAATGAAATGAAAGACAAGATTGTGTCCTTAAATTGTGATAGTATAGAATCAGTCGCTGCTAGCATTGAAAGATTCAGCAGCAACCAAGACTCTACGAGCCTGAGGTTACATGCAGTAGCACGGCACGTTGTAGACTTTCTGTGTGTGTGTATTTCCGAGGTTACGGATTCTCGTCTGCAAAATAATTCCTGGTGAAAAAAAAAAGTGTACTTTATCACCTCTACATTGTCTCGACTTCGCAAACCATCATCTCCGAAAGTCAACGTTGTTGAAGAGAATGTTTGTGAGGCATTAAGGATAGTCACATTGAGTTTTCATACGTACAAAATTTATTTCAAGAGGTAGTTGTTAAGATGACATTGGCTCTATAGTTCAGCCATTTAGAAGTCCACTTCACCTTCTGTCGATCGACTGTACAAGTGTATAGAGGATGTGGTCAGGTGCAGGCATGATCCATATCCGCCAAGTCTTGACACATCCTCATCTCGCCATAGCAATTAATTAAAATAGAGTAGATCATTCTCGTAGATGGCCTCTGTAATGGCATGGTCAGTCACGATATGTTATTAGTTCAAAAGGAGATACATACGGGGAACTAGTTCTGGCGCTTATCCCAGATGCAAAGATGGAGCTTGCAGCCGAACTCCTAGTTTTTGCGGAAGCAGCCAGGACCGTTCTCCTTGGTGCAGATTCCCACCGTACCGAAGCATTCATCCTATAGAAAGTTAGCACGGAAGTTCTTTATATTCCAGAAGAGGTTATCTGTACAAAGCATTTTGGGGTCTTTCGAGCGGCTGGAGTAGCAGAAACAAGAGCAGCAAGGGAAACAGCAATGGTAGCGAGTTTCATTTTGTCAATTGTAGGCTTGAAAGTGCAATAAAGCAAGTAGCTATTTAATTATTGAAGAGATGGTGATTGTGAGCAAGGAATTGGATGATGTTGATGAGAAGTCGATTGCAATAGATAGATTGAGCCGTTTGTACCTTGGATGTACCCAAGGCGCCGTGGTTGAATCGACCGTTTTATGGATATGATACATGCTTGATCTATGATTTTGATGCTGATCTGCGCAATTCACGGTACCCTGTATGTATCCAGGGGTTGCAAGTAGACACATCTTAGATAGTTTCTATGGAAGGATACTATGTAGTATGTTGACAGGGAACTTTTAGGATTGTAACAACCCACTGAAGCTCTCAATTGGTCAAAACACCGTCTTAGAGCCTTAACTAAGTCTGTAGGAGTCCAAGGGCCCAAAAGGAGAGCTCCGAAATTTAGCCAGACAACTATCTGATGTGCGGCACTGTGGGCTGGGTATCCTATTTTTAGAGATCGTCCGGCGATCATTCGACTTTGACAATTCAAAGCCTATTCTAGATCTTCCGGAGCTTCGCTGGGGTAGGAGACACTTTAATCCTGTTCTATAGACAGGGTATAGGTTGTAGTTTTATATGCAGTTCTAGCTAATATACAAGCCTGTGGAGCTACTTCCAGGCGTTATCCATTTTACTCCATTCCATCACTCTGTATCGAGGCCTAACATTTCAATATATTCTGTATGGCGTCTTGTTAAAACAATTCAAGATTACTAATTATTGGTCGAGAGGTTTTTCAGCACGGATAAATGCCAAATATAGTGGGCGGATACGCCCACTATTTCAGGCCCAGTCGTTGCCACGTTTTGTAAACCCTAAAGTCATAAGCATGCAAATCGCATCCGGGGAGCACCATCGTTCTGCAAATTCCTGATACATGATCGCCATATAAGTATGTTCCAACAACGTAGGCCATCTCTGGCAATCCCATCAAGACTATAGGTTCTACTTGTTTGACCTAAAGTCTGCCAATCGAGATTCCAGAATTTTCTCTGGCTCATGGGATGTCTACAAGAGTGCTCCTTGGCGCCGTGTGGCGTGAAGATAGGCTGCAGTATTGCCCAGCAGTTTCATGTAGCAGGCATTCTTAGATTAGAGCTAGTATCCCTGATATATGTGTTCCTTTAATGTGCCTATAAATGCCATGAGTAGCTGCCGTATAGGCATATTTTAGAAATAATATCTTAAACTCCCCTCTGCTTCGTTGACTCTGTAAAATAAGGCATGTCCGAGTGTTAGATTCTGGAATTTCAAGAGGAGTCATGGCATACTGAAGCATTACAGTGATTACCAACTAGATCTAGATGCTATCATGGCCACAACATGCAGAATAATTCAAGAAAAGAATCACACGTATTTTCGTGTTACCATACCACTACAGGTCGCACGCACCTTCGAGTATCGTATAACAGAAAGTACACATCTTCTTGGAGTCGGCTTTGCTACAACGGACTCCCGGGATATACATCTAAAGGAACACTGATATAAGTAATTCGTATATTAATACAAGAAATCCATTGCTTGTGTATAGTCTATAAGCCCTCGCTAACAAAACAGATACATAACAAAAAAACAAAAGAGTGAAAAATAAGTAAAATAAAATAAAATAGAACTATTTCAAAAACGCCCTGTCCAGTTTATACAATAACTTTGTTTCCTCCACGGTGCGATTGACTCTTAACTTCTGAACTCGAGGCGACATTCTCCCAGTCGACCCAGAGGGCGAGTGTCTCACAGTGTGCTCTCGGGGAACCTCTTTCCGGGGATCACTCTGAGGCGAGGAACGAGGTGTTCGAGTAATATTTTCTTGGATGAAACAACCTCCCATGCGCTGACATCTTTGCTGAATGGGACTTGATTCCTATAGTTTGTTAATTTCTAAACTATTTTATCAAGGGAAAGTACTAGACGTACCGGAGTAAAAGGATACGAGGTAGCAGTCCGCACTGCTATCCCGGAGTTTTCTCTTTGTGCCAGACACAGGGACTTTCTGCAAACATCCTCAATATGTCCAGCCTGGATAGGATGGTGGCTCCCAGTTTTCCTCTTGGTGTAGATCTCCATCTGCACGCGGATATCTCTGAACAGAGGGTCCGTCGTGGGCTGTTGCAGCTGCATGGTGTAAACATCTGAATCCCGAAAATAGCACTGAACGTGGATCCGTTGACCGTTAGATGTGTTGAGAGTGTAGAGCTGTTTGAGGAGACCGCATCCGCCTCGATCCCTGTACAGGAAGGAATGCTGGAAATGCTTGATGATTCTCCAGGATATGCCGTCGTGGAGCTTCTTTCTTCCGATTCTTGCCTCCTCCCAAACGAAGATTGAGCCTGGACGAATACTCAGCATTTCGCCCAGTGGCGGGGTCTCCGTGAGCAAGGGTGTTATTCCCTGCATACTGGCTTCACATAGAACCAGCACATCTTCTTCTGTTCGAAGGATACCATAGTATGTTTCCTTATACATGTCATTTAGGAAAGACCGTTGAGAAATGGGAAGGTTGTTGGGGTGTGACCCGTAAAACTGTGAGTTGAAGAAAGTCGCGTTTTACATCCTCCTCAGTAGGTGGCGCCCACGTCCGTATTATAATCCACTAGTTCGTCCCCTGTCAAAATTATTAAGTTTAAGTAGAGTGTCACTAGTGTACGTTGGCGACAGAACACTACGAACGGAAACAAAGTTCAGGTCCCCTTGTTCCATCGAAGCACGGTATGAAACCCACATCCACCTGTCGAAGGGACAGCCTTACAATCAGTCTTTTCTCTCGCAGCCCCAGTTTCGGGTTATCACCGAATGCACGGCTCTGAACACCAACAGATATTTTCCGGGTCTCAGGTAGACTAGACCGGCCCGGTGAGAACATTTCTGGCGCGGGTTCTAACCTTAAATGAGTACCTACCATGGGGAAGTAAATGCTTTGAAGTTGAACGAATAAGACGTGTATATCATATGCTGGTGATATATTTACCAGATCGCTGATTCGCTACACTTCTCTAATACAACAGAGCTCAGCTGCACCCTATCCTACACGAGTTATTTCACAACCCACTATCCTTCTACTCATGACACATTTCCATTATGAGTGTCGCCTGACAGATAGACTTTCTTTAGGACTGGAACGGATATAATCCGAAACCAACCGGATTTCTTGGCAGGCATCGAGATAGTTGGTGGCCCTGCCGAAGCTTAATTTCCCACCCGTTTTCAACGCTGCGCGGGGCATCGGACACTCGTCATGGCTCTCTCAGTCGTCAGTTTCAAGGACGCCAAGGGGCTAAAGGACAGAAAATGGGCAAGGCTGTTGGTGAGGTGTGAACCTTTCCTCCACGGTTCAGCTCTTTAATTGTGCACATTTCACTGACCCAGAATCAACGTTGTTTCACTGGGCTTGGCGATCGACGATATTACCCAACTGGTCTAGTAATAATATTTGCCACCTTAATCCTGTAAACGCCGGGAAAACTCGCCACATCATCATACTGAATTAGCGTGGAAGGCTGTAGTACCTATGTGGCGAGAGATACTCCATTTTTCTATTTGTGTTGAAAGTATACGATGAAGGGTGATGGCAAAGGGGACTCTTTATAACTCATTGTGGTCCTGGCCGGGAAGGAGTAGTCTAACATCAAACCCTATGGAATGTCTAAACTCGGGGTTTTCTATTCTGATCAATCGATCGCATTGGATCGATAGCTACGGAGTGCAAGATAGATTAGTAGCAGGAACAAAAACTTTGAATAGTACAGGCCCACTCAAATTCAGCTTAGTTCACATCCACTTAGCTCCTCAAAAACTAGCTCGCCAAACGTGTTCGTCCACAGTTCCAAGACAACAGAAAAATAATAAATGTATCCTGCTTTGGCTTTAGGTTAGAACTGAGCTACCGATTGGTAGTCACGGAATCAACACAGACTATACCATCTCTTGAATATCCGATGAAAGACCGTATTTACTCCCATCTTTGTGGCCCTGGCCGGGTTCACTTTGGACCTCTGGATAGAAGTGATAAAATAACCCCCACTGGCAGTCTAAGGTGCTAAACTCTGATCTCAGTTATAAACTCTAAGGCCATATGGAGTCCAGGGGTGTTGTTTATAAAATGACATCTCATATAAGCGGAACTGTGGAGATATAAACCCTAGATTACCCGCTCTGCGGCTCCATGGGTCTCCCCTAAGGAGTTATATTGCATACTATCCATCCTATCAATGCAGTGGAATATGTATACAGCTATCCCTTTATCCGTTCTGGGAATGGAAACCGCACATTGATTTCTAAGCTTACAGTCAGACAGCCTTCACATGCACAGAGTACTCATTTCTCGAAGCCGGGCAATTCAACCCATCTCGAATTATAAACTGTAACCACTCTACACTACTATGCACTACCTAAAAGTATCAGACTTAATGTTATGACTAGTTACAGATTCAATTTGTAAGCATACTCCTGTCAAAAGTACAAAGTAATTCCTGAAAATATAATTCCGACCCGAATGTTAGAATATATTACTAAGTCTGCAGCATTTGCTATAGAAAATTAGAATTGCCCAATACACAGACTCACACTGCATATACTTAACTACTAACCCTGGAGCTGAGGCTATCTTATCTGAGGCGATCTTATCTGCTCCAGGGTTAGAAGTTAAGTATATGTCCATATCGAACCTGCACATACTCAAACCGTTGGCAATATATTAGGATATTATGTGTAGAACTCGATCAAAGGTCGAAACTATATTCTGGCGTGCTTTCAGGATGTGCTACGGTCGACTAGTGTGATCGACCGCTCGTCCATCCAGGAGACGGTGCTGGGGTCCTATACTTGGCTTGACTCGCAGAATGGCCGAAGACCCACGCTCAACCGGGTGATCATATCGCTCTGGCGTATGTAGCGACAGCCAAGGACGTCACCAGCATGGTCAGGGCCAGCCGCAACGAGTATAGCGCAGCTCATGCGATAGTGGTTGGCTTTTCAGCCTCACGTAAGGTTACCCTGTTGGACAATGAGGCTTTTTTAGCTACTATAATGTCCATGGCAGCCCATGAGGTGCAAACATCGTCCCGATCCCATTTCCTTTGTTCTCAATTCTTGTTTTTCACTACTATCTGATCCATCTTCCGTCCTCTGAACCACAGGTATGGAGAACGCATGTGCAGGGTACCAGGGATATTACCAAGGACATATTATTCCTACCTAATCGGCAGCTGAATCGTCGACTTCGGAATTTCATTGTTGGAGGAAGGAGGGCCAATGGACAGCAAGTAAATGTAACACGCAGAGAGGTAGCCTAATTGGGCAGCAAGTACAACCAACAGTGTCGTAAAGTATGGATGAAGGCACTAATAAGAGCAAAATGGTGAGAAATGGCAACATCAAAAGAGGTTCAAGAAAGCAGACCCAGTAGAAAACCTGGACGCAAGGAGTACAGCAAATGGCTAATAGAAGTCGACCACAAATCAGAAGAGGGCCCTTAAGAGCACCAATCAGGGCGCAGCTGTGCGCGAGTTTGAGGGGTCTAGTTTTCGCGATAACTGGTGACGCGCGCTGTCCCATGTGGATGCTCTGAAAGAATGTGGAAAATGCTGTTGGATACGGAAGCAATAAGTCGTCGCGTCTAATCAAGTTTGTAAGGCTCTTTTGTTACTGGCTTTAGAGGTGCATGTAACGTATACAAGATGTTTATTTTTATAGCCGGTAGTGATGTCTGTAGTCAGGTGGGGGGCAAGTTTAATATTCCAAATCCATGTCTGCAAGCACATTGGAGTCAAGATAAGAGTTAGCAGACCGTATACGCTCGGGGCAGGGGGGTGGGGAGTAGGGTATAAACCTGTATGCCAGACAAGTTAATCGTTCATCGTTGGAAGTCTAGAAAATATGAGGGATGGAATATCGACATAATAAGTAAGAAGTGTGAAAGACTAACTTGTGGTAAAGCAGGTTGACCAGAGACAGTAGAGCCTGATGTTAACAGGAGTATTAGATATCTCCTAAGAAAATATAAGGATAAAGTCTCCGCACAAAGAATGTTACAAATACTACAAAGGGTCAGATGCGCTGTGTGAAGGCGTATTTTTAAGGCAACTTACGTATTTGCTACATGTCGTATATTTTTATCATAGAATATAAACAATGAAAGTGGCAAGGCAACGAACTTATAGTGTAGACTAACAAAGTACTATAATCTTCCGGTAAAGCACCAATAGTACAATATTAGAAATCTGAATTGAAGACTAAAGATGCAGAGGCGACTTCCTTCAGAACAGGCGCGCAGAAGAGCCAATTGTATGCACAAGTTAAGAATACTGCAACCAACAAGAATCATGAGGCACGGTAGCATCAGACTAAAGAGAGAGCGCATTATTTGGGCGGGTAAGAAGGACGAGGTATTAGAGCAAATCGGATATGCTCCGAGGTGCAAAGAAGCAACGAATGAGGCCAGCCAAGTGTTAGATATTCAGCTAGTCCCGAAGAGGAGATAGAGTACGACTGGTAAAGAGGAGCTGGTTGGGCTTTCTTGATTATATTAATTATTATAATGATTATTCTGATGGTTTTTTCTCGATCATGTTCTTTCGCTTGTTGATGGCCTTTTTGACCCCTCCTTAAGCACATGATCCTTGCCAAGTATAGCCATATTATTTGACACTAAGCTTGGCGAGAATTATCTAGGGAGTCAAGTTTTGCGGCAAATCATGCCCGAGGTTCACGTGGGGGAACATAGGTGAAAGAACCCCCTTCTCTCACTTCGTTTCTGGGCACAGTGCTTTCATACCCATCGATACTTATTCTGCTTGTTCCCCCCTCTCGCTCTTTCTGTCCTAAGCATATTTACTGATCAGTGGACAACGAATAAGTGTAATGGCATTGGCTGTTGCCCCGTTTGGTCCTCTCCAACCCATTGGTGATAATATCTATCTCTTCGAGACCCCGGAACCCACTGGCGTGACCGCCACCGCTGGCCCTACACTCATCACTCTCTGTACCTGGCTCGGAGGCGCAACGCCCCAGCACATCCAGAAATACGTCACTGGCTACCGAGCCCTCTACCCCAATTCTGCCATTCTCCTTATCACCACGCGCATCCTGGAGATAAGCGCACTCCCATTCAGTGTCCTACACACGCGTTTGACCCCCGCCCGCGATGCCATTCGTAGAATTGTCACCCAGCCTTCCATAGGGAAAGAAGACAAGGAAAGTAGAGGTTCCGTTCTGCTGCACATTTTCTCGCACGGCGGCTGCAATACCGCCATCCAGCTCGCTATTTCCCTACGCAAGGATCCTATTTATCTCCACTAGAAATTGGGTCCTATCTCCGCGGTACTATCTTTGACTGTTGCCCAGGAGACACCTCTTTCGGGCGTGCATATCAGGCCGCTGTGCACTCATTACCTCATTTCGGCCCCGCGCAAACCATCTGGAGGGTTCTTCTCTACCCCGTCGTGGGCGTCGTCACCGGTCTCCAGCAGATGGGGTGGATGAGTTCTGTTCGAGATCTACGGGCACAACTAAATGACCCTGTCGTGTTTGGGGCAGCAGCTAGACGGCTTTATATGTATTCGACAGCTGACCAAATAGTCGAATGGAAAGACGTAGAATCTCATCAGACAGAGGCCAGAGCCCAATTAGGATGCGCTGTCGAGGGCGTGGCTTTTCCGGATAGCCCACACTGTGCCTTGGTGAGGGATCATGCTGGTCAATATTGGGATGCCATTGAATGGTTTTGGGCAGGAGGGCTACTTTTGTCCCTCTTGTGACAGCTGCTGGAATGATGGGCTCCAAACCGAGTGAGGGGCGTCGGAGTCGACTTTGATTTGGAGTATGATCGATCATGCAGCGATTATGAAATGGAATACTAACGACAATTGAACTATTCAATGTCTACGCAAAGAGTGTAGGCAAAAAAATAAAATAAAAAAGGACCCATATTCTACTTAGGTATAGAGCGAGGTTTGGATGCTACGAATACTGACTGTGCAACTGATCGAGTTGATCAGGGGCGATCTCTACCAGCGTGACCGTACTCATAGCTTTACCCAATTGATCGGCTGATCCGTTCGACATTGCAGAAGATAGGTGCTTCTGGATCTGGTTGTCGAGCACAGCACCCCCAATCGCTACTCTGATCTCCTGTCCCATAGACTGTAAGAATAAGGCTAGTGTTGCGGCCATGCTGACTCTGACTTCCCACGTCGGCACGGAGAACTGAATCGAGAGAGCGACTGATGGGAATAACAAACCGATGCCCAAGCTGAAGACGGCTATCTGGCTTTGCCCTTATATGGAGCTCCTTCTCAAACCTATAGCAATGTGTATAAAGAGAAAGATTGCCAATGCTTTCACTAACTCATGTAACTATTTTGTCAAGGTACTGCCAGGTTTGACGAATCCCGGGCTAGCTATGTACGGTAATGCTACAAACAATTTATTCTTAAACCCAGTCCCCTTTAACAACCTGTATATCAGTGTTCTGCCCATCACGGTGCTCCAACGGCAGTGGAGGCACGCGTGTTGAATTCAAATATGTCTAAGTACTGAATATGTACGGATACGCTGTTTCATATTTTATTCTCAATATAGTCCTGCTATATATAATCTATATTGATTCCTAGTGGTCCTTTAATAAACATTCACCCTTATTTTACTCCTGTGAAGTTTTTTGAATTGTGGTATCTGCCTTACCTATTTATCTACGTTAACAATGCTTACAGTTATCCTTGTCCACTATAGACATGTTACGCTATTTAATTTTTTTTTTTTTTTTTTTTTTAAATTCTTACTCTCTCTGAGAGGTCATCTTCCATACTTTTTTTACTTTCTTGACAAATTTAGTCTTGTTATATAATGTATAGTAAAGTTATATATATTCCCTATAATTTTGTACTTTGCACTGTCTATAGCTTTGGTTTAATATTTTTCTTATTTTGGATATTTTATTTAATACAGTACATGAAATATAACTTCATAACTAACTACTAGATCCGACATTTCTAATTTTTATTCCATGAATAAATTATTCCTTTATCTTATATTCTATATTTTCTTCCTCTATTGTGCTTTTTATTCTTTATTATCTTTACTACTAGAAAAATTATTGTATTAATATTACTATCTTTGGTCCTCGGTTTCGATACTAGATTGTCTGCTGATATAACGGATTATCTCTTAATATACCCAATAGATATCATTAACTGTACGGGCATAGCCTAGAATAAGCGGATAAATTCTCCTCACAGATGGCCAGTTCCGTTAGAGTTCTGCTACATTCCATAATCTATACGGGATATATCCTTATCCAGAATAATATGTTCAAGTATAAATAGTCCCCCATCTCAATTGGAGAATTATCAACACTAACCTCTTAAATGCATTGCATATCATTGTAATATCTGAAGAGAATAACAGGTTCAAGTACAGATACATTCAAGCCACCACCTGTCTCGGTTGAAGAATTATTAACGTCAACATCATAACTGCATTTCAGGTCACTCGGTTATCTGAAGATGGCAAGTATCAGATACATCTTCCTTTGCTGCCTTTGCTTTTTCATTAGGATCTATATCCTTGTCTTGGACTGGATATGTTCATTCTTCACCACCCCCAGATATGGCGAACGCGAAGGGAGCAGGGTTCAAGATGTAATTGAGGAAATTTACAACACTAGAGACAGGGCGTATTAGCGTCTCCACATTGTGTGGCTGCTGGTCTTGATTTTGTTAACTATATGTTGATGGAGGTACGCTGGATTGTGTGTCGGTACACAGAACCAGATTTTAGGACCTGAAACTTATGTCTTCTCATTTTCTATCTTCTTATGGGATTGGTACAAAAAGAATAGTAAGCCACAAACCCCCCAAAAAGTGGTAACGCCAGAAAGATTTTTTTTAAAAAAAAAAACTGTTCGGTTGTTTAAGTAAAAATCAAAGAAAAGCCCGAGGCATTTCGGCTAGAATATCTTCCCTTACAACCTTGTAGAGCCAGTAGGTGAGTTAAAGAAATGATACGATTTACCCGTGGCTGTAGTTGGTAAGGGAAACACCATACCTGGGATACTCCATCTATGGACGAACATTATCGATAGCCGTATTCAGGGCAAATTATAAGCCGGTATAAGTAGCTGGCCTTGAAATAATAATCAAGGGCATTAATTTACGACTTCTCCGTTCAACGCCCTACTTGCCTTGGTAACGCTCTGATGCTCTGTCGTCAACTATGAAATGGGTTTGGAAAAATACGACGCTACTGGGAAGAGGACAGCACGTTCTTTGAAATTTTACCTATCTCGATCGGTATAGCACGACTGTAACTTATTGCAGTGTTATGGAGATATTCGGATTTGGTTAGAAGAACTAGTAGGATTTGCGAATTCTCAGGGCATGACTTATCAAGGAGATGCGGGAATTAGGCGTTTCGGCAAAAATGCTTTGGAGATCAAGTGCCATGGGAATGACCCCTTTTGCCTGACGTTCATTTCTCCGTGTGCTTCCTCCTCATCCAGCCCATATATGAACGTGGTTGAGCTAGATTAATCTAACCTTTCCCCACCATTTTTGTCATGGTTATTGTATCTACATTTTGACCCGTCGGCAACGCAATGCAGAATGCAGACTAGCGCCTTAACTGTCTTGTACGTATCTATTTACAGTATACAAAAATATTCGGGCAAACTTAGTGTCCCACCCTCTTTTCTTTGGCTAATGCTAGTGCGCTTCTGAAATTTCCTAACGCAGAAAGCTTATTCTACTTCCGAAATGCGGTGGCCGGAGACGACCACTACGTATACACGTACTATTTTGCTGATTGCTGCCACTGAATGGCTCTATTCACGATGACTTCAAACTTTTCGCTTCCAGTGAGAAAGGGCGTTCGTGCTTACAGTCAGCAAGCTCAAGTGCCTCAGTGAATGGAATTTTCCCATTTCCGCTATCCATCTTAGAATTTCGACTGACAAATTCACCTACCCCTGTATAATATAATCCTGAATCTGTCTGTTTTGTCGGACCGCAACCAATAGTTGTCATAATTCGTCCCCTCTAAGATGTACCCCGAAAGCGGAGACTATAACCACATAGAGAGACAAGTGAAGAAGAAAGTTCTAAATGGTCGGTCTTTGGTTCTGATGGATTCTCATCTACTGAAATTTGTGTTTTTCGAGCTCTTTCCCTGGCTACGTTGCACGTCGTGCACGGAAGAATGTCTGTTAACTACTCATCTATTTATGTCTCGCTAGTCTCAGCTCATTAAAAGAAAGATGTTTCATGACTCCTCATTCGCTAGTTGAAGTGCTAACCGCCCAGGCCTGTTCATTCATAGGAATCAGTTGATTATGTTGACCAAATCACACATCGCCGTTCAGCATGCACAAAGATATCAGGCTATTAGGAAGGAGGCATGCGACTCAGTGAACACCTGCTGCGTTTACCCGATCCCCAGCGATCCAAACCTAAGATCGTACCCTATTCCGATTAACAACGAAATATAGATGGATTCTAACCGCAATGCCACAAGCTCTTTACCCGTGGTGAGGCGCCGAGCAGTGCGCCAATCAAGAGTCAGTACCCGCGAGGCTGCAATATGGTTGACCATTCTCCTTATTAGTTAATTGTCTTATGCCAGCGATGAACTAACTAAGCTCATTTAACTAATGCGTGGTACTGAACCGTACAGAGAGCACTGACTCGTTCAGGTTCTAATTTTTTTTATTACACCTCTCTCCGATCTTCCATGGTTATCTTTACGTGAATATCCCAGTCACACTACGTGAAAAGATCTAGAAGACAGGTTTCTTGTTTTGCTTCTCGCATTATCGTTCAACAAAATCCAAGCCCGGGAGCTAGGTATTATGAGTTGACTTAATACTATGGAGGATTTGGGATATCTCCCACGCATGAGGTAGAGAGGACTGCGAATGTCTTCATTAAACGAAAATAATCAAGTCAGATGGAAAGAAGTGAATGAAAAAATGGGGCACATTGAGTACATGTTATAGTAAATGTCGCGTAGATACATATTCAGAGACCAGAGAATGAAGGTTGGGAAACGTGATGGGTAACTCCATTAGGAATATTTTCCTAGGCTGCTGGATTGAAGAGCTTTTTTATCGTTAAAACCGATCACATAGCCGTCAGGATCACGGATATAGAACATCCGCTGTCCGGTGTGGTCGGTAGTCAGCGGCTTGACGATTTCAGCATGGGAAGAAACTGTTTCGTATACTGCTTGCACATCATCCACGGAGAGATAGAACATTCCGGCGAAACCGATTGGCTGATCTTTGAGACAAGGAAGCCATTGTTTGAGGTCGCCGTTCTTGTATATCATTGTGCAGAACTCGCCATTGTAAAGAAGCATGTGGATATCATCTCCTGGGCGTGAGGTGCTCGAATCAACGGTGAAGCCAAGCTTCAGATAGAAGTTGATGGTAGCTGCGGTGTCGGAGACACTGATACACGAAATGAATGGCATTGCGGAAGAATAGTATTTCAAAGCAGAGCAGCAAACTGTTGCTACCGTGAGCTAGAAGGTGAAATACGAAATAATTTCGGAGTGTGAATTGTTTTATACCTTGGGCTTAATATGATTAGGTGGAGTGGTATTTGTGTTCTAAATTACAACCGAGTGGAAAGTACTATGAAAGAAACGAAGCAGATTTCGGTAACACTAAATACTAGGAACACTTAGCGCGATCGAACAACGCCACCCAGCCCCGGACGCCCGCGGGAAGCGAGTTAAGAGAGGCACCATCCGTAGAGGAACCAAGACGATATGCGGTCCGTTCCAGACTATTCGGACCAGGTTTACAGAGGCTCCGACGGGTGATTGTGGACGGATATCACTCCGTTGTCGGGGCTAGATAATAGCAACTTGAGCTAAGTTGCCTCAGAAGCGATAACTTTCTTCGGGCATCCGCGGACGCCGAAACACCTGAGTTTATCTTCGCATTAGTTTGGTGTACGGTATCTTACCGTGAACGCCTTCCCACCTAAGCCCCGCCACAACTCCGCTCATCCCAACGAGTATCCGCCAAGAATGTTTAATTTTGAAACCCAGCCGTGGACCCAAACTGGTTGTTGCCAAGTAACTCACAAAAGCACCTCTACCCGCATTCCGGCGGGCTCCCTAGTCCACCTACCAATAGCAAGGCGTCAGTGTAAATAAAATCACCACCAACAGATCTAACTCCACCCCGAGGACGCGACTCTTGGTGCCAAGCTGCTCTTCGTAGTTACATTCGCGCCTTATCAGGGTTCTTATTGAAGGATTGGCGTAGATGCTACCGACCATCCAGCGAGACAATAGACAATCCGTAACCTATGGCCAATTCCATAATAGGCGGGACTCTAGAATGAGGATTCGAGCAGACTGTAGTTATAAGAGAAAGGCCGGTGTACTGCAACACATGAAGTACCTGAGAAGGGTGCCTGATAATAACAATACGTATATTGTAATCTGACTATTTATGCCGCAGAGGATCAAATCTGTAAGAAATAAGAAATAACAATAAAATGTGGAGCTATATTATATGAGCAAATACTGAATAGCTATAGACTATGCTGTGAATAATGGAAGAGTCTACGGATTATTCATACGCAGCCTCTATATTGTTCCCGGCTGGGTCGAGGACAAAAGCGGCGTAGTATGTGGGTGTGTTGTATTCAGGCCGTGGGCCCGGGGGTCCATTGCAAGTACCGCCAGCTTTAACACCTGCAGAATAAAAGGTATCGACAGTGGTGTGATCTGAGATAATCTTTAGCCAACATTCATTGGGTAGACGAGTACTAAGGAAAGAGGATAGAGAAAGGCCAACAGACGGAGTAAGAGAGAAATAAGAGCTAAGAAATGCAAACACTTACTATCGGCTTTGAAAGCGAGGTGTACCTTTTGGTTGGCGGGGACTTCGTGGTCGGCAGTAAGGAAGAATTCTGGACGGTCGACACCCAGGCCAACACAGTTTTCAATGGGGCGCATCATCTCTTTATATCCAAGTGGCTTCAGAGCAGACAGATAAAATGCAAGGGTAGCAGAAAATATCCTAGGCGGGACCCGAATGCCGATATGGTCAAACGCCATATCCAGAGGAAGCGTAATGGATAACGTGAAAGTGTTAAATTGGGAAATCACTTAAAGAGGGACTACAGTGATATATTCACTGCTACTCTGGGTAGGTGTTTTGAAAATGGGGGGGTGTGCAAGCATACGAAGAGTGTGATGAGGGCCATATTCCATTGCATAACGTCGGTCACCGTCTGCCGCCCGCCACCGCCTGCCGCCCGCGCTCGGAACCCACGAACCAGGTAAAAATGAAGCTTTACAACCACGTATAATCCAAATTATATAAAGATCTCTTGATGTAGTAAACTTAAGGTCCTAAATTTGCTATATATTCTTTTAATCATCGCGAAAGCGGTGTGGGAGGCGAATCACCCTTCCTCGACTGTTTGTAGGCAAAGAGGCCTCATCAACCACCCGAGGCACCTGAGCAACGATATCTTCATTATTTTGAGCTGCTGGAGGTGTAGGGATCTTGGTCTTGCCTCTCCTTGCGGTTTTGAAGTCATTTTGAAGCTGTATAGAGGCATCCTTTGCCAGGCGAGCTTCCTCCTTTTGGCGCTTCTTTTCCTCCGCCTGCTGGAGGCGTAATTCTTTATTAAAGGCCCTGATTCTCTTCCTCTCTTCAAGCAACTGTTGTTTAGCTTCCTTTTCCTGCTGCCGACGAAGCTTTGCTTCCTCTTTTGAAGCCTTAGCAAGCTGTATTTCTCTCTCCTTTGCTGCTTGAAGACCTCGGGCCTGCTGGATCTTATTAGGTGAATAAAATACTGCACCACCAGTCTCTGGAGCGGCTGTTCTAAAGCCAATGGTTTTCCACGCTTCCGCTTCCTTTTCTCATTCTGGAGAGCCTGCTCGAGGCCCTGGCAACGCAGTTTTAGCAGGATATTCTCTGTGGAGAGGTGGTGCATCGTTGAACTTAATTTTTTGGACTTTTTATTATGAACATCTGCAACAACCTGCTTTAGAAGCTTCTCAATCCTCCGCCAGTCCTCTGCCTGCAGGATCGAGCGGGAGGACTCACTAGAGCTGGGCCTTTTATCCTCTGCTTTGGTAAAGCGCGCCAGAACGATCTCTGGGTTAAATGGCTATAAACCGACAGATTTCCATGCACTTTCAATATTTTTGGTTGATAATGCCTTATTCCACGCTGGCCAAAACATCCTGAAGAAATCCCGCTTGCTAATATTGCAGAGGCCTTGAGATGCATGCAAAAATGCTTCCAATTCGTTGCTGTACGCCCTAGCAAGCGGCCCAAAGATACTGACATCGAGCGGCTGCAGAGAATGCGTAGAATGCGGAGGATATGTCATTAAAAAAATCCTATTAGCTTCACAGAAGCTTATAAACTTCATTGTAATATGAGATCCGTGGCCATCAAGGAATAAAAGCCTGTAATCCCGCTTTGCCTTGGGCTTCGTCTCCCGGTCAAAAATTTGCTGAAGCCAAGCAAATCCGAGCTCATCGTTGGTCCAACCAGATAAAGAAGAGGCAAAGAAACACTGCTGATCCACTGGATTGAAGTCTTGTAGCCAGGTGTCTTGTATTTTGCCAGAAACTGCCTGATATATCAAACCAGGCGACAGCGAGGTCCTATCAGCGCAGATACATGCAATTGTTGTTATCCACTCCCGATTACCATCTTGCAGGCGTTGTAGAGAGGCGTCTTTCTCATACTTCTGCCTAGAAAAGATCCTTTGGCCTTTAGGAAGGATTCCAATAAGAAATCCTTTCTCATCCATATTATATAATTCTGTGGCTGAACGTTATATTCCTTGATCTTCCGGTCTGCAAATCAAAGTATAAAGCGTATTTAAACGCAGAATCGGCCCGTTTTCGTGCAGCGTCGATTGCACCTGTATAGCGAGAAAGAAGGTCTTTTTGGTGTCTCTTGATAAAGCGGCCTGGCCAGTGTTTTCCTGGCTTAATTCCGGTAATTTCTTTAGTGAAATTCCGCAGCATTTCATGTGTAGGATAAAGGCCTTGGTTTGACAGCTTATTTATATAATTTATAAGCTGGTTGGCCTGGTGGTGGTTAAGTAATTGCTGGTTTTCATACTGGTCCTCCTTTGAGTGCTGAATTCCGCGATGATGCCTTGAAAGTGTTGAACGGCTTACACCAAACTTTTTCGCAATATCTGTATATGTGAACGATTCTCCAGGATGACTGAATTGATTGCTTCTAAAGCCGCTTCGAGAGGAGTCATATTGAATGAGATATGGGGTTTTGAAAAAGGTCAATTAAAATGTCGGTGAGTATAGATACGGGCGTCAGGCGGTGACGGGCGGCAGACGGTGACCCACGTTATATATAGAACTTTAAAGAACGTCGTTGGTGGGGAAAGTGTAAAAGTTCCATACAAGTCTAGATCGGCGCGTTGTCTTACCCTAGATCTAATAAAGTCTAGTCAAGCTAAAAATAAGGTTTATTTGGAAGCAGGTGTGATTCATGCTGATCCAAGGATTCCGCTATTCCATATTCAGACCCCGATGCTAAATAGAATCCTTTTAGTTTCAAATGTTGATCTACCCATTAATTAGCTGACAGAGTTTGCATATCCATATTTTTCCATCTCCACTTCGCTGGTCCGCATAGAGAAGCGTAGAACTATGTGACTTCATGGAGGTTGAGCAACCGCAAAGTCGGCAATATAACGTCAGATGAGCGTGACTGGTCAATGGCTCGACTCCAAATAGAGCTACAAAGGCTTGTCCAGCAAAAGCTAGCGAAAAGCCATCAAAAGTCGATCGAAAAACAGAGCTCTTGTTTTATCCCCACTTCATTTAGTCAAGATAATTCATACACATTAGTACAGATTATACCTATTCCCTTTAATTATTTTTCCATACAGCCCCTTCTTAAAATGTCCCTAACAAATCTAGTCTACCTCACTCAATAACTTCAGCCTGAGATCTCCCTTCTTAATTTCTTTTCAAGATAACATTAAGATGCAACCTGACAGGCCATACATCCCTGCTGGGCTCGTTGGGTCTTACAAGCTACTGTTATAGGAGCTTTTAGCTACGCAGATCAGCGGCAGTCTATCTATTCCGGGCAGAATGACAACGGAAGAAACCGGACAATTGCAAATGCCCACGGCTTTTTCCAAACTTCCCAATTGGCTAATTGGTTCTCCGGCAATCAGCACAGGTTAGCAATGTTGGATGAACATATATCCCCTTGATGCTTCTGGGCATCTGAATAGTGAGTCCGATGTCAATAGTTGATATGTTATCATTCAGATCGCCGCAAGCATCTAACAACTGGAATCTGCGCCGTAGATACGGGTCTCTATCAATAGTATTGTATTATTTTGTCCTATTTGAGACCACTGTTAAATTCTGCCCCAGTACTTCCACTTTCTTGTAAGATCGACTTCCTTTTCCGGCTGGTGGCCACTCTCCAGACAATCCCGCTCAATACCTGTCCATAGATATCAAGATCTTTAGCGCCTTCTTCCACAGGTGACAGTTGACTCCTGGGTTGTGTCATCGTTAAGTTCAACTACCCGATGATATTCAGTTGTCAGGTGATAACTACAGTTGGTTTGAGCAGCTTGGAGTCTATAGTTCCTTGAAAACGAACTCCAAATGGCATATGGGTATCTCCATATTTTGGGCGGGGGTTGGGGGGGAATGCTACTCAATCTTCCCTGCTTTCCATACTTCCTCCAGAGGCCTGCCGGACGCCCAGGAAGACCTTGCTTTCAGGTAACAGAAGGAGCTGACTGACGGTGAACGAAGAACTGCCTAAACGTGGCAGATGATTTGTCCGTGGAGTAGACCTAACCATGCGTTATCGTTGTTGGCCCAGTCTCGCCAGGCCTGCGCGAGGTCGGTCAAGTCCTGAGCCGTACAAAACTTATTCTCCAGCACGATTCTCGAGAAAGTTGAGTCTTGAGTGCGCTCGGCCATGCTTGTGCCCCAAATAGCCCTCTCCTCGGGCGTTTGGAAGCACCAAGAACCAGTCGTACACCTGACTTGGTTGTGCCCAAATCCTGCCTCGTTTGCCCAAGTATGCAGAAAGCTTCCTGGGTGCGGGTTTGCACCCCTGGCTCGTGCCACACGGTTTTGAAGGTCCCACCATTTTTGGATCCCATCTATATGAGGGTACCAAGTTATGGAGGCTGTTTCGGACACCGCAACTAGGCCCCCTGGTTTAGCCACACGGCGCATCTCACGCAACGCTCGGATAGGGTCTGCGACGTGTTGGAGAACTTGATGTGCGTGGACGACGTCAAAAGATGCGTCTGCGAATGGCAATGAGTGGACATCGCCCAGGCAGAATTCTAAATTCGATAAGCCTAAGTCTTGAGCTAGTTTGCGGCCGTAAATAAGAGGATGAGAGACGCAGTCTAGTCCGACAACGCGACCTTGTGGGACAAGTTGGGCAAATCCCGTTGTAATAGTGCCTGGGCCACATCCGACATCTAGGATTATCGTGTCAGGTTTCAGGTGAGGTAAAACGTATGATGCAGAGTTGGACGGCGTGCGCCATTGATGGTTACGGAGCACTGATGCTGAATGGTCGAAAACATAAGCGGACAAGTTCGGCGAGGTTGGTTGTTCCTCCATTCTCGTTTCCCTGTATTAACGACCTTCCCCTGTTGTGCTTCTTTATTGCATGGAACTCTAAGAGAGGAGTAAGCTCGAGACCAGATCAAGCCCGACAGTGACTGTTAAGACCTGAGAGGGCCAATGGGGAAGTGGTTGGATGAATCGAACGGCTGAAGTGGGAGTAATTATGAGATATTTTTGGGATAGTGCATTATTCTGGTCCCTTTGCGATATGTATAGCATTTGGTCTTGGTGTTGCACTGACCAGGGGAGGCGCTGTGTTAGTGCACTCCCTATAGCATCGCCAAGACGGTTTTGTTTTCAGCACCGCCTCCAGCCCAGATTTAAGATCTCAGTTCCATGAATCCACATAGCTCCGTTTGCTGAAATAGTGGAGTATGCGAAACCTACTAGTGGCTTTAACACGTCAGGACCCATCAGAATGCCCTCCGACCCATCCTAAAAAGACATGTCGTGTTAGGTGGATCAAGTTGCCAGTAATTACTAGGTAATCTCGTTAAACGGGGCAACCCATACTCAAAATGCTACTCGATCTTTCTTCGCATGTTTACCTACGCAACCCTGAGCCAACAAACCCGAAGCATCTATTCGCAGAATAAATTCGATTCACGTGACCAAATCGCTCTTGGTCCAAAGCCTTTGGAGAACTTCCTTTGCTGCCATTTGCTTTAATCCTGGATGTATAAGTCTGCTTACATACCGGAATCCCTTAATGTTACGCAGGCTGGGAAGGGGGTTATTACCGGAACTCTGTGGCCTGGCCTGGCCTGTGCCCCGCGGCTACGCAGAAGCTAATGCCTCCCGTTCGGAAGCGAGTAGGATCTTGGGAGATCTGTTCTAAATGGTCCCAGCTACATCTTTTACGTAGTGGCGCTCGCTAGCTCCTACTTATATACTGCGCAGGTTTTCCTTTAACTAGTTTCTCGTCATCAGCAGACGCAGTGCTGCGATATGTCCTCGAGTAAGATCGATGACACGGATCAAACGCATGCATAGCTATACCATCATTACGGATATATTATTTGATAGTCATGGAATACACAGACCGAAGGCTCCTAAAAGAAAGATTTTCAATCTCATTTACAGGCTGTCAATACTGTTATTCATACCTGGAATAAGCTAGGTTTGCAAGTAATAATATTAAAGGCCAAGCTCTCTGTGACGTCTGGACGGGCCAGCTGTTTTATAATATGCTGTAGAATGGAGAGCTACGAAATAAAATCAAGAGTAAGAAGACCGAACTTAAGGCTAAACTGCAGGGAGTTATAAAGAGATGTGAACTTGAGCGCTATGTAGATCAAAAGCGAATGTTCCTTTATTTAGCGTTAGTTAATTATTATTATCCTCTATATACCTTCCAAGTAGAATGATGCAGTGGATGTGGGTAAAAATATAGGGCAGTAACAATCAAAAAAATTACCTCCACTATTTCGATACACATCTATACAAGATCCGAGGAATGATATGCGAAGTTTGTATTAGAAACATCATGGTACAATTCAGAAGCTGAGCATTGCTGATGAGGTTCCTTCTCGAGCCCCATTACGCGGCTGTTCCCAAGCGAGCTCTGATCATATACCAAGAATAGGGCTGAACGGGTGAGGAAGAAGCTATACAGGCGTCACTCACAAGGTAGGCGAAGAAAAAACATCTGCAGAGAACAATCGTAGCCGAGAGAGTCGGAGTAATATGATAACCCTGGAATACTTCTACTCTATAGAGAATCAAGAACTAGAGGACAGCGAGAGACTTGCCCTAATGTTCCACTCCGGGAATTTGCATAGACACTATGCATTGCTGAAATCAATTCGGAATGATGAAGAGGCAGGAACTGCTACTTTTAAGGGGGGAGTGGATTTACATTGACTGATTACATGGTTTCTATTTCCAGGCGACAAGGCGACTTGGTGGCAGGTGTCAAGGGCTGAACCCATAGAACCTATGAGATAGGTTATGTACAAGAAGGAATCGTTGAAGAAGGGAAGAAAGGAAAAAAGGAAAAATGAAAATAGGAAAAAAAGAGAGAGAGAGAGAGAGAAAGAAAGAGAAAAAAAAAAAAAGAAAGAGAGAAAAAAAAAAGGGGGAAAAGGGAAAAAGAGAGAAAAAAGAAAGGTCGTGCCCGGGTTCGAACCGGGGTTATTGGAAATTGTTGAACATCAAACTGGGTGTTTATTAGTATGACTGTACTCGATGGAAATGGGCTAGTGTTCCTTACATCCAAAGTGATAACCACTACACTACACAACCAGGTGTTATGCAACGGGTCCTTGCTAAGGATTATGTATGAATATTTTTTTCAGAACCAGGGTAGTTCCCTCAACGTGATGACCGTGCTGCGGAATCGAGTCCCAGGGGGCTTACTGAGGGATTCCTTCCTCCTACCTTTCCTGTGTATATATATTATAGAGCCACTGCAATATGCAGAAATTTTGCCTCCCACAAGGGAGCGCGATGGGGCCCTCTCTGACACTACTGCCTAACGCGTCTACGTTTAAGACTCCAGCCACAGGTGACCCGTTGCGGCCAAACCATATACACTGTCCGCTAGAGGTCATCAATAAAGGGGCATTATGTATCCAAGACGTGCGGGGCCTATCAACGGAAACGTTCTCCCGGGAAGGAATTCGTGTATGAGGACTGCTGAAGCTAGACCATGCTGCGGAAGGCGACAATACACCGGTTCTGAACCGTGTTCTTTTGGACATTTATTCTCTGTTGTGCCTTTACCGGCCTGTAGCCATGAGTAGTAGCCGTGATGATGAAAATTTCCTCGAGATTCATTATGTTTGGATTCATCCCTGGCAATCTTGACCTACCAGGATTACTTCGAACTCAATGTAGCTGACTTGGATCTTCTCAATTACAAATTCTTACTGGAACCTCTCCCATGTTTTGTGCAAAATTGGTGCAAAATTGACATATGGGCTGCGCTCGGCGGCCGTGGGTATCACGACATCCAGTACATGGGGATGTTCGATAATATAATAAATTTGCCAACTTCCCTACCAAGCAAATAACTACTGACGCCAAGACCATTGCCGTTCTCAGTACAGGACACAGTTCGGTCAGACCCGGCAGAAAAAGCTGCCAGGCCCATTAGCGCGTCTTCCGTCACATGACCCAGAACATCAGCCAGGCCCTTTGATACCGCTAGAATTGTCCTGAGAATTGCCCATGAAATCAATATTTCTTATGTAGGGCTTTATATTCAATTTAACTAGGCCAGTTGCTATTTATCAGAGGCTTGATGTGACGATTTGGTTGTCTCTGCGCTAGTAGAGATAAAACCACTTCAAAATATAAGGTACAAGACGGCTGATCGAAGATCATTCGCATCTAGCACCCTGTATAGTAGCGAAGACCTTAGTCTGAGCACCATACTGAGTTTAACCCGTGACATATAATTATGCAAGAATATTTTTCCTTCCTTTATTTTAATGGGTTTTGTCAGGGGTGTCAGGAGTCGGAGCTGCCACGTGACAGCCCTCACCGCCTGTAGATGTCAAAGGCTAAACACGTGGAACCTATAATAGGCTATGTACAGAAAAATCGTTGGAAAGAAAGAGGAAAGGGGAGAAAAGCCACGTGTTGCGGGTCATCGAGCGCCTGTGTAGCGAACAGGGCCGTAGGGACAACGGGAAAATTGGCCTGAGGGTTAAATGGGCTCTATCTAAATACCTTAACAGTTTTAGTGGTTTACCAAGACCTAGCTAATTCTTGCAAGTGTACACAGTAGTACTGCCGTGCGAGCACAGTTTTAAGGGAAAAAGTATTATAAATTAAGGCTTGATCAGGTAAGCTATAGAGGTTAGAGCTTTATATGTGCAAAATAAATTCTATATCGAGTTTAATTAATATCTAATTAATATAATATCCATACTATATATATATATATAAACCACAGGTTTGCAGAAGAGAATAATATCAATCAACCTTCCTCTGAATTACAACCGATATTTCTGGGGTCCTCGGCTGTCGAAAGGAGAGAATGTAGAGGATGCGCAAGTGAACATAGGACAACAGATGAAATCCGCATAAGTGGAGCGATCTCTGTTGCCAGAAGATCCGCTGTTTAGAGGCCTTGGTGACCACCTCGCTTGGGTCAGGGGACCCATAACTAGCCATAGTTAGTCGTCAGTTTGCCTTTTCAATCAAGAGTCAAGGCAGATTTCCCCTTTAGTCCTCTGAAATCCTTCCCACCCCGAGCGATCCTGATCAGGCCGCAGAATCGCGAACACTGAGGGAACGTATATGGGTCCCCCGGGACGAAAGGACATCTGCAAGCCCATGAACCGCACTTTGTGATACACCGTACCAATTCACTGAATCAGATATAGTACTTAAATGTCTATCTATAGCAGCACACCATCAAGCTTTACATCACTGGCAGTACATACTAAGAAAAGCGTAGAGCATGGCGAGTCCAGAGCAGCACATGCGATGAACTGAAAGAAGGATTAGAAATATACTCTTTAAACAGGTCAAAGGTCTGCTAGAATCACAGACAGGATAACAACAGCAAGAGTGATATGTACAGGAATTGATCATTTATAGAATCGGGCCGATGGGTTCAGATACGCTTCCGTCTCCTGCAAGGATAAAAATGGTGGCGCCGTTTTGGGTCTGAACAGAGAGTTGGAATTCATCCCCTCATAGAAATACTCATCTGCCATTTTCTGTCGGGTCATGCGGCGCGCCAGGTACGCTTCATACTCATCCTTCCCTAAGGTCGCAAAAAGGTAACGAGGATGCACGCAGACGGCCTGCGCACCTTTCTGCCCAAAGCCAAAGGAGGTTACTGAAACAGCTTTGAGGTTGTGGACGTGCACCGGATGATTAAGGTAGGCAATGAGGTCGAATTCTCTGAAAGATGGGTCGATATTGTCTGCATTGCGGTTACCCGGGACCAGCTCTGAATCCAACATCTGGAGTGCACCGTTCAACATCCATGCACCGGCGGCACCTTTTGAATGGCCGGTAAGATATTTCTGAAAGACACTGAGGATCAATTTTCCCCTCCGCCGGCCAAGAGAATTTAGTTGCTGCTGAATCACGCTGGACTCGTTTTTGTCATTCAACCCGGTCGACGTGCCATGAAAGGAGGCGACATCCAAGTCGTCAACGGTCAAGCCCCAAGTGGCTAACGCGCCAGCTAGCGGGGCGATATAAGGGTCATTTCGCCAAAAGCTATTGCCGAGAGAGTAGCGGGCATCTCTCTCCTCCCGAAGGAAATCTGCCAGGATCTGCTCGCGACGTTCTCGAACATATGCGTCCACGTCCACGGTCGAGTCCTGGGCTATCATGGTGGTCACCTCAAACTCGAGATCTTGCAATGATATATCTCGGGCCTCCGCAATCTGCCTACACCGGAACTCTAGCCTCTTCTTGCGATTGCCAATGTTCAAAAGAGGAGACACCACACTGGGTGCAATGTGTCGGGCATTAGTCAAGACCCCCTTCCCTGGGGCGGGCACGGATCGAGCGGCCTTGTCACTGGAGGTTTTCACAAATGCGACAATACCGCGAATGGGTAAGCCCATTTGCAAAGCTAACTCCGCAGTAGTCAGGACCTGGAGGCCGCAGCCCTGGGATTCCACAAATCCATTCCGAGTGCTGGTGGCAGGTCGTGACATTTCACTGGGGGCCCGACCTCGCGCAATCTCATCGTGGGTGTTACTGGTGGCCTTCATGTTGGCAAACTCGTATGACATCTCTTCCGTGAAATCATCACTGCCTCCGACCAAGCAGAACTTGGCCTTTCCTGTCACGATTGTATCATATCCTAATTCTAGAGACTCAATGGCCGTTGCACAAGCCCCAACCGGCGTACGAAGGGGCCCACTGGCAGATAACAGGAGCATGTTGACCCAAGCACCGATCGTGTTGACAAAGGTTTCCTGAATGATGTCGTTCTGCACTTCCAGGCTCATATGACGGCCGGTAAACATCTTTGATAGGGAACCCGCCCCTCCGAAACCCGAGCCGACGCATGTGCTGACCTCTGAGATATGGATATACTGATAGAGCTCATATGGATCGGTGATCCCAGAGGATAGAAGAGCCTCTACTGTGCACACCAGAGTAAATAATGTGGCCCGGTCAACCTGCCTTATGATTTCCTCTGGGATTCCGTACGTCCGAGGGTCCCATCCTGTCGGGATCTGTCCTGCGACGGTTCGATTGAATTGCATCGCGCGGGGAATGAATAATCTTGCTCCTTTGCGTAGCTGTACACGGTAGAGGTCTGATGTTGAAGATCTGAGGACACTAGAATACTCCCCATGCTCTAGTTTCATCTGTTCAGCCAGCGACTCTGGCACGTCAACTGGCTCGAAGTCTTCCTGGAGGATGATCTCATGCAGAAACTGCTTTTTATTCGGATCATATCCGTTGCAGAGCTCTGGTTCAATGAAACGAATCCCGGAATGGTCTAAGATCCTCTCTTCATAGATTTGTTTCACTTCGACGTCTGACACTGGCTGCTTGGTCTTGACGTCTACCCAGCCTGAATACGGCCGGCCATCCACGGTTCCAGAGAAGTGACGAATGAATCCCATCAGCCAGGCCATTTCAATGGCACCTTCCAGGGAAAACTCGCCGTATGCTTCCATTTCCCATCGAGTACGGGAGTTCCCATGAGGGCCCAGCTCGGAATATCCAGTCACGACAACAGTGCGTTGAAGATCAACCATGCCATGCAGATCAGGACCTAGGGGCCTGATATCTTTGTCATACTCAAGAGTCTTGGGGAACTCCAAGCGAACATGAGCCCTTTGTTCTCCCTCTCGCTCCCGCTGCGCTCCTTGTGAAGTTGAATCAGAGTTAGCAAAACACTGCTGCTCGAGCGCAGACTCGGTGAACAACGCAGATTGGATTTCGCTTTGCTCCTTGAGCTCCTGCCGCAGACTCTGGAGCTTCTCAGGAAGCCCATGCACGTGTGCCATTCGCCCAGTAAAGTCGGCATAGATGGGTCCCTCCTGACAGATCTCGTTGATGGTCTGAACGCACAGACAAGTGAGAGCGTATGCCATCTCCTCTTGCGAAAAGGTGCGCATGCCGGCAGATTCAATACCTTCCGCGACCAGGTCGTTTTGATTCATCAAGCCCGTCCCTCGAGTCCAGCCAATGACTGCACCGCAGATGCTCAAGAAATCCTGCCAGTCCTCGGAATGCCAGCGGTTGAACAAGGTCTCCAGGGCCAGTTTTGATTCACTGTACAAACCATCGCCGCCTAATGTTCCGTGATTCGGTGATAAGGGCAGTATTACCTGTGTCGGATGAGAGCGATATTTGTATTTTTCTTTGCAGGTCTTCACGGTGCCCAGCAGTCGCAACACATTGGTTAGCATGATCCGGTGCGCGAGCTCCGATTTGGAATCGATCGAGTCCAGTCTCCGACCCGCCTCGCTGATGGCAGCAAAGGGGACCAGATAATCCAGATCCCATCCGAGGCCATTCTCGGCATACACATACTCCACAAGTGAGGTCACGTCCTGGATGCTCGCTTGATTGAATGGGACTACAATCAATTGCGAGCCTCGGGCTCCATGTTCCATGTAGATGGCTTGATATTTCTGAGCTACCTCTGGGGAGAGGGAGGATGTTGTGGTTAACACTTTCGCGCCTCCTTGGAGGAAATGACGAATCATGGCTGCACCAATCGACCCAATTCCGGCCCCCGTAATCAACACAGTTTGGCCGCTGAATGTCTCCCCCTGTTTTTCGACGTGATCCAAAGCGTCATAAAGATGACCTGTCAGCTTTCGGCTATACTCATATCCATGGGTATGCCTTTCCTTTAAGTGAAGATAAGGTTCTGCTGTCTGGGAAGTCGGCATGGCTAGGTCGGTGAAGCGAAGGGATGCGCTGCGCTCCTTCTCATGATACTGCAAGTTGCCTTCGGCATCAAGTCTCGTACAGGGTGCCCGCTGTCTTGGGGCTCCCTTGAAAACAGGACCAGATTGCAAAGTTTGCCTGCACTTTTCTTCCAGCTTGGAGAAAATGGAGCAGAGCATAGGATGGTCTTGCAATTGGGTCATCATCTCATTCAGAACGGGGAGGACCGTCTCTTCCGCCGCGTTGGCGATCGAATAGCACACCTGCGAAACCGCATTCTGATCCAGAATGAACTCCTCTCCGCGTTGTGCAGCGGATACAACACTGAACAGCTCGAGAAGTCTCTGACGGGCCCAGTTCCATGCCGAGTCATACAGTCTGACTTTTCGTACATCGAACCGCGGACGAATACCGTTCGCATAGTCCTGGCCATGCTCTGCGGTCCAAATGTCGAGTTCAGCTTGTAATCCTTTTTCCACATTTTCACGAAGGATCTCCAATGCCTGCCGATGTGTCTCAAGATCCAATCCGACATGAGATGCGTATACATCAAGCAGCTGCTTGGACAATGCTTTCTGAGACTCCATCAGTGCCCTAACCGCTTCGGGGTCGACGTGAATACCAGCATCTGGATTCTGGTCCGTTGTAGGATCGGAAGGGCCCAGAGTGATTCCTTCGTTGAACGCATATAGTTCGACGGCACGGTTGATGAAAGCTTTTGCTTCTAATTCCGTAGCGATTCGTGCAACGGGCTGCAGGGTGACGGCGAGCAGCAAGCAGGAGTCTTGCCTCCCTTGTTTTAACCCCCATTGCGTACGAAGTTGGTCTCTTGCCAGGGTGATTGTGAAGCTACTTGGCATTTTTGAGGTGAACATCAAATTGATCATAGCCTTGGAAACCTTGCCTAGATTTCCTTTATGATTGGATTGCATCGCCCTCCATATCTCACTCAGAGGCACATCCTCTGCCCGATCTGGTAAGGAACTAAATTCGCTGTGAAGATCACCAACAATCTCATTCTCCAAGGTGGACCGACCTGTAACATTAGCCAATTGTGCGACACGTTTGGGGATTCCTCTGCTATCCACATACCTCCAGCTAATGTCTTGATAGATTTGGTACTGTCAATGTCCATGGGGACTGTCTTCAACGCTCTGGAGACAATTGCAGTCACAATATCCTGCGTTCTGACCCCCTCATCATCGATTTCCACCTGTACAGGCACTCTCGCTGCAGTGGTGGATACTGGTACAGTCTTCGCAGCTTTCGCTGTTATCGGTGGTTCTGCCGCACACTCACCTGGTTTCTGAGCCACTAATCCATTGTCATTGGTATTATTTTCGGCCTCAGGAATATCTGGAACATGCTCGTAGTAGATTTCCTTCGTATCCGTTTCTGAATTCAGAAGCCGCCGTGGGGAAGCCCTGGTACATTCCTGAGTTTCATACACGCTGTTTATGGTTCGTTTGAACATGCCCACAAGAGTGCTGTTCGGGCCGACTTCGATGATCTTTTCGCAGTCCTTGTGCGAGAGAATCACGTCTTGGGTTTCAATCCATCGCACCGGTGACGCGAATTGGTATCTAGATAGTTCTCACGTTCGTTGATCAATTGCTCCCTTCCAACGACGTCTTGAATACGGATTTTACTTACGCCATTAGTTCAATGAGCAACGTGCGAGCCAGCTTTCGCTGGATCCTGACGTCCACTGCCATGGCAAAAATTCTTCGACCCGAAAGCTTGCACGGTCAACAAGAGGGGAATGGTTGGATGATGATAAGACGCAGATCTTATGCGTAGGAAGAAACAATGTGAGGGAAAAAACCAAAAAAACCAAAAAAAAAATGAAAAAAAAAAGGAATGGAAAAGAGCTCCCAAGTTCATCCTACTAGTTCTACCTTTCTGGTTAACACAGCGAATACGATGTTAGAAACACTGGTCTTATTCCTTTACTTCTCACGGCTACTTCCTGCTGGCCCCATCCTTACGCCTGTGTCATTTTAATGGGCATCTAATGGGTTACCAATCCCAATGGCAGCTACTTTGTACCGCTTAGCGGCGAGTTCACTGAGTTCTCAAGACCAAGCGTAAGCAGTTATCCTCCGGCTCGGATTTCAGCCCGTCCTAGGGACGCAGCTCCACGGTTAGACATAGCTCGAGGAAATCGGCGCTCAACTTGCCTCCGCTGTCCAAAGGTGGTAAGGCCCTTGGCAAGAGAGCTCAGAGGTAATCAGAAATCCGAGGCATTTAAATTCTATTTTAAAAGGAGTGAGAAATTGGCGTAAGGTGGTGTTTCTTTTGGAGAGACATGTTGAGATATGTTTAGCCTAAGCTAGTATTACTCTGCTGGGACTGGGGTGAGGTAGTTGTATGTATGTATGTATGTATGTATGTATGTATGTATGTATGTATGTAATGGAGTGCGTACGTATGTATATTTCCTTGTTTCAGTTGTCGATGTATTAAATACATACCAGGATCTGGTACAGCAAAGAGCTACTGGTTCATGTTACATCGTCACTTGTAAGCTCATCCTTCTGCTGTCCACTGCATTTGTTTCATTTGTTCAAGAGTGGGAAACGGGTCAAAGTCTGGTGAGTCATCTGGCCCGGTATCAATTGGCATTTCCATTAGTCCGGACAACAAGTACAGGCCCCTTTTGTTTAACTTCATTATAGATTAGATCCCCACTAGAAGTGCTACAATGCCAAGCAGTGGGAGCCAAATGTTTCCGTGCGCCATCCGGACGTCGACATGAGTAGAATGCCTGAGGTGTAAAAAAGTGGCCGAAAACATAATGCATGTCAGCCACTGACTGCCAAGCAGCAACAAGTGTGCACCACCACTGGATGCTATGGTCATGTCACTAAGATCCTCAAAGCCTCCGATTTCTGAGCGTAGTGAACATATTTGGAACTTTAACTCTGGCATGTTGATGGTTCGCAAGTGGTGAACAAAACAGAGTGTATATCCGCAGAGAACACTGGGGCATCTATGCAATGGTAAACGGCAAAACTTGGAAGGTGTCATGTATCAGGAGATGAGAAGGCCACTGCAATAATAATAATTATTCTTTAGATATATAATTATACTGTTTGATCAAATCTCTCCGACTGTAGTAGCAGATACAGTCGTGGCAACCTAGCTGTAATGCAATGCAGATAATGTACGTATGACGCATAGAGTCTAATTAATCTTGAGTACATCGGAATCCGTTCTGCTTCTGTTGACCAACCAAAGAACAGAACTTTATTCCCTGCCCTCCAGGTCCCTAGCACATGTCTGCATCCGGTGACACATGCCAGAGCCATTCAGCGTCAACTTTTGCTATCCCCTTTTGAACGTCTAAGAGAGCTTGCGACAGATTTTTGCAACCTTGGCCGGGGCCATCAGTGCTAAACTCAAATGTGTCGCCGGTAGATTTCCGTGTGATCGACCGAATAGGAACCAACATCGCCGCAGTTCCGGTAGCTAGGACCTCAGTGAAATAAGGAAGCTCCGAGTACGAAATCTATCCATTGGTCAATAATAATGCCGACCTAAACTAGGCTTTTTGAAAAATAGGTCTTACCGGGCGAACCTCCACTGTCCATCCGAGCGATCTGGCGAGATCCAGACAGGTAATGCTGGTGACACTTTTCAGAATGGAGCGACTGCTTGGAACGACGACCGTGAATGAGTCACCGGTCTTCTTCAAACCTATGAACGCTGAAGTACTGAACTCATCAATCTGGGAGTTGGTTCGACTATCGAGATGCAACGTGATGGAGAAGCCCTCGGCACGTGCCTGATCACTCCATTTTAGGACCGGGGCATAGTTCCCACCGACTTTGACATGGCCAACTCCCTTGGGAGCGGCTCGGTCAAGATCGTCCAAGATCAGAGCCTGAAGTGGGTGAACCCCGTGATAGGCTTTATAAGGTTGGACGTAGATACAGAACTTGTATCCCATGCCAGCCGAGACGGCGAGGAAAGGGTCGGACCCGAAGACTAAAGGTCGGATGTAAAGAGCAGCGTCAGTGTCATGCGGGGGCACATATTCCGCATTCCGAACTATAGCCAGGTTAATGCTACGAAGAAAGAGATCCTCTGGAATCGTGGGGATGGCGATGGTGGAACAGGAAAGGGCCAAGCGGGCCGCATGGTCTTTGGGTCGGAAGACCTGAATCTGGCCGTGGGGATCACGGTAGGCTATGTGCGTGTCAGTCAGCTAATCAAAGATAAGGGTCTTCCGCCAGCTCGCACCCTTCATGCCCTCGAAGGCTTGCTGACCTAACAGAACAATGAGACATCGTTTTAGGCACTCCCGATCCGCGGTACATTACCATAGTTGAGTCCTGGCGCAAGACCGTGGATTTGCAGTAAAGGGTCTTCGACAAATCGAGGCTCAGACCATTTGCCAGTGGAAGCGGAATAGTCGCACTCTACATGGCCATTGACTAAAATGAGGCGAAAGACTTTCAGTCACCATGTACATTGATTGATAGGTCAAGCATAGTAGTCGTCGGAAATTTCGTACCATCCATCGGCACAATGGCCAACTTGTCCCATTCTGGAAAGCGATATATATTAGTATCCTATAAGACCATTCCTTGGCGAACAGGTAGATAGCAGCCCACCTAGAGATTGAAGAGGTGGAGGGGGGAACGGTGCCATGGTGTATCCCTTTGCAGCCCAATAGAAGAGAATTAGAAATGCTGAAAACTATGATGGGAGTACAGCAAGAATTTAGTGGAATAGATATTGGAATACAAATCCCCGGGCTACGTCGCTCAGCTATCATGTAATATAAATCGCCATTTAAGGACGCGGAACTTATTGTTCGATGTGATAATGGGCAGTGCAAGTAGCCTGGCTACGGAGTATCTATTTCCTAGAGAATTAATTACTCTTTTCCCTTGGGGCAGGAGGATACAAGAAACGATACGTCTTGTATGGTATTGTAATACAAATACCTCAATTTCAAAACAATAAATTCATGTGACAGAATCAATACAGCAAAGTAAAAAACAACAGCAGTATCCAGGGTGCTACGCAGACCAGGCACTGAAGGACGGGGGCCAAACAGAATCAGTGTCTACTTCAATGCAGGAAATTGCCTCAACTTCTCAGCCCTATGTATTATATTGTGCTAGGCAGAGGAAACTAACTATTATAGGTAGCCTTATGCCCCACTATCTGCCGGGAGCTTCGCTAAAAGAGCCAAGAGACTGTAAGTTAAGGTTAAGGTTACGTAACTGGTCATACTAGGGTTACATTAGGGTTCGGAAGATATTGGGTCTCCGACTTTGGTGGGTCGAGACATGTATAGTACATAATTTTTTCGCCATGTAGTATGAAGCGGCAAGATAATTGGTTATCGGTCTTGTGGATTCTAAAAATGACATCGTATAATAGTTTGTGCAGATGAATATTAATTGCAGTTCAGCAATGACAGGAATGTGAGTTTGGCAGGATTTGTTTTGGGAGGTCACTTGTATCAAGGTCTGTACAATACACATGTACTAGTACCTGTACTATATGCACCTCGTATTCCTAGTGAGAAGCGACGGTCCGTTGTAAATCCCGTATTGGTAAGTGGCTTGGAATCTATTTTGAAATCATCCGCGTTCCAACGGGGATTGGAGAACCTAAATCTATGCCTAGTCTAATGAACAAATCCGAGAATGCAACTTCCTGCCGGTCACTTGCGGCGCATGCAATGGACCGGGAACCGACGCGTGCGCTCGCGCAGCATGGCTACCCGCTCCTGCAGGGTCATGGCGGTTTGGAGGGTCCCGATAGGAACCATGCATTTCGCAATATACTCGTAGTCCTTCCGCAGTAGTCTAATGGTAAGCATGAGATAATCGATGTTGCAGAAGACGAGGGCTTGCTCGTCCGTGTAGCGCGACCGGTCCTTTAACAAGGCCTGCGGATGGTCCCGCCAGTGTCGTCGCGGATGTAAATGATGCGAGGTGTGGTAGCCGTCGTTGAAGCAGAATCGATTACTCTAGAAACACACACAAAGGAAAAAGCGGATTTAGAATCATGCATTTAGTCACGGAGAATGGGAACTCACCGATACATCAATCAAGGTGATACTGGAGCGAAAGTCGGAGGTAGGATCCTGCGGATCTACAAATGCATGCTGGCCCCAATTCCCCGCCATGAGGCCCAAGCGGAGCGTCAGAAGTGGCAGGAAAAAGACACAGAAGGCAGCTCGGGCATTGCCATATCTCCACAGGAGATAGAGGAACAGGTAATTGCTCAATTCCCAAAAGGCAGCCTGAACTGCGTACGCTCGCTTCCCACGGCGCCAGAAATACAACGGCAGCTCCAGCCAAATGAGAAAGAAGAAGCGGCCCACGTAGCACGCGAAATCAAGGGGGGAGTCCCGATCATACCACATGGTCGAACTTAAATCGTCCGGCCCATTGCCCTCAACATGATGATGCTTCACATGATGGTAGTAGTAGGAATGCCAGGTGTGACCGAGCAGCGGATCTAGGATGTAGGGAAAGAGCCAGTCAACCCACCGATACGAGGGTGCGAGAATTCCGTTGAGATGGATGTACTGGTGCTTCATCAGTGTGTAGGTGCCGGTATACCAGACATGAAGCACCCAATGGAGGAGGCCATGCACCCAGGTGAAGTGGTAGCAATGAAGCCAGATAGCGCTGGGGATCGAGGTGGTGAGGTAGAGGAGAAGATGTGTCACCATGACCACATCGGTGGGAAAGCGTGCGGCGCCTTGCGCCCAGGCGATATAGGGCTCCAGGAGATACTTCCGAACGATGGCGGGGAGTTGGACGCGAAGGTGGTGCGTCTCCCAGAACTGGAACACGGTTGGGTCAAAGGCTGCATGGCTGGGATCATTGAGAGCATGCAGCTTTTGGATCGTTTCTGGCGTACTTTCTACACCGGTGGTGAGCTTTGTAAATACGATGGCCACGGAGTACTCACCCTGCCCTTCCGAGTTTTGCAGAAGCTCCCGTAACACCAGCTGGTCAGGGAGCGTGGAATAGGGATCGATCGCGATGGGCTGATCCATAATACAGCCAACACGTTCCAGGGCTATTCAACTGTGAGGGGAAGCGACATAAGACCTGTGGAATCCACACCACCAGAAGTTCCTCGAACGAGCAAAAAATAAGCTCGAACTTCCAAGGCGAATCAAGAACTTATGAAAAGAAAAAGAGAAGAGGGAGGATTTGGAGGTTGCAGGCAGTTTAAAGTCGTTCTATTATTCGGTTAGCATCGCCCCTCTTTAGCCGCACACACTAGAGCCGGCGCATTCAAACCCGACAATACTTTTTGTAGCGTATTCTGTGCGATTTTCCCTATTCCTTATTCCCTAATGTCTATTATTGTACCGAAACAGAGCCTGGTTATATGGCCAGGCAGATATTAAGAAGTCAAGACGAGTGGGATGTATTTTAAGTTCAAATTGTTTTGATCCACTAGGGCAAGGAGTCGACATTGTGACACGACGAATGCAGCGGAAAAAATACAGAGTTATAGAAGTACAATATGAAAGCAAGTGGATAATTCCATAAAAAGAAAAACAAAATAAACAACACACACAGTTTACGGACCGTAAATATGGAACACCGAAAAATCAGAGTACCCAGTCCGCCACGAACGATTGGAATAGGCGGAACTCATCATGAAGAGAGTCTCATCTTTCTTGAGTCTGTAGCAAGGCCTCGGCCATTCCTCGGACGGAAGAGCGATCCAGCAGATCCTCCACTGCGATCGGATATCCCTCCTGGCGCCAGATCGCAGCCAGCAGTGCGGCCGAGATCAAATCGCCCCCCACCGCGAAGAAGTCGGACTCCCAGCCCAGTGGTAGGTCAGGTTCTTGAAGAACACGCCTCCAAAGGCCGTAGATAGCTGACGCCAACTTGTCCATTGCCCCCTCTTGGTGCGGAATGAGAGCCGTCGCCGTCGTCATTGTATGTTCATGGCCATTAACACGAAACACCGGACCCTGTGCGTCAGAAACAGCACCTGGTAGAGGAAGTATTGGTCGGTGGCTGATCCATTGAGAGGGTAAGCCATGCACCGTGGCGGAATCGGGATCGCAGATGGCCTGAATGGTGTCACAGAGAAGATCCAACAGGGTGGATGCTGTCGATTCGCCCACCGATTGCGACGAGGTAAGGAGCAGAACCTGCATCTGGTTCTCATCCAGTGGAGTCGTCTTAATAGCAAGGTCTGCCTCATCTGCTGCCGGACAAAAATCGCCCACGGTATATGGTCTGCCATCGAGCGACACCGCGGACAATTGCTCGATGTTTTGATGTTGCACGATGCTGCTAAAGCGCGTGAACGGAGCCCAGGGGCTACAGCGTCGGACGACCTCGCGCATCCCCATTGAATCATGCGCCATGCTGGTTATATGCTGGGACTGCACCTGGTGCAGGAGATCCGCGACGGTGGTGGTGGAGTCGATGGAGACGCGGACCGGGACGATATTGAGGCAGGGACCGACGATGCGCTCAATGGCTGGCCCGGGGACGTTGCGGCCCGAGACAACATGGCCAAAGACCACATCGGTCGTGTGCGACAGGGCAGAGAGGACCGTGGCCCAGGCGGTCTTGAGAATGGTGGCGAAGGTGATTCCCGAACCGGATACGGAGTGAGACTGGATAGGGATCGTCCGTGTGAGATGTACGTCGTAGATATTGCGATAGTCCGGTTTCGAATGCGCAGCGATATTGGTCATGGTCGAATTGGCCAGCAGACCCTGCCAGTAATTCACCGACTCCCGGCCGTGGTGGCGAGCGTCAATGGCTGCCACATAGTGGGCAAAAGGAACATCTGGTACGGGTCGTTGCCCCGCGAAGACATCCCTTAAGCTCTGCCATATCTGCGGCAGACATACGCCATCATACTGGCCGTGGGACATTCGGATGATGAGGCGATGGTGTTTCTGGTTCCCCACCACGATCAATTTGCTCAACGGATCTCCCAGCTGCAGATCGTCGGATGCAACATCCTTCTCACACAGCTCGGCGCCTAGCGAGTTAATGTCGCGGTCCGTTTCGTACCATTCAATATCTGGAGTAACCTGCATGAGCACCACCTGGTAGAAACGGTCGTCCTGTGCCGTGAACACGGTACGGAGGATCTGATGCGCCTGCAGGAAGCGTGTCCATGCATCTTGGACAAACTCGGCCGTCCACGGCAGGGGCCCCTGTCCATCCAAGAAGAGGTAGTTGAGGAGGCCTCGACTCTTCAACATCGAGTGTGCAATCGCCAACGCCTGGAAATCGGTCACCGGGAGAACATCCGCAATGTTGTCCGGGGTGGTCTTAATGTCTCGCGCAATCTGGGCAAGGGAGTTGGCTCCGACGTTCGGGGGGAGGAGGGAGAAAGGTTGGTAGGAAAAGTGGGATCCTTGGATTTCTGGGAACTGAGCCTCGACCTGCGTGGCCATATCCGAGAGAATCGGCACCTGGAAGATGGTCTGGACAGAGAGGTGCCATCCCCGTGCCCGTGCGAGGCTGGTCAACTTCATGGCAATGATCGAGTCGCCTCCGGACCGGAAGAAATGATCCCCAGTTCCAATCTGGTCCGCGTCGACATGTAAAACTTTGGCCCACAAGTCGCGAAGTTGGAATTCCACCGCTGTGCTAGGCTCCTGTTTCACGCACCCGTCTGCGAGTGAGTAGGTCAGTGTCTCCCCGGGGGACAGGGAGAGCACTAGTTCGCGTAGTTGTCGGCGATCCGCCTTCCCATTCATTGTCAGGGGCACTCGTGCCAGGGGGAGAAACATGGATGGGATCATGTATGAGGGGAGGCACTGGCTGAGGGTCTGTTGCAGATGGATCAATTGATCATGCAGCTCCGGGATCATGTCCATCACCTCGGCACGCCCGCTGCGGTGGCTGAAGTGCAGGAAAGCCACCACCACCTGCCGCTGGAGGGCCGGATCTCGCACGGCGTCGACCGTGGCATGGGCCAGAGTGGGCATCGACCGCCGGATCGCATGCTCGATCTCGCCCAGTTCGACTCGTTGCCCACGAACCTTGACTTGTGTGTCCTTTCGCCCCACGAATCGAATGGTGCCATCTTCATTGTAGCGAACCAGATCGCCCGTTCGATAGAAAACCCGGGGTCGTCGGTGGATATCTCCGCTGGGTGGCGGCGCCCAGGGGAGGCTCTGGAGGAATGCGCCTGCGGTCTTTTCTGCATCATGAAGATACCCCCGAGCCACCGTCGGGCCTTCGAGGAGTAATTCTCCCACACAACCGATTGGCATGAGGCGATTGGGGTCCTGCGGGTCCGCCACCCAGTACAGTGCCCCGATCGCAGCTCCCAGGTTGGCCGGATCACTCGTGGCGGTGGCCGGAGGGGCCCCGGAGCAGTAGACTGAGCATTCTGCGGGACCGTAGCAGACAATAAGATCCAGGACGCTGTGCCATTTGCGGACGGTGTCCCACGTCGACGCTTCACCCCCGAGAACCAGGGTTTTCAGGGACGGGATGTCGTCTGCCGGTAGCAGGCTGGCGACAGTAGGGGTTAAGAATGCCCAGTTGCACTGGAAGCGATTAATGGCGTCCGACAAGGCGTTCAGACGATCGTGCTCTGAGGGGACGCAAATACAACCGCCACGTTGCAAGGTCGTGAAGATATCGGCACAGCTCACATCAAATGTGTAGGCGGCGAACTGTAGGAGCCGAGTCTCGGGGCCGATCCCCCAGCGTGTGCCGTGGGCTTTGGAACTCGAACAGAGAGAGCCGTGCTCAATGACGATTCCCTTGGGCTTACCCGTACTACCGGACGTAAAGAGGACATATGCGGCGTTTCGAGGACTCAGATCGTGGGGGCTCAGGTCCATCACCTCGGGAGAGGAGACTAAGCTGTCGATGAAGTCCTCCGTCACCTTCACTTCTTGTATGTGGGCTGAAGACCCCAGGATTCCCTCGTGGCGTGGTGCACAAAGGAGCACGGGCGCCTGCGCGTCTCTCACAATGCTCTCGAGACGAGCCTGGGGATGCGCTGGGTCGAGATTGACACACGCGCCTCCGGCCTTCAGAACGGCCATCTGAGCCACCACTGCCCACCGGGACTTGTCAAAGCACAGAGGAACGAACACCTCAGGTCTCACCCGGAGGTATCGTAAATGCCGCGCCAGGGTGGTGGAGAGAGAATCCAGCTCCGCATAGGTCAGTTGCCCGTCCCAGGCATCGACCGCGAGGGCGCCTGGCCGGTCTGAGACCTGCTGGTTAAAGATCTCGGGCACGGTGGACTCGACCACCTCGGGATACGTTTGGTTCCACTGCAGAACTTGCTGCCGATCCTTCTGCATAAACAGGTCTATCTCCGCAATGCGAAGGCCCTCGTTGCCCGTCCTGGGGAGCAGCTGCTGCACAAGATGTTCGAGCTGGGACATCATATTCTGGACCTGCCACACAGAGAGTACAGATTCGTCGTGCCGAGCCTCCAGGTGGACTTCGGTTTCCCTAGGGTAACATTCCACCACCAGCGGGTAACTATCAAAGCCCTGCAGTGGAAGCTCTACTTCTTCACACCCGGGGAGAAGGTCATCGCCGGGTATGACGTCCGATGGCGGTTGGATGACAAACAGATTCTGAAATTCGATGGCACGCGCGCATTCAGCGCTCACCCCAGCGATATTTTGTAGCCCGAAATGCTCGTGCGGGATCATATCCGTGGCCTGTTCGTGGATCTGGTGCAGGAATCCACCGACGGTGAGCTCAGCGGGGAACCGGACCCGCACCGGCACAGTGGTGATCATGGGGCCGACCATCTGGTCGATGCCCGGGACGGGACTATTGCGACCAGATAGCGTCATGCCAAAGACCACATCCTCCGAGTCGGTATAAAGGGAGAGGAGCAGGGCCCAGGCCGCGCGCAGAATCGTGGCCTTGAGGACCGGAGCGCCTGTGGAAGGCGGGAAGGGGATCGTATGCCGAGTTGCGCCCCGGACTGACGGGCGATAAGATGACGATGGCAGTTCCGGGAATGTGGATGGACGTTGGCCGGCCAGCTGCGCTGCCCAGAACGTCCGCGTGGAGTGGACATCTGTGTCTCGGAGATACTTGATGAAGGCGTTGAACCCGGGAGGATTGGGACAGCTGCCGTAATTATAGGCCGATTTGACCTGGTCTAGGACCCGTGGGAGGGACCACCCATCGTACAAAGAATGATGGGCAGTCCAGATAAAGTGCCCATCGGCGGTGATGGCGTAACGCGATAACGGTGCTCCATATGTGATGCCTTCTTGAGAGTCCGACTCGAGGTATTGATGCAGAGTCTCCGCTGTTCGCCATTCAATACCCTCGGTCACCACCACCTGCAGCAACAACCCGGCATCCGTGGTCTGGATCAATCGGGTGCGCAGGATAGGGTTTCTCTGAAAGACCATCTCCCACGCAGATTGAAACCGGTCGATATCAATTGAAGGACCGAGGCGGAGGATGCGTCGGAAGACATAGGCACCGGGATCCCGGAGAGAAAGGGCCATCATGCCCTGTTGAAGAGGTGTCGATGGGTAGATGTCCTCGATAGAGTGGGAAGGAATACGATATCTGGCCCCGACCTCATCCAACAAGGTAGATCGCTCTAAGGGATTGGGAAGCAGTTCAAACGCACTCACGCTCCTCTCGTGAACGACTTGCGGGTTGCGTGCAGCAAGAGCGCCGGCCAGATCCGACAAGACGGGATGGCGGAAGATATCTGCCACGGTGATGATGAGCATATCGTCGGACGTGACGGCAGCGATTTTCATGGCCGCGATCGAATCACCCCCGACTTGAAAGAAATCGTCGTCCGCCCGAATCTGGTCTCTGGGTACCTTGAGAACGCGATGCCATACCTCTTGCACCTTCTTCTCCAACACGGTGCTGGGCACTCTGCGACGGTCTTCCAGCAGGGAGTACGTTTTCAGTGCCGGGTCCGACAGGGATGCGCCACATTGGCGAAGGAACTGCCGGTCCATCTTCTTGGCGGAGGTGGTCGGCATCCAGTTCGTGGGAAGGTAGAGCGAGGGCTGCATGTATAGAGGAAGGACCCCAGTCAGGGATGTCTTCAGATGGCCGAGTTGGCTTCGAACCTCCGGTGTGATCTCCGCGAGAAAGTCTCCCGCTCCCACACGGTTTGGTGGACAGATAAATGCCGCCAGCAGGGCCTGCTCCTTCTCACCGTGCGGCAGGACCACTTCGACGGCGACGTGCGAGTTGGAAGGGAGATGGCGTTGGATTTGGTGTTCAATCTCCGCGAGCTCAATGCGCTGTCCCCTCAACTTGATTTGCGTGTCTTTTCGTCCGAGGTACGTAATGGTCCCATCCGGGTTATAGCGGACCAGATCCCCCGTCTTGTAGAACCGACTTTGGCCTCGATCTGTCTTCGGGGAGAAGAACGCCGGATCCGTGACGAAGACCTCGGCGGTTTTGGCCTCGTCATGGAGGTAGCCCCGGGCCAAGGTTCCGCCTTGGACCAGTAGCTCTCCAACGGATCCGATGGGGGCCAGCTGCTGATGATTCCCCGGGCGAACAATCCACGAGAGAGAGCTCACGGCACGGCCGAGGACATTGCGGTCCGTGGGGCTGGCGAAGGTGTTCATCACGCAGAAGACACAGGTTTCGGTCGGCCCGTAGCCGTTCATCAGGCGGAGGTGACCTGCCCAAGTCCGGATGTTGTCCGGATCCAGCGCTTCTCCGCCCAGGATGAGTGTGGTGAGACCGGGCACCTGCTCTGGCCGCAGAATGCGGATGACGGACGGTGTGAGGAACGATGTATTGACCTGTAGTCGCTGAATGGAGCCGGCAATATCGCTCATTCGCTCGGCCTCGGACGGAATGCAGATGCAACCCCCATAGGCGAGCGTGGTGAAGATCTCCAGGATACACGCATCGAACGTGAACGCCGCGAATTGGAACATGCGGGTGGCTGCACTGCATCCAATTTCTCGACCGTGGTGAATGACACTGGTACAGGCCGCCGCATGCTCCATTACCACCCCCTTGGGGGTGCCCGTGCTGCCCGAGGTGAAGAGTGTGTATGCCACATTCGTCGGGGACGGAGCCCGGTCATGTATCAAGCCATCACAGCTCTTGCCCAGCCACATATTGGATGACGCCGAGATTACCAGGATCTGGGGCACCAGGTCCGTCACCAGCTTTGCCGTTCCCATGGCCACCAGGACCAGCTGTGCGGCACTCTGGGCGACGATGGCCGCCAACCGCTCGGGGGGGTGCGCTGGGTCCAACGGCACAAAGCCTGCTCCTGCTTTTAGGATCCCGAGCATTGCCACAATGGCCCAGGACGACTTGTCAAAGCAGATCGGGATGAGATCTTCGGGTCCAAGGCCCATGTTGACAAGAACCCGAGCGAGTTGGGTCGCCTTTTTGTCCAGCTGTGCGTAGGTCAGGTCTACATCCCAGGAGGCGATCGCGGGCGTGTCGGCAGCAGCGGCTCTGGCACGGCGCTCAAAGAGCGTGTGGAGACACTCCTGGACGGTGGCCGGAGAGCTGGCGTTCCATATCCCGACTTGCTTGCTCTGTTGCGGGCCGAACAAGTCGACCGATTCAACGCTGGATCGAGGATTAGACACAATGGAAGACAGAGCTGCAGAGAGTGCCTCCGACACATGTTCTGCGTGCTGGGGAGACAGCCGGGACGTCAAATATCCGAGTTGCACCGTGAAGACGCGATCGGTATGAGTGATATTGACCGTGATATCGTACTACAGATATGATTTCAGTTAGTTCCCCGTCCCACTGGGACAGATAGGAATCATGGTCCAACTCACCTCGGTAGGATCCTCTCCCTCTATATACCCAAGTCGCAGACCGTCCAGGACGAGGTCCTCCACATCCCGCCGTTGAAAGCTCACCACGGTATTGAAGAGGGATTGACCCGCCACCCCGAGACGGTGCTGGATTTCCGCCAAACCGACGTGCTGGTACGACAGTGTTTTCAGATACTCCTCTTGCAGGCCTCGGAGCGCTCCGAGGACCGGTTTGCGGCGCATCTCCGCTATATCCATCGCACAGACGAGCATGTTTATGAACGGCCCCACGGCACTCTCGATACCTGGCACCGGAATCTCTCGACCCGCCGTCAGGTAGCCAAAGCAGACGTGCTCTGTCCCGGTATAGGCGGACAGGACCAGCGCCCACGCCAGGCGGACAACGTTCGCCAGGGTGACATCATTCTGTTTGCAGAATCTCCGTACCTGTGCGGCATTCGGCACGGAAACGTCCACATGCCGGGTTTCCGGCACCGTACTCGGGATGGAGGACTCTAGTAGGGCGGGGACGTGGCACGGTTTGACGTCGCCGAGATGAGTGGCCCAGAACTCTATGGCCTCTTCCGCCGGCAGCGATTGGATGTAGGCAATGTATTCACTGTACGACGTCGCCGGGGTCGACGGCAGCTGGTGCGTGTACGCAGTCATGAGGTCGTGGATAAGCAGCGTCATTGCAGTCCCATCCATGAGGGCATGGCTGATGTCGAGCTTGAAATACAAAGCCCCATCGGGGGACTGGATGACGGCCATGCGATGCGGTGGCTGGCTGGCGGAGACCGGAAGCGGGTTCAGTCGACGCAAGGCTGCAAGTGCATCCTCGTCCGAGTGGGCATTCTCCAGGCGCAGGCACTGGGCCTCGTGTTTGCGGAGGACCATCTGGTCGAACGGCCGGCTGGACAAGCGAGCCAGAAACACCGTGCGGAGAATACTATGGCGATCAACGACCTGCTGCCAGGCCGACAGCAGTCGCTGGGCTTCCGCGGGCTCCCCGCGGATCGAGTCCAGGCGCATAATCGCATGGTACCGATATGTCTCTTCCATGCGAGTTTGGCTCAAAAGGATCCCCTCCTGGAGGGGGGAGCACGGATAGAGATCTTCAATATCCTCCATGGCATATCCCAACTCGGGCAGCCGCTGCGTCGACAACTCGTCCAAGCGGGGATAAGAGATGGGTAGCAGAGGATAGTCACTGCGAGTCAGCACGACATCTGCGCTGGCGAGCTGCTCAGAGAACTCCTTCAGCATCTTGGTGTAGTTTCCAATCCAGTCGTCAATCCGCTGCTGGTGTTTCATCTTCCGATGGAAGGCAAAGGTGACCTGGGCACATCCGTGGATCACGTAGACGTTGATCTCAAACAACGTATACCGTCGAACGCCCGGTCCCACATCGCCTTCATGAAAAGGGACTCGCTGGAACAAACCGTCTGCTCTCTCCAATCCCTGATACAGCCCCAGATAATTGAACAGGATCTCCATCGGCATGTGGTTGGCAAAGGCTCGCACACCTTCCTCGTGGAGATATTTGGACGCAAAGTATGACCATCCGTTCGCCGGGAGCTCCTTTCTTTGGTCCTTGACGCGTCGAACCAGCTCTACGGCCGTCTGATGGGGATGCACGGGGACATGGAACGGAAAGATGGTGGTGAACCAACCGACCGAGTCGGACAGATCAATCTCCGCGAGCGGCCCGGTCACCGCAGGCTGCCGTCCATGGCCTTCATTGAAGACCGCCGGGGGCTCGCGGCCAAACGTCTGAGCAAACGACAAAAGGAGAGCGGCAATGAGGACGTCCAATGGCTCTGTTCTCATCGATGCGTGGCAGTGGGTAAGCAAGAGCTCCGTTTCTTGCCGGGTCAATGCCACAGCCCGCTGCACGGTCTCTTCGTGCTTGTTGGGAACATTCGTCATGCCCCAGTAGTCGTAATTTGCTGGTGGAATCGCGTATGGTAAGGCCAGACTCGGTGGAAGGTGGCGCGTGGCATAGTCGGCTTGGAGCTGCTGCCAGCGCTGGAAGGAGAACGGGACGAGGCCCGGAGGAGACGCATTTGCGGCCAACGAGTCCTCCAGTTCCTGGAAGAGGATGCGCCAGGAGACCAGGTCGATGACCAGGTGGTGCGCAACCAAGAAGACCAGCGACGGACGTCCCGCCATAGTAAACACGTCCACAGCGAAGACCGGTCCGTTTTGGATATCCAGCTCTTCCTGCGCGCGCAAGGCGAGCCCGAATGCGTCCTCCTCGCTGGCAATCGCATGCTCCCGGAACCGATACGATCCCCGAGTTTGACTGGGGATCATCTGTGTCCATGCGCCGCGATGAGACGAGCGGTATCGTGCGCGCAACATGGAATGGCGCTGCACGATCTGGTCCGTGGCGGACCGCAACTGTTCAATGGACCGGGGGCGAGTCAGCCGGAGCAAGAAGCTTTGGTTGAATCGATTGGCCGACAGATCCGTTCTTCCCTGCGAGATCTCCTCGAAGTAGAGCTGCTGAATCGGAGTCAACCCGAAAGGAGTGTCCCACTGCTCCGTGGCCTGATGGGAGGCACGACGGTCGACAACACTCTCCGCCCCTTGCGCCAGTGCGGTAATGGACGAGCTGCGCATGACGTCTTTGAAGAGGATGTGGATTCCCTCGTTGCGGCAGAGCACCACCAGCTGCATGGCCGTGATGGAGTCACCGCCGAGATTCAGGAAGGACCGGCCCCGCGACAGGTGGTCGTCTCTGGGGATGTTCAACACGCGCGCAACTACATCCCGCAGGCGCTCCTCCATCTCTGACCCCGAGGCAGAATCCGCAGGCCGATCCCCGACTGCGTCGGCTTCCTCCTCGACCACTGCTCTCCGGTAGGTGTCATTATCCAGACTGTCCACCCACCGCGAGACCATGGGCCGATCCACCTTGCGCGATGCCGTCCAGGGAAGGTTGGGGCACACGAGCCAAACCGATGGGATCATGTAGTTGGGGAGCGTGGTGGCCAATCTGTCTCGAATGGTGGCTATCTCGGTAACAGCCTTTTCTCTATCTCCGGCATCGCTCAGCGGGCACATATCCACCCCCGTGGAATGATGGTCCAACACCACTGCCGCGAGAACGACGACCGCAACGAGCTTCTTCTTGCACGGTCCCCTTGTGGGCAAGAGCACGACGCACTGCTGGACGAGTGCATCGCTCTGGATGGACTTCTCGACCTCCCCCATCTCCACCCGTTGCCCGTTGAGTTTAATCTGGCTGTCCTTGCGGCCGATGTAGACCAGGCTGCCATCCGGCATCGACTTCACCAAGTCTCCCGTTTTGTACAGTCGTGTCGTCGGGACCGCCCCCGTCCGCCATCGCGGCGGCGGAATGAAGGCTCGGGCAGTCTGCTCGGGATCGAGATAGCCGCGAGAGACCAAGGGCCCTTCGATCAGCAGCTCCCCAGTGCAGCCCACCGGCACCAGGCGGTCGCTGTTGTCGGGTTCGACCACCCAGAGCAGACATCCATGGCCGTGTCCGATATTGGCGGCGGCGATCCCCTCGCGCAAGACCGAAAAGGACGCCTTGACAGTACATTCCGCCGGGCCATAGCTGTTGACCAACCGCACTTGGTCCTGCCATTTCCGGGCGAGATTGTTGGTTACAACCTCGCCGATCAAGCCCAGTGTTCGCAGCGTGGGCACCTCCTCCGGGGATAGGAAGAGCGCCACCGAGGGCGTCAGGAACGCAGTCGTCACGCGCAGCCGGTTCATTGCTCCCGCCAGGTCATTGAGCCGGTCATGGTCGGATGGCACGCAGACACAGCCGCCCCTGCAGAGGGTGATGAAGATCTCACTGTTGCTGGTATCAAACGTGTAGGCGGAGAACTGGAGGACGCGAGAAGCGTGGTCGATCCCCAGGTCGGGGTTGTGGGCCACCAGGGAACAGACTCCTTTGTGCAGCACGACGATACCCTTCGGTTTGCCCGTGCTGCCAGACGTGAAATTGATCATAGCGGCATTGTCCGGCGATGCACGCGGGGCCAGAGCCGCCGGGTCCTGCTTGCGCAAGGTAGGAAATAATGCGGGATCGACCACGACAATCCGATCCACCAACGGTCGCACTTTTCGGGCGTCGGCGTGCGAGCCAGCGAGAACGACCCGAGCCTTGGTCTGGTGGATGATGTTGGCCAGATGCGGTGTCGGGTGGGAGGGATTCATGGATACATAGGCCGCGCCGGCCTTGAGGACCGCCAGCATCGACACGACAGCCCAGGCAGACTTCTCAAAGCACAAGGGTACGGCATCTTCCACCTCCACTCCCAAGACGACCAGATGGGTGGCGAGTTGCGCAGACAGTTGATCCAGTTCGGCATAGGACAGGGACGCATCCCAGGCGTCGATCGCAGCGGCATCGGGGTGCTGCGTGGCGCGATGATGGACTAAGCTATGAATGCAGTCGTACGTAGTCTCAGGCACCGTGCCGTGATTGTTCAACGAGTTGATGTATCGCATGTGTTGCTGACCGAGCATGTCTACTTCCCTCAATGGTTTCGTCGGCGTCGCCAGAAGGGTCGCAAGGGTGGTCGACAAGGTGGACGCCAACAAGTCGGCCTGGTTGTCCGACAGGCCGGTGCTCCAGTAATTGATGGAGACATCAACCGCGTCCTCACTAACGGTAATGTTAACTCCCAGGTCGTACTCGGTTGGATCACTGCCGCTGAGATACTCGATTGTAATCGCATCGTTGGTATTCGACTCGACCATGGGGCGTTGCAGAGAGAGAATTGTATTGAAGAGGCGTTCTCCAGACAGTTGGAGGGCATGCTGCACTTGGGCCAAGGACGTTCGTTGATGCGGCAGCGAATTGAGGAAGTCGTCATGCATTCTCCGGGTGATCCCCAGCAGCGTGGCATCATCATCCACCTCCGCCCGACACGCCAACATGCTGATGAATACGCCCACGGCATGCTCCACATCCGAATCCAGACCTTCCGTGTCACGGCCAGAGGAGAGATATCCAAAGACGACATCCGATTCGCCGGTGTACGCGCGAAGGACCACGGCCCAGACGGCCTGGAAGATGTTGGCCAGCGTCACCTCGTGGTGCTTGGTGAAGCTCTGGAGGCGGGAGAATGTGGCCTGTGCAATCGGAATATTGACAACCCGCAGTTCCTTGGTCGGTTCTGGGTGATCACACAAGGATGGGAAGACGACTGGCTTGGCCCCTTCCAGATACTGGGTCCAGAAACGCAGCGTGGCCTCGGTGGACTGGCGTTGCAAAAGGGCGATGTAATCTCTATACACCGGCCGTGGAGGTAACTCCGCACCGTAGGCGGCCGCCAGGTCACGCAGGATAACGGCCATGGATGCGCCATCGATCACGGTATGGCTGATTTCCAGGTTGAAGTACACGACACCATCGTCGTTCTCGAAGAGGGCCAGGCGATGCGGTGGGACCGGTGCGTGGTAGTCCACTGGGTGTTCGTACGGGTATCGATGCAGGCTGTCCAGGTCCTTCACCGTCTCGATTCGGGGGGTGTATTCCTTAAGAACCAGCTGGCTGTACAGCCCTTCTTGCGAGAGTCCCTCGACAAAGAACGTCCGCAGGGCGGGATGTCGAGCAACGAGACACTGCCACGCCCGCCGCACACTGTCCAGAACGACGTGGTCTGCATGGTCCTTGGCGCGGATGGCGCAGACTGCGTGGAATTTATAGGTCTCTGGTGCCTGCGACTGGCTGATCAGGATCCCCTCCTGCATCGGAGAACAGGGATAGGCATCCTCCAAGTCCGCTACTCCCATGTATCCCAGTTCCTGGGCCAATGCCTCCAGGTCTGCGCGATCCGTAGTGGGCAGCAGTGCAAAGGGCTGGAGTGTGGTTGAGCCATTGCTGGGAGTAGAGGGAAGGCCTGTCGCGTCCATGGTGGCTTGGCTCGCTATCTGGCGAAGGGTTTTGCTCTTGAGGATAGTCTTCACGGCCACCCCAAGGCCTCGGGATCGGGATCGGGAGGCGACCTGCATGGCTGTAATGGAATCACCGCCCAAGGCCAGGAAGCTCTGGTCCATGGAGACTTTGGTCACTGGGATATTGAGGACACGGCTGATGACTTGTTGGAGGTCCGTCTCCATCTGGTTCGCCGCACGACTTGTTTCGTGCGGATCCAGCCGGACGCCCAGGGAATCCTCCTTCAATGTCTCTACCCAAGCCGTGACGGTTGGACGATCCGACTTCCCGTTTCTGGTCATCGGAATTGATCGGACAACCAGCCAGGTGGAGGGCACCATGTAAGCCGGTAGGAGAGATGAGACTCGCTGTCGGATGTCCGATAGATCTCTCTGGGTGTCCTCGCTATTGCCATGCTCGAGAAATTCGACGCGGCTGCTTGTATCCGGGGCAGACGATGGGACGCAAGGATTCTTGAGTGCAACCACTGCTACCAACTTTCCCTTCAACGGACCATCTTTGGGTACCAGCGCCAACGCATTCTGCACCGCCTCGTGGCATACAAGAGCGTGGTCAATCTCTCCCATTTCAACCCGTTGGCCATGCAACTTGACCTGGTGGTCTCGACGCCCAATGAAATGGACCGAGCCGTCGGAGTCGTATCGAGCCAGGTCACCGGTCCGATACAAGCGGATTGGACCCTGGGCTGCATCGGAATCAAACTCGGCGAGCCATGCGGGCGGGGGGATAAATACGGCGGCTGTTTTGGCGTCATCCTTGAGGTAGCCTCGCGCAACTATGGGCCCTTCAATGAGAAGCTCTCCGACAGCACCCACAGCACACAGGCGAGATGGATCATCGGCTTGGGTGATCCACATCCGCGCCCCGAGGCCGTGTCCAATATTCCGGGGGGAAGCGGATCGCGGCACGCCCTGGAGCCCCGTGGACCAGACAGAGCATTCCGCCGGACCGTAGATGTTTACCAGATGGGTATTGTCGGCCCAGGCGAGGATATTCTCCTCCCGCACCGCTTCACCCCCCAGTGCTAATGTCCCGACGCCCGGGACTTGCGATGGGTCCAGAAGGCTGACCACGGACGGGGTGAGATACACCACCGTGGTGTTCATGCGATTGATCACTCCCGCGAGGTCATTAAGCCGCTCTTCCTCATTCGGGATGCAGAGGGTTCCGCCGCTCATCAGGCAAGTGAACGTCTCCCCGATGCTTACGTCAAATGTGTACGAGGCAAATTGCAGCACGCGGGCGTCTGGGCCGTAGTTCATGGCCGGGCCATGGGCTTGGGCACTGCTGCAGATTGCACGATGCTCGAGGACGATTCCCTTCGGCTTTCCGGTACTCCCAGAGGTGAAGACAACAAAAGCGGGATGCACCGGTGAAACAGTAGAATAGTCCATCGTCGCGCGCGGATCGGCTCGCAGATCGTCGACACACCGCGGCCCAATCACGAGCACGGTACGGACCAGACCTTGAAAGAGTGATTCATAGCCCTCTGCGACGAGGGCCACAGTGGCATCGCATTGCCGGAGCATCTCCTCTCGGCGATTGGACGGATGCTCGGGATCAAACGCAACGCACGCTCCTCCGGCTTTGAGCGTGGCCAGCTGGGCGACAACCGTCCAGCACGACTTGGAAAAGCAGAGGGGCACAAGCGTCTCCGGCCCGACGCCGTTTTCTTTTAGAATTAGGGACAACGATGTGGCGGTGTGATCCAGCTCCTCGTAAGTGAACCCGCCATCCCAGGCATCAATGGCTCGGGCCCCGGGGCGCACCAGGGCTTGCCGGTGGACCACGTCATGCACACAGGCACTCATCTCTTGCCATGGATCACGATTCCAGCTTGCGATCTGGTGGTGGTCACGCTCACTGAGGAATTCCAAGTTGGATAGTGACGAATTATGGCTGTGGATTAGGGTATGAACGGCGGTGCGGAATGTCGCAACGACATTCGCGCCCATTGCATCGCTCAGAGTCGCAGTGAAATATCGGAGAGTGAGGGATACACGTACCTTGGAAACAAAGACATTGACCGAGACATTATACTGAGCGTCATTAGTCGGGAGGGATCGAAAGCCGGGAATAATGAGTAGGGAAACAAATACCTCTGTCGGGTCGTGCTCTCCCACGACTTGGAAGCGGATCGTCCTGTCTGGATCTCCGCCAGAGATCTCCTCTCCCAGAGAGCTCTGGAGAGACAGGATTGTGTTGAACAAGGCTTGGCCCGTTCCCAGAGCATGTTGGATCTCCGCTATCGAACAGTGCTGATGGGACAGACCCTTCAGGAATCCATCCTGCGTTTCCTTGATCAGAGTGGCAACGGTATGGTCCGAAGAAAGACGCATGCGATAAATCATCATGTTGATAAACACCCCAACTGCATCACTGATGTTCGGGACGGGGAGGTCACGGCCGGCGGTAAGATATCCGAAACAGACATCATCTTGGCCCGTATAGGTCTTGAGAACCAAGGCCCATGCCGCCTGAAATACGGTGGCTGGTGTAACATTGTGTGCCGCGCAGAAGGCATGGATGGCGTCGGCATTCTCCATGTCGACCGCCAGCTCATGCAGTTTGTTGTCGTCGGTGATATCGTCATTCACCACCGGGAAATGGCATGGGGGCACATCCGCCAGATACTCCGTCCAGTATTTAAGCGACGTATTGACCTGCAGACGCTGCAGATAATGGATATACGGGGCATATTTCACCGTCTGACGGGGGTCTACGAGCAGGCCTCCATACGCCTGGCTGATATCGCGGAGCAAGATCAAGATCGAGACACCATCAATGAGAGCGTGACTAATGTCGAACGTACAGAAGGTCTTGCCCTCTTTGATGGATGAGACAATGAAGGTGACTGGCGGTTGGAGAGGCTGGTCCACCCTGGTATACAAACCCAACTGTTCCCAAAATGCGTTCTCATCGTCGTGGCTCCATTCGACAACCGCAATATGGCTCCTCCTCAGCACCACTTGATCACACAGTCCGTCCTCGGCTTCCGCCTCTACAAAGACGGTGCGCAAGGCAGGGTGGCGATCGGCCACTTGTTGCCAGGCCCTCTGCAACCGTTCCCGTCTCACAGGCTCTCCTGGTGGAGGAAGGACCTCGCAGGTAATCCGCAGCTGGTACCTGTCTGGGTCTTGCTGTTGCGCCAGTAGAATCCCACGCTGGACGGCCGAAATGGGGTATAGATCCTCCACATCGTCAGTCCGGAGACCTAACTGCGAGATTCTCTCCTCATCCCATGCAGCAGCCGGTGCATCATCGCCGTCATTGTCGCACTGAGCTTCGATTGGCTCGTGCTCGGCCATTCGCTGGGCCATGTCAACTAACGTCGCGCTCTGCAGTATATCCTCGAGCTTCATGGCGCCCGCACCCTTCCGGCGCAATTGATCCAACAACTGCATTGCCTGAATAGAGTCTCCCCCATTCTGGATAAAGGACCTGTTCAGCCAGACATGCTCTGGGTGTGGAGCACCCAGAATGGTGCTGCATAGCGCTTGCAGCTCTCGTTCCTGATCTGTCGACGCTGGGATCCTCTCGACCTCCGCGCTCTCACTCCGGCCGGTGAGCAAATGGAAAATTTTCAGCGGCATGTCCGCCACCCAGTGCTGGACCATCATCCCATTCTGCTTTCCGGCAATAGTCAGGGGAATGGACCTCACGGGGGCCCAGAGAGTCGGCTGCATATAACTAGGCAGCTGCTCCGAGAGAGCTTCGGCGACGGCCTTGAGCTCGACCATCGCGGACTCCATGTCCTTTGTTGCAACGAGCTCGACTGTCGGCGATGTTTGTTGGAATTTCCTTAATGAGACCACGGCACACAGCTTTCCATGACCAGGTCCTCGGTTGGCCAACGCCACGGCCGCTTGTTCCACCAGGGGGTGAGCCACAAGTCGATGCTCGATCTCCCCCAGTTCAATCCGGAGACCGCGCAGTTTCACTTGGCTATCTTTTCGGCCAATGAAGTGCAAACTACCATCCGCATTGAATCGAGCCAGATCGCCCGTCTTGTACAGCCGAGACAAACCCGATGGCTCGGCGGGGCTCCATGTGGTCGACTCCAAGAAGACTTCCTTAGTCTTTTCCGGTTCGTTCAAGTATCCCCGGGCAACAATGGGGCCTTGGATCACGAGCTCCCCGGGGGCGCCAATGGGCATGAGACGCTCATGGCTGTCTTTGCTCACGATCCAGCAACACCCGCCCAATGGATAGCCGATGTTGGCGGGACTCGTCTGGAGCGAGAGTTGGGGATTCAGCGTGGCAGCGATCGAGCATTCGGTAGGTCCATACCCATTTGCCAGACGCAGATGTGATGCCCAGGTCTGGATATTCTCTCTATGAACCGCCTCACCCCCAAGAGCCAGGAACCGGAGTGTGGGAACCATCTCTGGTGTCACGAGCTTCACCAGGGAGGGGGTGAGAAAGGCCCACGTAACGCCGAACTGTTGAATGCAGGACGCGGGCCCTTTGGAGCGCTCTTCGTCATTGGGCATACACACACACGCTCCTGAAATGAGTGAGGTGATGATCTCCAAGATACATACGTCAAAGGTGAACGAGGCCAGCTGCAGAACACGGTCCTTGTGGCTCATCCGCGAGGCTTTCCGCTGCGCCAGAGAGCCGGCAAGGAACTGGCGGTGTTCGACCACGCAGCCCTTAGGCTTTCCTGTGCTTCCCGAGGTGAAAATCACGTATAAGGCGTTGGAGGGCTTGACGGTGGACGGGACCCTTTCCCCTCCGATAGGCCCGGCCGCAGGCTCAGGTTGCAGCAGCGAGTCTACAGACCCACGATGGATGGGCAGGACGCTACCTTCAAACCACCCCCAAAGGGGCGTGTATTCTGGCGCAGTCAGGATCAACTCGGCGCGAACCTGGTCGACGATCTCCCGGTGCCGTGCTGGGGGATGTGATGGGTCAAGAAACAGAATTGCACCGCCGGCCCGGATCACAGCCATCATGGCGACAACCGCCCAGGCCGACTTGGGAAAACATAAGACGACAATCGACTCTGGCCTTACTCCCTTGGCCTTCAGGTGGTGGGCGAGTTGTGCGCTGAGAGTATTGAGCTCCTGATAGTTGAGAGCCACCTCAGAGGTGTGCACGGCAATATGAAATGGTCGCTCCCGAACGGTTTTCTCAAACATTGCACCCACACAGTAATCAATGGACGCGCTTGGAATGCTGCTCCAGGATTGTAATTGATGCCACACCTGCGGATGGAGCAGGTTGATATCGGAGAGCTTTTGGGAAGGGTTGGCTATTATTTCCCCGAGAATCTGGCTGATAGTGGCAGCCACAATAGTCGCATAAGACGGCGCCACATGGCCTGTGTTGTAGAACAGGGACATTTGCAACCGTGGTCCATCTGCCATTACATGCAATGACATATCAAACTACATGGAATGTATTAGAGGACCCGAATACATACATTTAAAGCAGGGAGGGGAGTCCGTACTTGATCCAACTTGCAGTCGATTTCGTCGGTTGTTTCAACCACGCAGACACAAGAATTACATGGTAGGGATTCAATCTGACCTAATTCAATATTCCTAGTACTATTCTGGATCGATCCAACCAACTCAATCAAAGTTGCCTCATCCTCTACCGATGTCTCGATGAGACCACATTGGAGGTTGGCACCATGAGTTTTAGCCAGGGATGCCGCACGAATAGTGCTATCCCCTGTAAAAGTCTTCAAAATAACAGTCCATACCGTTTGCACTATAGCCTGAAGAGGAATATCATCCTTCCATGTGGAATCCCGTAGTAATTCGCTGGAGGGACATTCAATATTGACTTGTGCTTGCGCAGCCATAGAAGGCTGCGCTTCCCCATTCAGGAGTGCCGGAAACTCCTGTATGGATGATTCATTGATCTCAGCCTTTTGTGACATGATGTTCTGTTGGAGCGGATCAAAGAAGAGGGAGGTGGTGCGATATGTGGCATACAAATCACTTGAATTCGGATATGAGAGGGGAAAGGAACCAAAAGCAAGTTTGCAAACTATGTCATTTCTACGATCTTTGTAATCGCTGCTTGCGTGTAAATATATACTAAGTTTATATTGCTATCCTCGTATCGTCCACAAACGGCTCCTTTGACAGTCCGTTCGTATCGGGGTTATTGTCCTTCCCGCTGTCGAGGACTGAAGAATCGCAACACGTCTGGTACTCTCCTAAGCAAACTAGTACTAGAATCTGACCAGATCCTAATCAATTAACGAAGCCCCCACCGGTCCTTTCGTAGATTTGGACCCTTTTTCAAAACATTGCCGGTATACCTCCGGAGTACTCCGTATATACCTCGCAAATGCAATACCCACATGTTCTGACGGGTATTATATGCAACTTAAATCAGCGTTTACAACTAATACAACAGATTGTATTTACCATACGCTGCTTACTCCACATGATACAAGGGCGCATCAGTACCAATACAACGATCTAGCAATGTATCCTTCATTCTCAAGATCCCTCATTATTTCGCAGGTTGTTACATGACGAACTCGAATAGATACAAAGCTGTCTTTTAAATGTTTTACACTAAAAATGTATCCTGTAATGTAAGACTTCGTATGTACGGTACCTGTAGGAGAGAAGAATTCTATTCTATAGTCCGTATCTCTCTCAGAAACTCAGACAAAAATGAGACACAATTAACAAGAAACTCCACCACGGGGAGTTAAAGCGATGCAGGCACCAGGTCATCTAATTTCAGCTTTCCTTTTTTTTTTTTCGGGCATCGGATCTTACGAGACTCCGCCAATTCCTAACCTTCGCCAACCACATGCTTGTCGAAGAGGACGGATCTTGACAGAGACCTATATTGAATTCTCCTAATCGATCGTCCATTTCTATAATATCCGAATTGACCTAGAGATTTGAGTGTAGTCGACAAGATGATAACACCTCGATTGCTTTCCTCGATCGCCCTGAAGGGTATCATACTTGGCCTCTTTGCGTGTTGCTGTTATGTATGTTCCGCCTGGGAGCCTATGCCTAAAAACGATGGCTAAGATGTAGGATACAGACTGTGGGATTGGTAGGCTATAGGCTTTTCTTTCATCCTCTGGCTAAATATCCGGGCCCATGGTTGGCAAAAGTTACTCGTCTTCGCGCTGGCTATCACGCATGGAAGGGTGACCTTCACATTGACATGTGGAAGTGCCATGAGAAGTACGGTCAGTGAAACAGTAGATATTCCCCAGGAAGGGGAGGTTATGATTACTGACGATAAGTGTCCGTGCGAAGGCGATTTCGTGAGATATGGTCCCAACAGTCTCATGGTGAACACTGCGAATGGGCTTCAAGGTAATAGTCCCGCTCACACAAGCTAGAAAAAGAAAAAGAAAAAAACAAAGAAAAAAGAAAAAGAAAAAATTAAATTGAAAAAGAACGATTTTAACGAGGATACTTTTTTCATTTCAACAGATATCTATGGACATGGGAAAAGCTTCAAAAAATCTCAGATATATGCTGCGATGGTGCATCGGGCCCCGAACACCCTGACTGTGATTGACAAGAAGAAACATGGCAAGAAACGAAGAGTCATCAGCCAGGGATTCTCGGATGCGGCGCTCAGGAATCACGAGGTGACGATCCTTGAGCAAATCCGGCATTTGTGCACCCAGCTGGGAGGAGGTGAAAATGGTCAAGAAGTCCCAGTAGGAGCATGGTCTCCTCCCAAGGACATGGCACGACTCAGTACGTCTTGTGTATATCTATCCAGGAAAAACATCCAAACCCAACTGACACAGCTACAGCGGACTATTTTACCTTCGACGTGATGAGTAACATCATCTTTGGAGTGCCTTGGTCAACCTTGCGCAGTCCAAGGTACCGGTTCGTGCCTGAAGTCATTGAGAAATCTAATGTTCGAGTCGGCACCTTAACTCAGGCCCCACAGCTGAGCTTCCTACGGCTCGATAAACTTCTCTTCCCCGACGCCATTCGTGCCCGAAACATCTTCATTCGGTTCGTTGATGAAATGCTCGCACAGGGAATTGAAGCTGCGGGTAAGACAGGCAAGGGTGTCTTTGCTTTCTTGACAAAGGCGAAAGATCCTGAGACTGGTCAGCCATTGCGAATGAGGGAACTGGGTGGCGAGAGCGCCACGCTCATTGTTGCTGGTAAGATGCCAAAGACAAGACACATATTCTTCCGTCGTTGGGTGCTATATCTCATGTCTTACTCTTATGTAGGTACCGATACCACATCCACCGCTCTATCGGCGTGTTTCTTCTACCTGTCACGCAACCCTTCCGCCTGTGAACGGGCCACGGCAGAGGTACGCAGTACCTTCCAATCCTCTGACGACATCCGCATGGGTCCTTTGATGAATAAATGTGTCTTCCTTCGTGCCTGCATCGATGAGAGTATGCGCATGTCCCCGTCCGCGGCCAGCTCCCTCTGGCGTGAGTCTGAGGACGCCGGGGCAACCATAGATGGGCAATACATCCCCCCCGGCATAGACGTGGGAACATGCATCTATAGCATTCACCACAACCCCGTCTACTACCCTCAGCCTTTCAGCTTCCGGCCAGAGCGTTGGATCGATACCGAAGCCAGTAAGGTTCAGGGGGATGTGAGTCTCGCGCGATCTGTATTCAATCCATTCTCTGTCGGGCCACGGAGTTGCATCGGAAAAGGCCTCGCATATGTTGAGCTTCATCTGGCCCTGGCTCATATATTGTGGGCATTTGACTTTCGTTTGGCTCCTGGGAAACTGGGACGGACAGGAGAGGGTAAGGAAGATGGGGAGTTTGGCCGTCATCGGGTGGATGAGTACCAGCTCTGGGATCATTTGACGGCTGCAAAGGAAGGGCCCTACCTTGAATTCAGCCCCATCCTATAGTTGACTTATCAGACGAAAAATGGGAGTTTGGGTTACGGTGTCTAGTTGACAACGGATCATTTAGATAGCATGAGCTTGAATTGACGTACTCACTCCGTCAACCATTTAATAATCCTAATTACCAGTGATGGCTATCTCCCCAGATCATTTCCCAGTTGTATTCATGCAGTAGGAATAGCCGCCCCAACCATATATTTGGACCGACAGCACAAGGTGTCTCTGACACTATCAGTAATGGTCCTGGATAAAGGTGTAATTGCGAATAAAATTCTTCAGCATCTTTGCTTCCTGCTTTCGGCATCTGAATATTGCTCACAGAATCAATTTTGTGACATTTGTTATCAGCATGCTGCGAGCATCCCTTACTGGAATATGTTCAATAGAGCTATATCTGATAAAATAAATTATGTTTATAGAAACTGTTTATTAATTTCAGGTCTATTCGATACGGTTTGCGAGTTATTTCTATAGTTTTACATGCTCTTGCTATTGTGAAAAAGAACCACGATGTTGGATTTACAGGGTAATATATTGTGACGTGCAATGATTGCGGTAATAAGACGGTATACTTAATTATCATGTTGTCTATTCTGGCATGGTACAGGTACAATCTTCGAGGTTGTTTTATTTTCCTCCCCCTGTTCGTAGCTCCCCGAATGTGATTTATCTTATATTCACGCCAGCAGCTACATAGGATTATTCAAGGATAAATTTCCTTTTGGGAAGCTGAATCCTTCTGGGTATTTGTAGTCTTTGAGCAGCCTCGACTTCAGTAATTCTTCCACAATCATCAATGTTGTGTATTCTCTATCAAAAGTCGACAGTAAAGGCATAGAACATTGATGCACGTAAGTACATGTTGACGTTAGCACTTACATATGTAAAGCTCATGACAGGTTGTACTTAGAATGGAATTTAGAGCAAACAATGTTGGATAGTGAAAGATGTTACAGGTGGCATGCAATGGCAAATAGGGTCCATTAACTCAGATTTGCATTAGCTGGGACATAAGTCATATGAACAGCCGCTTAGTGGCTACTGTTCTGGAAAGGGATCAGTAGAACGTGGCAATTGGGGGCTTATTTCTAACTTGGAGCTATGTTGACTGTTATATGGGATATCCATGGGAGATGCAGGGGTAGTATAAATCTTGAGGTAGTATATATAGTACTCGACTTTGCCCTCTCTAAACGACTGGAAGTGGAAATTCATGCCCAATACCTTCAATAGACGGCCACTTGCACGATAAGTCAGCATCGGATTTATAAGAATATAAGTGTCCTTCGAGCAACTTACATTGCGCATAAGATCCGCCAACACCGGACTCTTTGTTAGCGCAAGAATGCATTGAACATATTCTTTCGAGAGCTCAAAGGGCTTCGCTGTGAGATTTGGGATATATTTTCCTATCAGTCGGTTTGGGTCGAGCATAGACTCTGAAATATATTGCTGAAGAAGATATCGGAAGGAATCCACGCCCGGTCTCAGTAGACTGCTATGGAAGGGGACATTGACATTCAACGGGATTGTTGCACGACCTCGTTCGAGTGTAAGGGGTTTTTTCAGTGTATCAAGATAAGCTAAAGATTTCTGGATAAATGTCTGCACTTCTTGGACTTGAGATATACTGAGCAAACCAGACGCGAGCGCATCGATGACCATTGTTAGAGTCGCCAGTCCACGGAGCTGGTTAAAGTTGTTTTTTTATTAGTTCACACGGACAAAGCAGAATCGTGGAGCTGAAGAGAACTCACATCTCCTGCACAGACATATTGCATGTTGACAATGTTGTAGTTCACAATCTCCAGTAGTCCTCCTGTGTACCGCGCGATCTCGGAAACACACCAGTGCAGGTCGTTCTCACTGAAACTCTTGGTGATGCGACTAGGATTGACTGCACACATGGAGTATTCTGTGGCCCCATTGGAGTCACCTTTCACCGCATTTTGCATGGTTAATCCCCGATAAAAAACCAGTGCTGCAAATGTTTCGATGGAAAAAATCCGGCCCATGGCTGTAAGAGCTACGTACTCGCCCAGTGAATGACCGGCAAATAAACTATTTTCCTTGACTATACCTTTACTACGCATATCTTCGAATCGCGCGATCTCCATTAAGGCCAAGGCGGGCTGTGTAAATTGTGTCTCATGGAGAAGGCCGTTGGTAGACCGGAAGGTGTATGATCGAGTCGAGTTCGTGATATCGGGGAAGACCCGTTTGGAGGCGACAGTCCCATCTTCACTTAGGGAGTCGAATGTCAGTGAGATATAGTTCTCACGTATGGCACGTCCTCTGGTCCCACCGAAGTACACTGTCAGGTCCTTGGGGTTGTTCTTCACAATACCGGTGATGGAAAAGCCTAGATGTTGGTTAGATATCATGGTAAATTCTCCTTTCTTTCGTTTCTTGTCTCTTTGGGCACGGTATTTGGTGTAATTTACCATATGTCTTCTCATAATACTCATCGGCAGCTTTCCAAACTCCATGAGCCTTTGAACTTTGTTTGTCCAGTTCCATCCCCATACCGGGCTGTTGGCTGCCTTGCCCCGTGAATACATATGCTATCAAAGGTTGTTCCAGAATTGCTTGCGCCGAGAGTACCGTGAGGCCCAGGGCAGCATTCTCGACGTGAATGTCGACTACCATCTTCCCCTGAGACATCGCCACGTGGTCCATCCGAATAGATAATCGATCTCCGGGGGACACCTTGCCTTCAAAGGCGCACGACCAAGACTTCATCTGAGAGGGATCATTGTTCGCCACATACGATTCGACAAGACCACGCACCAGCCCACTAGTGAACATTCCATGCGTGACTCGGGAGTCGTGCTCCGCGTAACGAGCAAAAAGCTCCGACAGATGGATTGGATTCCAATCACCTGAAGCTAGGGCATATCGGTCTGCTTGGTCCGGAACAGTGACTTGTAGATTTTCAACAAGATTCTGAGGCTGAGCGAGGGTTTGATACCCATTGGCGGTACTGGTGCCATGTCTTTTCAGGTACTCAGTTACTGGGTTTTTTACGAACGAGTCACCCGAAAGACTGACGGATCCCAGCATCACAGAGTCCCCCGTCTCTGACCGATACCTCACTTTTCCTTCAACGCAGAGGTGGGCATATGTGTCGGAGGCCTGGAACGAGTAACGGCTTTTGATCTGAACTTCAATGGTTTTGTGGAGATAGTCAAACAGATCAACACTCTCCAGCAAAAACAGCCATCGTCTCGATTTCAGCAACGCAATATCCTTAGACGAAGACAAAGAAAGGCGTATTTCCTCTTCCTTGACCTCGAATGTGGTTTCGTCGTCTGCGTATGCCCCAAGAAGAATGAACGTATTTTTCAAATGGACAGCGGGAGTACCATTGCGGTGGATTATCCCTTCAGCTTCGATCACTTTACCCGAGCCTTTCTTGATCTTGATAGCGGTCAATCGCCCTTCCGGGGAGAGGCGATCCCCTTCCTTTAATGCCTCGACCCCATCGCAGAGCTCAAAGTGAGTACTGAGGTGCAGCAACCGGAGCATGTCTCCTGAGACGATCCCCGGAAACAGGCAACTCATGATGGGTTTCCATGCCACTGCTATAGCCAGATCCAGGGGTGCAGGTAAAGGCTCACTGGAACAAGATGAGTAGCTGGGGTTGTGGTTCTGGATGCTCTGGGTAAACTGGTGGATCATATCTCGTCTTAGGACAATATCCTCGCCTTGGAAAACAAAGTCAGATGTGAGAGTTGAAGACAATCGCTGTTCACCAATCCAGATGGTTTGATAATACTGTTTGATCCGCGCGTTGCGATCTGTCATTACCTCCGTAATACTGGGGGCTCCTCTGCATGGCTTGTATTTGAACTGAAAGTCCAAGGCCACTACTGCTCTATCAACAGCGGTGTGATCCCACAAGGTAAGGATAATTTCACCATTTTTGGGACCATTGCGCAAGGAGGCACTGGAGACTATGGTTCGTTTCACTCCGCCTCCAGCCTCGGCTTCCTCTTTGACCTCCTTGACCACTATCTTGGTAATCCCGGGTGAATGTGGATTCTGAACTTCGACGATTCGACCTGGGTGCGCGGCAAAGAGTCGGTGAATAGGGTTACTCACGGTCTTCCGTCCCTGGACAACCATCGGCTCTGTGAACAACGTACAGCACCATGGTGCGGAGGATGCTCCTGCTAACGCCCTTAACCAGTCATCCGGCGACAGTTGATGGGCCACTGTGTCTGACCAGGAATATCTCACAACGGCGCCATCTTCCTGTTGCTCAATCACTAGGCCATTCATCTCTAGCTGGCCCAGATCTGCAGTGGCTGGATTCGCGGTAGCCGGAACGTGTGAGAGATTTCCCGAGTATCGATCCTCTAAGATCCTCATCGCATGAAAATTATGGATGCCATCCAGGATGCTCTTGACGGGCTCATCCACCTTCACTGTATGTTGTGCCGCCACGGGTCCATGGAGAATGCATACACGACCCACATCCTGGCCAGGAACAGCCTCTATGCGCTCCGACTGCCACAATGAATCTTTCTTGAACCAGTATTCCAGATCTTCGTCCAACGCCACGATGTACGGTACTGGCTTCTGTCCCCGTCGACGAGAAAGTAAAACCACGTACTCTGCATCCGCTGCGGTGATAACATCGATAGTTGCGCGTGGATACTGGGCGAGCAGATCCGACTGAAGTTGGAAAGGTTGATCAAGCTGGGAGATATTGTGCAGGACTGCGCCGTTCTTCTGGTCCTTCGTGCTCCTACCCGCGCGTGACCGGCCTAGTCTTTCTTCCAACCTCTGCGTAAAATCCCAGACCAGTGTACGAAAGGATGGATCAATCCATTCATGCGACTGTTTCAGATACAACAAGGCCACCATGCGCTGCCACACTTCGGCATAGGTCATCTGGTGGAGATCGACCACCTCACCGCTTGCGTTGCAACCGAACCATACCTTTTGGAAATCCTCGTTAAGACGTTTGGTGTAGTACTCTTTGCGAGCTAGCAGGGCTTGTTTTTGTTTGTCACGCGGTAGGCTAAATATATCTCGATCCAACTCCGCCCAGAGCATCACTCCGCGCGTAGCCAACTTGTGAATCGGTTCCCCCATCTCCGAGCGAACACTCAGAATCCCGCCTGCAGGTCCTTGGTAGATTTGCTCCCACTGGGAGTCCGCAACGCCGGGAGTTTGGCGGATGACCTCTTTTACGGCGGGACTTGTCTGTGCCTCTCGGGCGGCCATTACGCGGCTCCCGAGCAGAATGGCATCAAATGGCATGCGAGGGCGACCAAACTTCTCAGACCACGAGCCAGTGATATACGGATAGGTACCATCAGCGTCTCCAAAACCGCTGCCGGCAACGAGAACTACATTCTGATGGGACCGGATTTGACCATATTGGTCCAGAATGGGCTCATGGAAGTCCTCATACGAATGATGCCCACCACCGCGGCCCCCCGTCCACTGCAGTATGATAGGAAAATTTGGATTAGCTCGTGCAATTGTCAGAACCGCGTCAATGGCTTCCTTCGAACCCGGTTTCAGCGCTATGTGCGTTAGGAGTAGCTCGGCGATATAACCCTGGACAATGGTCGGTGAGGGAACGCCAGCACCGATTGTCAAACCGGTGATAGGGACACCTGAACGACGCATTTCGGCGAGAAGAGGGATCTGCCATGCGATGGCTCGCGGATTGGCATAGATGAGGTTGCAGGTAATACCCCGACCAGGCGCGATCGCCGCTGTGAGGGATTGAATGCCTTGGCGCATACTGTCGGCGTCGGGAAATCCGCCACACGCCAGTTCCGCATGATAACCAGCATTCATGATTGCGGCCACGAACTTGGGGGCCGTTGTCGTTGGGGTCATTCCGGCAACCATGAGCGGTGGAAGACCCAACAGCTGGCTGAACTTGGTGTCAACAAGTAGCGGGGGGTCCCATTGCGACTGGACGAGCAAAGGAGCGTAGTCACGGCTCCATATTGGGTTATATTTGATCGATGTCGCCCGCGCATACAGGACTCCAGCGTAGTCAAGTGATGTACTTGATCCCTTGTGGGCACTTACGATGATGATCCTCAGACCCGTCCCGTCTCGCTGCTGGTTGACCAGGCCGCCAATACTTGCATCGCCACCGGGGCCGAAATCCAGGACATGAGTAAACCCGGGCAGGGCCTTCTGCAAAAGTCTTTCCCACTGTACCTGTCCAGTGCATATCATTTGCACCAATTCTGGGATAAGATTCCGGCTCTTCTGTAGGTTCTCGCCCGTTTCCGTATGAAACACGGGAAACGCGAGATCAGTGCCTTTGAGGGTGAACGAGGCAAGGTCTTGCTGCGATTGCCCCACCGCAGCTTCGAGATATGGCGAGTGAAAAGGAGCTGCAATAGGCAAGAACCGAGTGTGAATCACTGGTTGGCGTTGGCTAAATGGAATGCGCGACTGGCTGGTCGATTGCAAGGCACCACTACGGCTTTGGATCTGGAGCTTCTTTTCGAGCGCTCGCAAGGAGAGCGGGAATCCTGCAATGGCGAATTGTTGCGGTCCATTCACGAGGGCGAGATGAACTGCCTGAGATGCGGGAAGATGGGAGTTGAGCTCGTCAATATGGCTCTGTACCATGTGCTGGGAAATTCCCCTGACACTGAGCATATATGACGAGGGTGACGGAACTGGTCCAGACGATGGCATGGAGAGAGGAATATTCTGCTGGCATCTAGCACCGATCCAAAATAGAACCTCGCAACTCTGCTGGGCAGCGATGTGAAAATTGTCCCACGAATCGGAGGTGGCAATAAATGCTGCCACGACCACCCCCTGGGAGTGACCTGCCGCGCCTGAGAAACACTGACGAAGTTCCCCCGGCGAGAGGCCCAGGTTGATACACGCAGTCGCATACTGTAAAAGCTGAGAGAATCCAATGAGAGGAAGGCTGACTGCGGCCGTCGTCAGATAGTCAACACCGGGACGTGATTCCGGGCTGTTGAGCCATGCCTCCACGTCCAGTCCATGTAGAAAGAGTCCCTTGACCCGATCATCCGCCGCGAGACGGATTAGTGTGTCAGACATACGACGCACCAGAGTTCCCACGTGGTACCGGTAGATGCTATAGGCCTCGAGGAGCTCGTCGAAATAGCTATCCACACCTTGTCCATCGAACAGGGCGAACGGTCTGGCATGGCCGCGCTGCACTTCCGTGAAAAATTGGCTCATTCCGGTTAAACAGCTGTCCTTGTTTAACGCGCATGCTTTGAAGTATATGCGCAGAATGTGTTGATCTTGGGACTTGGTCCCCTCCATCGACGCCAGGACCGTGTTGATATTCTCATCCTGGAGGATATTTGCTTGGACGAAGCTCAAGACTTCCTTGAGAATGGCCAAGTCAATGGACGAATTCTGGGAACCGTCATGCATACCGTCCATGATGTACTCCATAAATGACGAACATAGTTCTAGACGAGAAGACGATGTGTCAGCATCTCGTATGGACGTGTTCAATGACTTGGAAAACAGCTCTTTCAACTCCCAACAACGTTGGGACATTTCATAGGGAACAGGAATGGAGCATTGGACGGTAGCATCCTCAAGCAATATCTGATATCTAGAGAGAGACCGCTGGTGTACTCCTTCCCACGGTGTGACAGAATATGATGATGATGCTTGAGAGCCTAAGGCTGACCATGGACTCTCCATGGCTTTCAACAATAGCAAGAATTGATTTGAGATACTACTCTATTCACAGATAACCACAGCAAACCATGTAGCTCTCAGAATCATAGATGATGCATAGGGGGCGTACCTCAGTCTATGCTAAAGCTTTTTCAAGGAAGGGGCTTTCTTCACAAAGTCGGCATCGGCAAAATTCCGAGTTATTTGCAAGGAGCAATATCCAACAGCATCCGCTTCAAGCTTACGTTCCTTCCAGCTCCAGTTAACTTGGTACAGTGCTCTGCTTTCTCGAATAATTCAGGGCTCGTTTGCCTAGTATCTATCCTGCAAGGCAGGGGTAACATTACAGTACTTCTAGTGAACCATACCGTATCAGTGTTTGCCATCTAACGTCTAGTATGTCTCCGTACTGTATCACAACATCTAGTGTCTTACCAGTTGGAACAGAGATACGGAACATCTGTCTTGTAAACCTGCTTGTATTGTCTGGCCGTAATATTTCTAACTGCCTAGAGTAAATTACAGACGACGTTAGGACCATGCCTAAAGCTCTAACTGTTCCCCACTAACCCCGCACCGTCTCCGGAGGAATCGCTGTCGCCGGCGGGCCGACAGGATCTTGATCTAACCTTTTAATCAGCAACGTTCTCCACCCCAATAGTATCGACCGTGCAATCGGAATATATTCTCAACAATGAGAGACCGTTGGGTTTGAGGTAGCCAAGGGCTCCGATTAATTATTACGTATTATTTCGTATGCGGATCTCTCAGTCAGACCGTTTCTGAATTCTGATTAGGCGTAGTCCCCAAGACATTATACGTACTAGGATCCTTGCCCCTTTTGTGGATTGCCGGTATGAACCGGATGAAGTAATTGACATGTAACCGAATCAAAGAAGCCTGGTTGGTCTGGTGGCAAAAGCAGAGGAGCTGGTGATTTCGAAGTCAACTGGAATAGGGACACCCGGGTAGGGGATGGGCTCAGTCGGGAGCAAGGGGAGAAAAAGGAAAAGTGTACCAGTCTTCCAAGAACTGTAATAAGACATCTATTATGGAACTATATCTAGACTATCTAAAGACAGAAGAAACTAGAAGGGCCAATCCACTCTTCTACTGCATGGCGCTCGCCTCGTAGTACCCACGAAACTGGCTGGGAGGATCTCTGGCCAGTAAGTCAGCCGGTGCACCGACCTCGATCACCTCTCCTTCCGAAATAACGGCCACCCGGTCCGCATCGAGAATCGTGGAAATCCGATGTGCGATGGTAATGATGGTGCGCGACATGAAGTGCTCCCGAATGATCCGCTGCACCAAGCGATCTGTTTCCCAATCCACGCTTGCTGTGACTTCGTCCAGAATCAGGATCGATCCGGCACGCACCATCGCCCGTGCAAGACACAGGAGCTGCTTCTGTCCAACACTGAAGAGGTCATCGGAAAGGGGGACGCTGATCCCTCCATGGGTCTTCACTGTGTCCCAGAGGTTTACCTCCCGGAGTGCCTGCTCAATAGTCTCGTCTGGAGCGGCACTGGACGGGTCGATGTTCTCCCTGATTGTGCCGGAGATGAGATGAGGGGACTGGGTGACGCAGACAAGACGGGTATACAGAGTCTCTCGAGGGACGGTGTCGATGTCGATCCCATCAATGACGATGGCACCCTCCGAGAGATGTAGGTGACGAAACAGAGCGGAGACAAGGGAAGATTTGCCGCTGTGTATAAAATAAGTAAATGAATCAGTCATGTAAGCTACGGAAAAGTCTCACCTCCCACTTCTCCCACAGAGCGCAATTTTCTCTTCATTCCGAATGACCAGGTTCAAGTTTTTAATCACCGGGTTCGAGGAGCCCTCATACCGGGCCGTCACATTTTGGAACTCAATGTGTCCTCTTTGGGGCCATATAGGGGGAAGATCGCAATGTGAATGCTCCGGCTCATCCGCTGAGACAGTGTCCTTCGCAAACGAGCGAATACGCGCCACCGCCCCGATCGAGATCTCTAGTTGCGTCCAGTTGGACAGCAATGTTTTGATACTGATGCTAAACTGCACGATATTGACCAGGGCAATGCCAAGGGATCCTGCATCGACTTGCCCCTTCATCCGTACGGCAATAGCTACCACAGTGACGGCAATGGACGCCACTACCAAATCAAGAACGAGGTTGAGCCACCGCTGCACGCAAAAGAGCAGATAAAACGGTTTCTGAGAGATATCAAAGGCGTTGCGAATGCGTCGCTCGAATTCATCCTGCCACCCAAAGGCGCGAATGGTGACCAGTCCAGACAGGACTTCGAGGAAACGGGAGAACAGAGGGGCTTTTGCTTCGATGTCCAGGAGTCGGAGCTGGCGGGCAGTGCGAAGGTAGAACTTCTGGACCAGGTAGAAGACCACAAGCAGGGCGGGCATCGCGATCCCGATATATTTGGAAGCTACAGCAATGATGATGAATTGCGCCAGACACATGATGAGCTCTACCATGGTATTGAAAAGTGCCAGAGGCAGTTCCATGTCGGCCAGCTGTAGGTCCTGTGCAAACCGATTAATGATGGTCCCCACGTCCGTGGTGGAGAAAAGCCGTAAGGGTGCATTCAAGACAGTGTTGAGGAGACTACTATGGAATTGGGTCGAGGCTCGTGGAAGCATGTGTTCAGTCAGATGCCTATAATCATTCGTATTTTTATACAAAAAAAGGAAGATGGGGAGGGAGAGATCGCACCATGCAGCTATGGCTAGGGACAGAATTGCGAGGCCAGCCAGTCCAGCGTAAATCCCCAGGTATTGGGAATGGTGAGTGACAGTGTACTCATCATTGCGTTGCAGCCACCATTTCACCACGAATTCTGCACGAGGTCAGTAGTCAATTTCTGTCTGTCATGAAGGCGTTACACATACGTGGCATACTAAGTCCCAGGACAAAAGTACTGCATGCAGCAGCAAAGACAAGCACATTCAAATAGTGAACTGCCTTGATATAGTACTTGTAAACAGTCATGTCACCAGTCCGTCTCTCGTTGCCCTGGCACTGTTCTATCACAGAAGGTGCTCTCGGTTGACTTGGTTCGGCGTCTATGCATGATCCATCGGTGTTCACTGGAGGGTTAGTCGGTGGCATTTCCACTGAAACTTGTTTGGCCATTGCATTCACTTCATGATAAGTTCCTTCATCCACAAGTCGCCCATTGTTATCTAGCACAATAATGTTATCCGCATATGCAATTCGATGCACTGCTAGGGTCAGCTGCGGATTCGGAGAGAAAGATAGCGCGAGTCCTTCTTACCGGCATTCGTAGCCAATATGACTGTCGTCCCTCCATCCGTCAGCAGTCCGTTCTCACCAAACAGACTATGAAAAATGCGCTCCTCTGTTTTTCCATCCAATCCGCTAAAGACGTCGTCGAGAAGGAGGAGCTTGTGTCGCGCATAGATGGCCCGCGCAATTCCCTGGTCACTAGTCAATATCACTTTTCACAATTTTCGGTTCAAGTCGTTTTATCACACACCAGTCGAGCTTTCTGGCCGCCGCTTAGATTCATCCCACTATTGCCGATGACCTCTTGATCCCCGCAAGGAAGAATCTTGAAGTCCTCTCGCAACGAGCAAGCTTCGACCACCTTGTCATACCACAGTTGAACGAAAGGCTCAATTCCAAGAATGTTCTGTCGGATCGTGTCGTTGCTAATCCACGGAGTCTGGCTACAGTAGCTTATCCTAGGAACAGACACCTGGAGTAGTCCTTCGCTACGAATCGTCTCCCCAAGAATCGCATGCAACAGCGTGGTCTTCCCACATGCCACAGGCCCAACTACAAAGTTGATACCGGGAGAATGAATGTCCAATGTGAGATCTTTGATGATAAGAGGACCATTTGGATTCCATCCGGCACTGAAGTGATGCATAGAGACAATAATGTCTCTCTTTTTCTCGCCCCATCCTGGATATGACAACGTGGGCGGTTCCAGCTCTTTCATTCTATCACCGTCGAAGTGGAGCTCCCGTGGGTAGGCTGTAGACTTTGCTAGATATTCACCTATACGTTGCAAGGCTCCAATCGCTGAGACTACGCCGGCAATGGAGTCCAGAATGAGCGCCATCGGGGTCTGCAAAAGAGCCAACAGCGACAAGGAAGTATATGCCTTCTCGTAGTTGAGCACCGCGGATCCATTGCGTATGGCCAAGAGAGTGTACGTAGTGAAGGCCAACAATGGTCCCGAGGCAGCGGTGGTAAAAGCTGAAGATCGCGGTCAGCGACGCTTCTGTATGCTTATTATCCGTTGCACTTACATAGTGTTACGATAAGAACCAACGCTTTCTTAAATGGTCGAGATTCTGAAATTTCCCCTGAGCGTAAGCGTTGGAGTTTTTGAGCCATGGGATGTTGCAATCCACTCAGACGGATTTCTTTCATGTTCCTCAACATCTCCGAAGTCACTTGAACTCTTTTCTGGATGGCTTCCAGCCACCGCCGCTGGCGCGATCCCATGGTGCTTGCCACAACAAGGCCAACCACGCTACATACTGTTGTGTTATAGAATACGACTCAGCAAACTGATGACCTATTTGTTTTACTCCTCGTCCCTTTAGAGAACGGTGTATAAGACTTACTGATGAAGATACCCGCAGGTGCCACCGCTGCGACACCGAGCTGCCGTTGTAACAACCAAAGGGCCAGGCCGACATCGATAGGGCTAGCCCAGATCTCGTGCAAGTACCGCAACCCCGAACTTATACGCTCGATATCCACGCTCATGAGGGTCAATGCAGCTGAGTCCCGCACAGCGGCCACGTCCAGACGCAGAGTCTGACGATACATGAGCGGAACGAGGCTGCTGCGGATCATCGTGATTAGCCGATAAGTTTTGTGCTGGTTGTTCGCTGTTGTGATGGCGAGACCGATATAGATGAGAACTGTCGCCACAATGAGACCGAAGCCGTAATTATTTGTCAATTTTTGATCTGGTTCCGTGATAAAGTTCACCGTTCGAGTCAAGAGGAATGGCTGTGCGAAGGTAAAGCCAGTCAGACATAATCGAGGCAGAACTGCGGCAAAAATGGCCCACCGATGGTGAAAGACCAACAGGGTGATCAGAGCCCAGGGCGATTTGACTTTGACTGTGACGCCAGGGACAAGTCAGATGGCTCAAAAATATTGAAGGGGATAATAACAGACCAGTATCCCATTTTTGAGCAAATCTGTCTCCATCTGCATCATTGTTGACAAGGTCATCGATGGCTGCCAGTTTCTCGACTTCCAAGACCTGTTTGAAGCCGTGAATCAGTAGCGGATTGAGCCACCAAAACAGGCTTCGATTAAAGACATTGGCGGTCGTCTCGCCGGATAATTTTTTCTTAGTATCGGGATGATATCTTCTCGTTTCTCGAGATTCCAGCATGAGCTTCAGGAGATCCGATGCGAGGCCAACCACAAATACAATGAAGAGTGGCCTTGTCTGGACTGCCCATATTGTTCTAGCGCGAACCGCATCCAGAGGGAGAGAAAGGGCCAGAAATAGCGTAAGCAGGGTAGACGGTCTCAGTGATCGGTAATGTTGCCAATACGATATGCTCATCACGGCGATAGAGGTTACTGCACTGAGGACTGCGGCAGCAATTGTTGCACGTGTCTTAGGGACATGGAGCCCTGGCACGACCAGGAGGATGAAGAGAGTGGTCTTAATAATGGTGGAGACCAGATGGGCTAACTAAAAGTGAAGAGCGTAAACGCATTCAGTCCTATCCTCCATTGTCATATGAACAGACTCTCCAGGTTCCTCTCACCAGTTTCCAGTAGAGAAGACCATCCGTAGTGGATCGCTGGGGCTTCTGAGTGACCCGGCAGCACAATTGCATGGGCAAAACCAGTAAGAAAACACTGCAGGGAGCAATGCAAAAGAAGGCTTCTTCGAACAAGAGTGTAAAGTCGAACCCATTGCGACAGTCTGGGGCCACCGTTGGACCAAAGACGTTCTCAACAGCAATGGAGCACATCACCAGGAATCATGGGGAGGCTATAGCCGCCGTTCACCTTTGCGTTTTCTTCTCCTATCTGGTCCTCGGGCTTTTCTTCTTATTCGCACAGATAGACACTATGGTACGAAAGAGGGAAAGGCAAGACGCGATATGTTGCTCCAACTAAATTGCAAGTGAACCAACTGCTCGTCATAGGTCCCAATGAATTCGTAGCATTACTGCGTCGCAAATCGATGAATAATGGAATCCATAATCCTTCCAGTGCGTTAACTCAAAACCAAAGTATGTGAGCGTATGAATTATGTATCCAATAATTTTAGGGCTAGTACTATACAGTACAAAGACGTAGCCGCAGAACAGTTTCATGTTCATCGTCCTGTATGGTAAGAATACATAAACGGTTCCGCGTTCCGCCTGTCAACTATTAACTGAGGTTACATTGATCTAACCGCCGATCAAGAGCCGCAGCTTGACGGAAATCAGATTTCTAAATAAAATTCTACGTTCGTGATACAGTGTATGCTAAATAAATATATGAACAAGATATATGCTTTTGCACAAGATATGAAAATGACAGAGATTAATATTTAATTGGTACATAATTGTAACATAAAATGTAAAGTTAGATTGGATAAGGAAGACCCACCTATCTCAGTACTCGTAATTTTCTATGTGAGAAAGGCGGATATTAAACAAGTTCCTTGTATCGATGGATAAGTAATCCTATAAAACTGGCCTCGTAATTCAGTAGCTTGCACAGGAGGTTTACAGTAAACCCTAGACTATCTATTACTAAATCACATAACTAGTCAGACCAGAAGAAGTACACTAAGTAGACCGACTGATCCATCTGCCAATCCTTCTCCACGCCATAGTACTTATGCACGAAGAATCCAGTAGCCTGGAGGATGGGCCAATCAGTACTCATGTATCGTTCCCTACCCAGGACCGGTCAAATCGCTTGCGGCGGAACATCCGAGTCCCAGTGCAATGATACCTAAAAATAAGGGACCTATGTACCCTGTTGCCGCTGTTAGATATTATTGGCTCCCTTGCCCATTTGCTCAGGCAACCATGCGTCTCAGGGCTACATAATCAAAGTAGCAAATGGTCAGGTCCAGAAATAGAAAAAGGAAATAATTAGAGCGGGCGAGATAGGGAGAGATTCAGTTACAAAAATTGTAATAACAATGCAGTGTTGACAAGAATACCATGATGAACAGTAAAGGACATAGCAACCCAGACCACCCAGTGTCAACGTTAAAGAAGACAGGTTACCTCTTTACCTGCTGTATGCAAGCGTCTCTTGAAAACTCGGGTTTTTAATTCGCCCTTCTCTGATTTATATTTTTTAAACGATCTACATTGTCTATCCGCCGTGATCAAACAGCCCATCGCCCCATCTTCTCTTTCATCTCCTTAACCTAGTTGTGCATTGTAGTTATACGGAGTCAATTCATACCATTTGAGAAGATGCGACGGTCAGTTTCATTACTCTATATACTCCTAGTATCTTCTATTGAAGCCAGTACAACTTCAACCCCAACTGCCGCTCCGCAACAGACAATCCTCCCAAGGGACTATGACCCGCATATCACCATCAACGTCCCAACCATCTCCATTCCCCCCGTCTCGATTCCTCCAGTCTCGATTCCGAGTCTCAGTTTGGACTTACCATCCAACACATGTACGCCCACCATAGCGCCGGATAAGAATGGCTGGGTTCCAGCGTCCGAATGCAACGCGCTGTACCTCTTCTACCCTTCTTTCGGAGCTGCGATCGCGTTTTCCGTCCTTTTCGGTATTATTATGGTGACGCACACTGTTCAGGCGGTAGTCTACAGGGTTGGGTTTGCATGGGTTATCCTGATGGGTGCGACGTGGGAATTTGTGGGATTCGTGAATCGCACGCTGAGTAGCCGAGACCAGCAGAGCACCACGCTAGCGACAATGACCCAACTATTCATCTTGCTATCTCCTTTGTGTACAAGCCCCCTTTCTCTCTATATGCGGTGATTGTATATCGTTTTCGTTGCTGATCAAACTTCGTCCATCAGGGGTTAATGCGTTTGACTACATGGTTCTTGCGCGGATGATCTATTTCTTCATCCCGGATCATCGAATCGGCATCTTCAAGCCCTCGCTCTTGGCCATGATCTTCATTGTCCTTGATCTAGCATCCTTCATCACCCAACTGGTCGGTGGCAGTATGGCTGGAGTTGGCCAACCCGAGGACCAAATCATGAAAGGTATTCACATCTACATGGCGGGGATCGGGATCCAGGAGTTTTTTATCGTGATATTTCTCATTATCGCCATTCTGTTCCATCGCCAAATGCTCTATCTCGATCGCAGGGGAGAGCTGACGGGACTTAAAGCGAAATGGAGACCCCTCCTATATGCACTGTACGCGAGCCTCCTTTTCATCACCGTGCGCATCATCTATAGACTTGTGGAGTTTTCATCGGGCAAGAGCGCCTCGAACCCAATTCCTTATCACGAATGGTACATGTATGCTTTTGATGCCACTCCGATGTTCTTTGCAATTTCAGTTTGGAATCTAGCGCATCCCGGGACTGTCTTACAAGGTCCGGACGCGAAAATGCCGCCCAGCGGTATTCGCAAAATCTTCTGTTTCTGCTGCAGACGACGCAAGCATAAGGGCATGCAAAACATACCTGATGATGAAGCACTGCCACTTCGTGATCGCGCACCGTCACCGTACCGATGAGCTACAATCGCTTCCCGTGTACATACCTTCGCAATCTCTGCGGGAAAGAGGGTAATGATTAATCTACTTCTTTTCCTTCTTTTTTCTGTTGACATGTACACCTGTCGATTTACACTCGTGGTTTCAGTGATTCTTATTCTATTCTTCATGATGGTTTTTATCTGTTACTGTGGATTGTCAGGTACGACAGTAAAATGAAATATGACAAGGTGTTTGCATCGCGCATGGCAATACTAGTGGTCCTTCCTCCTCTTCATGTACATCTAAATTTGGTTCTGAATCATGAAAACAAGCAGATACTGCTTTCAGGTGATTTGAATTGGCACGTTAAGTCTCTGAAGAACAAGCATTCTTTCTCCTTTTCAGATTGGACTGGTTTCTTGAAAAAGTTATAATCAATTAGCTTGATCACTTATAAATTGCAGCGAAGCTCATAAGTCAGTGTAACGCCCAAGAACCGACGAAGCTGTATCCCCGAACTGTGAAGGTAGTGTGTCTAATCCATGAAAGAAGCTCGCAACTTCTAACCCGCGCTGTCTCTGTCTTGCAAAGATCTCCGAGACTCGTTCGACGGCCTCCGGCCCCTGGCTGTGTCTGTCTTCGGCATCTACCTCCACCTCTGTCACGGGGTACAGATCGTTGTGTCCGAGAACACTTTCCGGTCGTACAGTGATCCTTCCATCCTTGAACACATATCGACTAACCGAAGAAGCAAGAATAGCCTTGTTTGGGTTAAAATTCGTCCCCTTCTGACCCTGAGTATGTAGGGACTCCATGACAGCCTTGCCAGTCCCCCCAATCACAAAATAACTCACGATATACAACCATTTCTCATCCCAAGTGAGTACACGTGACCAGATCTCGTATTGCTGAAACGGCTTGATCTCACGTTTGAAGACACAAGATACCCCGCCTAGTGCAACATTCAGGTTCCTTTCCTGTTTTGTTCCTTTGTTGTCCATCGATTTCCCTTTCCCTACTACTTCCATCGAGGTTGATGTGGATGGTGGCTTCCAACGCGGGAACCCCCCGAAGAGATTCAGAAGTAATTGAGCTCGATTGATATCCAGATCAGAGAAGAATGTGCTGTTTGATTTGTGCAGATTATAGTCGCATTCTATTAGGAGGTTTCGGTGCGTAGTAACTAGGTAGGAGAAGAGGCGGGGCACTTGCTCTGTCACAGTTACAAGCTTCCCATTGTCCGACCTTACGTTCCCTGTTGGACTTGTCTTCCTAGCAAGATATTGCATTATCATGCCTTTGAACAGTCGTACCTAGATGGCAAGAAGAGAAGTAAGTACAAAGGCAAATTCCAATAGCAGGGCGTGAAGAGTTCAAAGAGTCTCTTCTGCAGTTTTATCACACAGTACATACATGCCAGAATCCAGGGACCCCTTTCAAGTTAACCACAACTAAGCCAATAATCGTGATAGGGATAACATATTGGGTGCATGATGAACTGATTGAGCTGTTGTCAAGACCAAGCATGCTCAGAACTGACATCTTAATGGAATGGTTGTAATGGTATGAATTAAGAAGCTTGAGTATGCAATATTCAGTTCTGACAATAAGTAAGAGATTTTGAAACTGCAGTTAAATGCTCACTTGCAATGTCTTTGAGGGAACGAATGTAGCGGAGTCCAATGGCTATTGAGACCCCCCGGGCCTTGCCGTTCACAAGATGCCAGTAGCAGATTGTAGTATTAAAATTTTTTTTTTTTTTTTTTTTTTTTTTTTTTTTTTTTTTTTTTTTTTTTTTTTGCTGTTGAATTCAGGCGTATCATAATGCCAAGGGGGTACTTGGAACTAGTATTTAATTGTCAAGTATCTTACTAACACTTGATTACCATTGTATTGGTGATTTCCATTAGGATCTCCATTGTCTGCTAGTATTGAGCCGAAATATTGGTGTTTCAAAACTGCGTTTTACCCATAGTTTGTAGAACCATACCAACAGTGTGATGCTCACTTTGATTGTGGATAAATTTTCATATTGCCCCCAAATTGTGAAGGGGTACTAGATACGCCAAGGCCGTCTCCTGGAGACATTTAATGCTCATTCACGGATTTTTCTTTTAACCCGACAAGGGTACAGCTACCTACCTAGAGTTTTCATTCGAATCTTTTTCCTGTGCTAATAATAGTTCGTATATATGAACATATAAATTATTACTAGGAAGGCTGAATATCGCGCTACTGCCCGGTACCCCAAGTCGCCCAACGGAATATACAGGTGCGGAAGGTCTGTCTTGTCTAGCCCTTGGATTTTGCATCATATCCTTAGATATCAACTTGATCACTGTATGATATTTAAAATTGCAAGGAAATACAGTTCTCAGCCAAGCTACCCCAAATGTTCTTACCTTGTTGATATTTACCGTTCGGGTCGATGTCCATTGGATAACTCCTGGTCGCACTACCTGTAGTCCTTCTCGTTAATGGTAAGCTTACCGGAACCTTTGAATGGTAGCTAAGCCATCCACAATTGCTTTATAGTGCCTGAGCATAAACTAATTCCCCAATTGTAGAACTTCTCCTTTGGTAGCCATGTATCCTCAAGGTATAGGACTAAACAGTGCCCACATACGAGCAGAAGAATTCTTCAAGGTCTTTAACTGAAAGCTAGTAGTTTTCTATTTCAAGGTGGCGAAGAGAAGAGAAAGTAATTGGTAGGGTAAACACCAGCCGATACCTATATGCGATCCTCTACATTACGCTCAATTGCCGTTTCTACAGTAATATTGCCCATTTCGACAGTAGATATATCCTGGCTAGTTGGTCCGTTGCGGGGCCCGAACGCCTGCGTTCGCACTTCGGAACAAGCATCGTTGGAAATCGCACTACCCCTGGGCCAACGCTGAAAGATGTATTCACGATCCCGGGACCGCCCAGAGGAAGTTTGTTTTTTCTGCCCAGCAAACCGTGATTTCCATAGTTTAATGCCGCGCTGCCAGAGCGGCCTAAAGAGGAGTAGTGAAGCACATACAACAGCGAAGTGAAGCTCCAGAAGAGTCCAGATGGATTCAAGGGAACCATGAGCTGTATTGGAATCAGATTATACAAATCTCCGTAAAAGTGTAGGGCCTTACCAGTGAGGTTGGATAAATCATAACGAGTCAACTCTACCAGCCGCAAGAGACTGAAAACACAGGCACTGTTGGAATACATAAATCTAAGGTCACCAAGAGGTTGGGTCAAAGAACCTACAAAAATCCAAGAGAGAAAAGTAGCAGGATTTGGACCTTTTTACGGGTTTCCAAGTGCATTTGTGAGACAACCACAACAGGAGTCAGAAGAAGAATGACATCCTCGCCAAGGGAAAGAGACCCTATGATCAGCAGGAAGGTGTTCTGACCCTTCATACATGAGCCATGGATTTCCTTATCCCAAAAGTACTGTGGTGGCCAACACTGAAAGATGTTTTGAATAAAGCCTGTCGTGCCCCAAGCTATTGTGAAGATAAACAATAACATGGTGATGGTCTTGATGGAGTTGAATGTGCCTATCAGTCTTCGCAGTAGCACGATGATCGATAGTTTTATGAAGAGCTGAGAGAGAGGCCATGAGCTTTGGCCTAGCCAGAAGATCTTGAGCAGCAGCCATCAATATAGTGTATTGAGAATTGACCTGTCCGGGGGGTTAATCCTACCAGTCTCACGCGCCTGCGAGTTCGGGGTGGCAAACTCCCTATATCATCACCAATACCATTGTACGAAGCTTTGTGACGATATATAACAGATTAGACCTAACATATGTAGACAGAATGTTTGCTTTGCATACCCAAGATTATGGTGGTTGTGAGAACGAAGGATAAGAGCAGTCCGACTCCCATCAGCAGATCCTCGCTTCTCAACGTAATCCGCGCGACGTGACGACTCAGTAAGCGAAGAAGGTAAATTATTGTTGCAAATGCCGAACTAACTATGGCGATGACTATCATCACATAGCCCCAATAGGTAAGGCCTGCCATGGCATGTTGGTAATGATCTCCGACGTTCGTAGTCCTCTCAAAGAAAGCAAAATGCTTGAATTGATGTAACTACGAGGTGCTGTATTCGACGAGCCCACAGGTTCAACGAGCCTCACAGGGTTCTTCGGTATTGATCATGATAGCGCCATATGTTTCAACGTTTGTCTATTTGGCAGAGGTCGCATAAGCTGTCGACCTATCCCCAGGGTGGGAATAGGTACCTCTCTTCAACGGCTGGTGCCACCGAAGTAACCTATGGTAAGCTTACGAAACAATAGATAACGATTAGATAATAGACAGTGTTGATGTCACTTTGCTTAACCCATGAAACTCTAAATTGAAGCAAAAATTAAGGGTCGCCCAATAGGACTCAACAACCGCCATTACGTCAGTCCATCCGAACAACGGTTTCAGGACACCTTTGGCCGGGTTGAGATTTAATTCCTGTGCCTAGCGCTCGATCATCCATGGAAGTCTGGTTTTGATTTTTGTGTCTTAGGCAGCTGGTTGTTTCCACTGAACCTAAGAATACCCAACCATGTCGCACACGCAAGCCACCGTCTCCTAGTACGGGGAAACCTTGTCTTCGAGACTGTAACTTGTAAACCGTCCTTTGGCTGTCCGTCAATAGAATTAGGAAGAAAATATGCCGTTACACAAGTTGCTAGTAAAGAAATGTTAACACTGTAGAATACTGCTAGAATTAAGCTAGTCCTTATTGGGACATCATGTGCATAGTCATGGCTGAGACCGTGAAGCCTCTTGATCGAAGCCAGGATGGCCAGAGTCAGTTAAGTCTATACGATGAAGTCGTAGAATACGACATTCAGCCTGAAAGCCCAGGAGCAGCTGGTCCGATAGAGCCGAATCCCCAAAGAGTATCACAGAGCAGTCAGTGGCTTCCGACTGTACAAGAAGAGAACGAATGCTTTGTTTGTCTTAGGAAATCAACGCTAGTATTGCATTCCATCATGCCGCTGGTAATTTCGTTGAGAATATCAACCCAGTGTAGTTGTAATTTCTTCCCAGTTTGAAAGGAGAGCAGTGTAATACTTGACGAAGATCCGCACAAATCATAAGCAAGGTCGCCCGTCACAAAGTCCTGTAAGCTCCCTTCATCAGTCCCACGATAGAATGGCGCAATACTAGAAGCAGCTGATTGTGAGAGTTTCAGAGATCTGAGTGTATTGGATCTGGATATTGTCTCCTGTAAAAGCAGCGGGGGTCCTATGACACAGAGAGTGTCATCCTCAAGAGCACTCACGTGGATTCCACTGCCCTCCTGTCAAATATCTTAGTCTTTGGGATACCACTGATGTAATGAAGATGAGGACAAACCAATTCTGACTTGCACATATCTAACTTTCTTTGAACATCCTCTGCTGACGTTCCATATATGGCGTCTAATATAGGAAGGGATCTATATTACATGATTCTTGGGGGACCTCGCGATAAGTTGGGGCACTTATCTTACTACCCACTTTCACCTTAACTAGTCTCCAGCGGGACAGGACCGGAGCCCAAATATGCAGATACGCAGAGATGCATTGCGAATTGTAAGCTATATTACGATAACTAGCCCACTAGGAAAGCAGGGATCTACAGCATAAGACTAAACTAGGCGATGTCACGTAGGCGTATGTGATCCCTGACACTTGGTAAAACACCAGCAGAGTAAGTCAGAGCGAGAGCCGATTCGCCAGAGCAAAGAGGCGAAAGACTGATCTAATTAGGGTCAGGTACGACCCTTGCAGGGCTCACTGTCGGTTGATTTGTCATCGCAGAACCTTTCTTGCATGGATACCATATGCAAAGGAGTAATAAAGAATTGAACTGACCCTTTAATATCGTTATCTTAATATTTTTCCTTAATGTCGCTCAAAGCCATCATGGAGACCGTTCTAGTCGTCGGAGCAACTGGAAATATCGGCGTATCAGCCGTCACAGCTGCCTTGCGCTCCAAGCGCAACGTCTTGGCCATTGTCCGCAACAAAAATTCAGCGGACAAACTTGTTAAGTATACTGGGTCGTCGAAGGGAATCACTTTCGCCGAAGCCGATGTTCTCTCGGACTCGGGCGTAAAGTGTGTTGTTGATCAAGTTCGAGCCGGCAATCCCGGCTTTCCAGCATGTGTATTCCAGCGGTTAGTTCCCTATAATCCTTACCAGTAAGGCGAGTACACTACAACTCCCCTCCAGGATATCACCACCACCCAACTACGCAACAACTTTAACATCTCCTTCGAAGCCAACTTCTGTAAGCTCTTCCAATCTTGAGGACCCAACACCTTCTGACATAAGTTTCGCAGTCGCTTACCGGGATACCATCGGCTATCTGCTAGAACAGAAGAACCCGGCCAGCACGTGGACGATTTGTACCGGGTCGCAGGGCGACTTGGCAACCCACCCGGTGCCGGCTATGACGCAAGGCGCCTTGTTCCCCTTGACCACCGCCGCCGCCCGTGAGAACGAGTCTACAAACGTTCGTTTCAACGAAATCTACCTTGGGTACCGAGTCGAGGTGGATGAAATCGCCGTGCAGCATGGGACGAAGTCATCGGACTTTGGGAACGTGTACGAGTTGATCCTGGCCAATTCCGAAGTCCGCAGTTCGCGCGTTCGGGTCGATAATCTTGATGATCTCAAGAAGTTGAAGTACCAGAAGAAGTTCTAGTCCTACACTTTATTGGCATGTACGTGGGTGACAAATAGAATTAACAGCCGGGGCTTTTCTACTTCCTTTTAGTTCTGGCTGCTGTTCCCAGCTATATTATGTGTCGAGTGGTAGTAAAGCCATAGACAGAGATCGCCGTCCGTCATAATATTATACTTCTTTACGCTAATGCCTTTCGTTACGTATCATAAGAGGATGTAGGCCAGACGCCGTTTGTGTCCAGCCGTATCCCGTTTAGGGCATTTGTTAATCCGCCGAATGTAAGCACGAGCCAGTAAGAACACCAACGTCCTACCTGCCATCCCCATCTCCAGCGGCTCTTGGCTGCCCTCCGACTGCACTACATAATTACTCCAAGTTGTGAGGCAGCTTGTCGACAATTAGGGCAATATTGATTATTCAGCACCTTTCTCGGTCAAATGTAGTTTTGATGATACAACATCATCAGATCGCGTATGTTTCCTATATGAGTTAGTTTACATTCTTCGTTTGTTTACCTTGCCTTTATAAACGCGAGATGTTTTAGTAGTTTAGTTGAATCAGAAACCTAATTCCATCGAGGATCGATACTTGCCCATACGCCTAATGTTATGGTCGACAGTTATAAGCCCGGTAGCCTGTTTGCTACGGAATTGCTTAATCGAATCTAATCGCCTGATTCAAGTAGAAGCTATTCAGAACTTCCCCCTGCGCTTTATAACCACGTTGAATTAAAGCTACTCACTTATCCGAGAATCCACATTAAAATGGGGATAAACAGCGCTGCCATAAAGGTCTTCATCGTCTTGAAAACGCGAGATGATTGGCGCGCCTGTATAGTCTTATTCAATCCACTGCTAAATCACGCGATGTTTGGGATTATATTAATCCTGACACGCCCGAAGAGGAATTACCGGCAATTCCAGAGGATACAACAGTCAAACCAGAGGTGCTATTCGCAATATTAAAGGACAGTCAGATAATCAAAAGAAGACAGATGAAAAGAGGAAGAAAAACACTTGTCCTATAAAAAAAATATTAATTCAAGAATTGCCCTTATATAATTAAGTCAAAACGACCACCGAGATGGTCACCTGATGTAGAAATTCAGGCAATTCAATAAAATTCTTAATGGTCCAATTCGAGCCTTCAATATGCGTTAAGGATGACGATGGATTCCGCATTAAAAAATAAGAATGCATTAACACAGCAAATCGCGATGTCAATTTAGCATGCAACCTTTGCCTTATCACCTACGAAATAATGTTATTCTCGACACAGGTGCGACAATTCACGTTTGTAATAAGCTATCACGATTTATCAACTTTCAATGCGGAGATCGCGGTATCTTGGGCGCCGGAAGAAATATAATAGAAATAGAAGGCACGGGAACTGTTATTCCTTATCCCAATAAGAACAAACTTGATAACATTGTGTACATGCCAGGATTCCACACCAATGTTTTATCATACGCACGAATGAAGAAAGCAAGTTTTTAATGGGATAATATGCTCAATCAGATTATTTGGCGGGGTGATAAAAGCGTTATTTGTCAATTACAAGTTATCGGAGATCTTATTGTTGTTAAAGATAATCCACCAGATCATGATCAAGCTGCTTACGCAAAAGGTTAGCCAAGCCGTTGAATTTATATGGAGATACAGAGATACATTATCGACAAATGGGTTATTTTAACAACGAAGGAATTCAGCCATTACTGGTCGCAGTCAACGGAGTTGAAGTACATCCACATGCATTTTATATATACATGCCCTCACCAGAGCAGGATTAGAGATGCGATTATTAATTTCACGAATTTCATCAAGAATGGCTGGGATACGACAGTACAGAGACAATAAACACATATTAGGCAATAAGATCACTGATTTCAGGCTTTTGAATAGGATTAGCCATGAGACATTGGTACAAGGACAACCTAAGCAAAATGGTCCTTCAGAACGTGCCGGAGCAATTATTATTCTCGGATCACGAGCTCTTATAACTGAGGCGAAACTGCCACACGAATTATGGCCGGAAGCGATGAGAAGCGCTGTTTATATTATTAATCAATCACCAACACGAATTCTGGAAAACGCTATATAAATTGCTTTATGGCACTCCTCCAGATCTTTTAAGCATGTAGTTTGTGATGGTTTGGTTGTCTCTGCGCTAGTAGAGATAAAACCACTTGACCATATAAAAAGGTACAAGACGACTGATCTTCGATCAGTCGCATCTAGCGCCCTATATAGTATGTTACAGGTTCAGCCTGTGACATAGTTATTTGGTTGTCACGCGTATGTATGTACGAGATCAGGATCTCGTGAAAACACAGAAAATATCTCCACGCGCGTTTATCAGCTATCTCGTGGGATACAAGGCGTCAAATATATGGTATATCTGGCGACCAAAGCAGCGAAAGACTATCAAAGCTAGGGACGTTAACTTTAATGAATGACACGTTAATCCAGAAGACAAGAGGTCAACACAACACACAACATACAATAACAATCCTGAATGGATGAAAATATTCAAGCTATCATAGAATTACACATATATATATGGCAAATACTCACATCTTATTAGCTGAACTTAAGTGGACTATCTTGGTGGCAGTAACCAGGACAACAGGTCCCTTTTTTAGACCTGTGCCTAGTTAGAAACTCCCTGTTCAGACTTCAGAAGCAGCCGAAGCAAAGCTTATTTATCTCCCCTAAGAAGTAAAATATGTCATATTGAGAGCATATACATCCAACACCAAGAATCAGAAACTAGCCAACTGCAAAGAATATTAATGAAGTATGGTGGCAAATTATGGAAAGCTGGAGTGTGATATGAAGGCAGCAGCATAAGGCCCAAGAAACCCGGGAGAAGTTGTTCCAAAAGGCTATAGAACTTTTTGCTGTTCTATAACATCACTGGAGAGCACTAGCAAACTTAAACCATTGATAAAGCAAATTGTTGTGGAATTCAGGGGAAGTGATGCGCAGGGAGCTATTCTGTCAGCTACAGGCCAACTAGTCTAACTAGGAAGTAGATGTCCTTCGGTGGAAACACCAGGAATCACAGTATCTCAACCAACTGAGTCTCTTGCATTCCTACCTGGGTGCTCAACTAACCAAAGGATTGAGGGGTAGAATGGATACATCCGCACCGCCAAGTCGGGCGATTATAGTGTTTCCGTAACACAAATTGAACTTTATAGTCTATGGACCCTAAGTTATAATTCTGTGCAACATTAGAATGTGGAGAATTATATTTTCCGTCCTGATTTTGGAGATCAGCAGTAAAGTTTGCCAAAAATGGAGTGATGGAAACTAATAAACTATGCTTCAGCTGCGGCCGAGCAGGGCATTGTGTTCTGGTTTATTTACGGATCATATTCGGACCTACTGAATATACTCTCAAAGTGATGATCAGATGCGGTCAGAAGATGATTCATTCGTGTCTCCTATCCATGATCTGACTACATACAGAGGTGTCAGCCGCCTGGGCTAACCCGAAAGGGGAAGCGGTGGACGAGATAATCCTCCAAAAAAAATAATCAACGTAATCAAGAAGATCAAATCATTCAAATAAGACCTTTTTACCAATCATACTCTATTTCCTCTTCGGGACTAGCCGAATATCTAACAGATACTATGATTCTCAGGTTTCCACAGAAGACATCTACTTCCTATTTAGGCTAATGGTTGGCCTGTAGCTGATCTACAGGTCCCTGCGCATCACTTGCCCTGAATTCCACAACAATTCTAAAGGCGACGTTGTTAAATACTTGATAGCTTCAAAATTGTACGTTGTGGGATTTTTCGTTGGGGTGGAGACCAATACCTACCGCCGAAGGCGGGATGGGGTTGCTGAATAAGAGACGGTTAGTGAGCCTCACTTTGACTCATTGTCAGTTCAAACAACACCACAACTTTCTCGTTCCATTGTATCTTTGTAATCAGAAACTCGGCATCAGATCTGATCATTATGTGCCCTCCACTTGGAGCAGTCGAAGCAAATCAGTCCACCCCTACAGGTGTCCCGAAATGCATACCAACAGATGATCTCTCCCAAGGCGCCTACAGAATGGCACAATCATATCTACCCCTACCTATCCTGAACCACAGTATCCGTGTCTTCCTTCTCGCAGACTTCCTGGCTCAGCGCGAACAGTCAGAATGGGCTACACCGGCCAGACGCAGTCTATTATTCGTAGCCTGCATCCTGCATGACATCGGATGTGCAACGCAGCTTGACGGCCCACAGCGGTTCGAGGTTGAAGGAGCCGATGCTGCCGCTAATTATCTTCGTCAACATAACATTGTGGAATCAGACATTCACGAAGTCTGGCAGGCAATCGCCCTGCACACCAGTGCAGGAATTGCGGAGCGTATCAGTCCTCTTGCCCGTCTGGTCCGTCAAGCTGTCCTCACCGACTTCGGTAGCCAGTTGGATAAAGAAAGACAAGATGCTCGGTCGAGTGCTGAGGACTCATTTCCACGACTTGGCATTGAAAAGATATTAGGAGATGTTGTCGTTGGTCAAGCGTTGAGGCAGCCTGAAAAAGCACCGCCAGCGTCCTGGCCAGGGATTTTATTACGAGCAAAGAAGGAATCGCCAGAGTGGGATGGTGTGAATAAAGCATTTTGAGAAAGAATGGAACAAGACGCACAGCCTTCATGCCAAGTAATGGTACTTCGAATATAAACCTCTGACCCAGCCTGGTAAACACTAATAATATAAATTACATACACTGTATGCAACATTGTGACCTCATCATTCACGAAGTAGATGGATTCAATAAACACTTTGCCTCGCGATCAAAATCAGCCTTCCACTTGATACCCTCAACCGCAGCAAGTCTCACCATGGCAGCCTCCAGCACAATAAGGCTGGGCCACTGATGTGAACCTGTTTCTTGAACATAAAGGCGACAAAATAACCAACACATGATACCGCATTCAGCACACTCCCTTCAACCCCCATTACCGTGTTATCGAAACTGTAGTCTTTCTAGCTCTCGGCTGCGTTAGGCTGTGCATCACCAACCGCCTGATAGAAGCCAAAAATAACAAGAGTCGTGACCAAATCCTGGACGAGAATTCGGTTTCTGATTTCGCCTGCTACACCGCTGGATACAAAGCTGTGTAGGATATGCGACCCACCGCAGAGGAGGGACATGTATCTAATCTATTTCAACTAGTCAGTAAGAATGGAACTAAGCATGGGACAAGAAATGACGAACCCGTTTCGATATTCAAGACCCAGCAGGGAAGCATCAGATGGAAGTGAGCTGAGTGATGTGAACATGTCGAATGCGATGTTCATGAACTCTATAAACTAACTTCCCGCCAGGGTCTTCATAGCACTGCCAGTGCCCTTGTTGGCCAAGGAAATCGCGAACTTGATAAGGTTGACGACCGTTTTGACTAACCCCACTGAGACGGTGAGAGCCGTGGTGAAGATGTTGAAGTCCAACTTCATCTGCGGAGTAACTGCGACCTCTTTGTTGTCCAGGACTATTCCGTCCAGCAATTTGGCATCGAGGTTCGGGATCTCTGGGGGAACAAAACGGGTGATGAGTTTGGTGAATATGGTGGTTGAGATGGCGATGATGAGGGAAACGGCATCGAAGACAGTGAGATTGTTTTTTGCGATAACCTTGTAAAGCACACGGAAGATGAGGATATTGATCAGCTTGTTGCCAATATCCAAGATCAGCTGGATGACCTTCTGAAGCGTCTCCAGCAGTGCTCCAACTAGCTTATTGATCGTCACAGGCCTGGCCTTGAGGAGGCCTTTTGCCACCCTCAAAGTCAGCCGGATACATCCCAGCGAATTAATGATTTCGTGGGTCCAATCTCAAATAGTCATTACTTCGCTGACATCAACATCGATTTAATTAGCTCATGTTCGGTATAACATGCAGGAGTTTTCACGTTTTTTGTCAACACAGATATTGAGCTCAACCAGTGCCCTATTCAGCCTCTGGGACTACGTCTGCTCTTTGACACATAAACCGGAAATAACAGGCAATGGAGGGTTGAAGGTCTCGTCCCAGAGGGAGAAAAGGCGCGCCATACGATGCTTTACTAGTACCAGTTCAGAAACTATATACTAGAACTGCTTGTGCCACATTTTCTTGATTATGGGCCTAGATTGGAGACAGGCAATATAGTAAGTGCTTGGTTCTTATGATACTCGGCTTCCCATATCCTATTTCACTCCCTACGAGCAATGTAACAGCTTACCCAAACCTTTCGTTATCTTCCTTCACTCTTTCCACAATCTGCATGAGGCCGTTTACCTCCAATACCTCCCGTATCTGTCGTCTTTCATATATGCCTGCTATACACGCAATATAAGAATTGAGGGATATAAATACGTTGAGAATGTATTTCTACCGAGCGCGCCTTTTTACAGCTGATATTACCGAAGTTAATTCTCACTAATCAAGCTTTGAACGAAGGGTACCAAGCCAGGCGTCTGGTAACGTGGGATTGGAGAGGGTAGGGACTCCGTTCCAGGTGGTTTGACAAAGTTGCTAGGTGAATCTATTTTCCCTGGAGGGATTGAAGGTTTAGAAAGGTTCCGGCCAATACAGAAGTTATTCCGAGTTATTATTATTATTAGACTGTTGGGCTCTGGAACATACATCCCTCAAGTCCCCCATGGCGAAAGGAAAGAAATGGTTTATAGATATTAGCGAGCAGGAGTAGGCTTCATCGTGCTATGGAGTTTGGTTAGTAGCACCTTTATTATACTTAACCCGAGGAACGAACGCCCGTTCCTGGCCTGGGGATAGTTGGTCCCGTCGATGCAGATGCCTGCTTGATTAAGATGGCGTAGTCGGTCGCGCTGTGGAAATATTGTTAATTGAGCTCAACCAAAGCGACTCGTCGGCAAGAATGTCTATAGCTAAGACACACCATTGCAACGAAGCCAACATATGCGCTATGTGGTTTGGATTTAATAGATATTAAAGGTTCTTGGATACGGAATCTGCTCCTTTCCAAGGTGTCTCATGAATTTCATTAAAAGTTGTTATATCGTTACTGAGTATTTTCTGTAGTCCTCCAGGAATTTCGATAAGTCTCTGAATTTCATCTAGAATTTCGGTACATCGAGGAGCTAAAATATCAGGACATCTGAACATTCCCCGAGGCTGTTATATTCGGTGACATCAGCGCACAAGGTTCTTTTTCCAGGTGATTGAGCGAGCAGTGAAGCCCGAAGAGTTTTTTAGAGAGTTTTATAATAACAGAATTGTCACGCTGACTATGCTATATTGTACTGTATAACTTGTACACAATTTTATTTAAGTTTGTAGTATCCCTTATACTAAAACTTGGGGTCATTCCCTTGAGGCTTGCAAGCACTAGCACTTTGGTTAGGGAGATGCGATGGCTGTATATATTGCAACCCGCTTATAACACTCCGCGTACTAGATACTTGTGTCACCTCGGCGGGCAGTACAATTGAGAGGAGATGCTTTGCATACACTGCAGCGGTAGCAGCTGCATAGGGCTGCCAGTTTATATTTTTATAAGAGCCGGCGTAATCACATATCCCACGAATCACAACGCAGGGGAAGGAGTTCATCAGGCCTGCAGCTTCCATTTCGAAGCAAAGCACATTGCCGAGCTCGGACCTGAGCCGGTCTCTGGTTGTGGCATTTCTGATGACCTGGTTCCCAGAAGCGATCGTTGCATAGTGAATCTCGACACCTGGAGTTTCTCGCTGCGCCCGTGCTACAAGGCGATTTTTACTGCATGATGATGCACACAAAGGCCCTTCTAAATAAGCATAGATTGGCTCAAAGAGCATATCAGGTCCAGTATTGGCCCGCTGGAATTGTGGTAGTTGGTCAAACGAGGAGAGGTGTTTCGCAACTTTGCCGCGGTGTCGATGGTGGTCTGCGCGGAGTTTGTTAATGGCAGTGAGAAAATAGCAGGTGGTGCATTAAGAAATCCCTTCCGTTTAAACCCCGATGCTGTCGTTGTTCCCGAGTCATACGGCACCACGCCGCCGTGCTCAGGGTGCGATTGACTGACAACACATCCCCTAGCCGTATATCAGCAGAGCTGGGGACGCCAGCCCTATACCTATCATCAACCCAAATCGGATTGGGGGGAATTTAGACTTCATCCTCACAGCGATGGAAGCTGCGAAGTTTCCATGGTGGTCGTAACAAGGTTTAAGGGGCCATCAAGCATGGGGTTCCAGAAAGATTCGAGTTAGCCTTGTCCAGTCTCCCGGAGGTGCAAGCGGCACCAAACACTACGGAACAAATTGAATAGGTATCTTGTCCGTGCTCACCTTAGGTCGCAAGGCTTATCTGAATTCCGGCCTGTGCGGGGAAATGAGATGATCACCTGGCACTATTATATAACGGGTAGTCCCTCCTGCTTGTCCCGTTTGATGTTTACTGCTCTTCCTTCTTGTTTGATTGAAATCGCTGCCAGAATGGAGACAAAATGGTGCAGATTACTATCAACGACTTAAAGAGAGAGGGGACCTCGGAGCTCAGTAGCTTGGCCCTAGGTTTCCCTGCGGAAACGAAATTATATGAGATTCTTCCCTTAAAGGTGAGCTGAACTTGTTAAAGCCGAGCTGGGCATGCTGTGAATGCTAACGCTACCTATGTTTCATCCAGCTCGAATTCCTAAACTATCGGCAAGGGCGCACACAAGGCTATGCACAAGGCTGTGCATAGAGCTCCTTTGCCTATAATTAGCTCCCCCGCTGCCTTCCAGCCTTGCAAAGATAATAACTTACATATGTCCACTATAATACTCGCACCCACACATATGTCTTTTGGATTCAGCATTGGTGATTTCTTGGCAGGTGCGAACCTCGCCTACACACTATACCAGTCACTATCTGAATCGAATGGGGCAAAAGGGCAATACGTTGAAGTTATCAACGAGCTCAGTGTCGTCCACAAAGTTCTCATTCAAGTTGATGAGCTCCGAAGTCAAAACCGATTTGCCCAAGCGACGATGAATTCAATATCGCTGTTAACTAGCGGGATAAATGAGACTATGGCCAGCTTTATAACTACGTTAGACAAATACACAGAGTGCCTTAGAACAGAGGGCTTAGGGAACCGGTTTAAGGATATTATTATGAAGGGAAAATGGGTCCTGAGCATGCCAGATGAGGTAGGTAATCTGGCCAAGATTATCTATAAGAAAGTTAGGAAAGAAGGGGTCCTTAAATTTACTTTTTAAACCCAAGTCCAGAAGCTCCGAAACCTACTTCATACAAACTTGATATCCTTGAACATTCTCGTTCAATTAGCGTGCTACTATAAGTACCGACAGAGCGCTGGATGTCATATTTTATATAAAAACTCAGAACCAAGCCGTCTAACTGGGGTAATATGACAGTACGGGATATAACCCGCAAATCTCAGCAAGCCTTGGCATTAAAGAATTCGAGAACTATGGATCTCCGCTCTGGACCTCGTTTCCAAATATGAGAAAAGAAGCAGCGAGGGCCACCATCTCCGAAAATCCTCGTGAGTACTCCTCCATTTTGCTAATCAGTATATGCTGATATTGGGCAAAGGCTTCGGAAGGGCATCCTCACCACAGACTTTTTTCCGTGTAGGACAGGTATTTATCACCCATATTGAAGCGAAATTGTATCTTCAACGACATAAACCTGGAAATGTGGACTGGGATAATCTTCCTCTTGAGCCGATCTCATTTCTGAAAGAGCGGCATAATGATCAGTTCGAGTAAGGCCGACACCAGCGTTTGGCACAACTAACGAAACCTTTGAATAAAATGTTTCAATATGCCAAACTGAAGAGTGATGGTATGGTTGAATGTAGACCTTGTATCAACACTGGCACAAAAAGTTTGCCTTTCAAGAAGGAGTGTTCTACTGCTAGAGCTGAATGGCTGAAATACCAATGTCGTCGAAAAAAAGCCCTTTAAATTGGCGAAGAACTCGTCAATAGGGTTAAGTTCAGGTGGGAAGGCTGCAAATATGTCAGCTTGACCCATTTTCAGAACACATTTGCTGTATCCGTTCAAAGTAATAGAAAGAGACACAATCTATAAATAGAAGAAATCTGGCTATTGAGAACTTACGGAAGTATACAAGAGGCAACGAAAATCTAAATCTTCAAACAGGAGTCGTCAGTTGACTCTTAAAAGGCATGGGAAAGTAAAACACTGTCCTGCATATACACAGGAAGAATCTGATATCTCTGGTTGCAATAAACTTTGTGGATCCTGAGGCTCGTATTTTACCTAGGGGAACCACCCTGTTCTTCGAAGCCAATATATCTATTAAATCTGGATTCATCTACATAAATAAGGTGGTACGAGGAGAAATATGATATATTATGCCAATATTCATCACAAAAGTCTGCATTTCTCTCTCTTCGCTTTTTATCCGGCTGTCTTCTTTGATCATCCTTTACTATAAAGCGTATCGCTAATGGTGGTTTTTTGGTATATGCATGTCAAACTTGTGCAGTAGAAAAGTTGCACGTCTTGAAGATACAAACCGGGATTTTCGAGTAGACATAACATAGAGCTTCTATAATAGCTGGTGTCACTTCGTGGCCATCCTTTATTGATTAGGGGTGCTTTGATACTACCGTACATGCGCAAATTAGAGCAAATTCTGATAATTTCGCGTTTTCTGCCGCCAGCAGCTGCAGCTATCTGAGATGCATTAAGTTTATCACTGATTATCTTATCATGAATCGTTCGATATATCAATATATCTTTCGCTTGCCTTTAAGGATATGAAATATGGGGTGGGGCATGGAGGTGGCGGACGTATATTTGAGACAGGTATTGTACACACCTATGTATTATTATATACAAAGGCTAACTTAGTACAAGAGGGAGCATAATATGGCGCCCGTCTATTACCTGGGTTTTTGTTTTTTGCCAAACTTTCTCTGCATCTCCCAGGCCTTTCATCCTGTCCGGGGAGAATAATCTAATTGAATGCTACCACCCTTAGAATAGGAAACTGTGGAAACTAATTGCTTGGTCTATTAGCTCTCTGTCTGCATCTTTTTTCACTCATTTTGCTGAGATAACCACATTATTTGTGGCAGTGCTGTAATCCCTGCACGCTCGGCGTCAAGATTTCGGAAGTAATGCCCATCCTGAGGCATTTTCACACACAGCCTCCTTTTCTTTCAGGTTGACCAGGTACTATGCCTTGCTGGGCTGAAAGATGGGTAATAGTGGTAACCCCGTACCTGGATATTTGTTCGCAAGATCGACTAATCCCTACGATACTAACCAGACCGGCTCTTAATTAGTCACACACCACTATGCTGGCAGTTGGAAGAATAGACATGTGGTGAAATGCGCTAATTTACTACTTGGCTGGTGATAAGGGAAATTTGTTGTTAACCAAACAGTTTATCTCGCCATGAGATAATGAATTAATCTCTTTGCAAATATCTATTGACATCGGCGCTTTCTGCTGAGTCCTTCCGTCGTTTGCTCTATTTTGACCGATCAGAATTTCCTGTCAGTGAAATCTATGACCTGCACCTTTTCAAGTACCCCATCGAGGCTCTGAGTAAAACTTTGATGGGCGGGATCATCCCGAACGTAGTAGTCTCGATCTTCATCACTCGCAAATTCAACAATAAATGCATGTGTCATCCCATTCTATTCCGCGTTGCGCCAAAAGGAAATATTAGTCGAGTATTCTCTTTATATAAATTCTGTACACCGCAGAATATAAACAACATCACAAACAGCTCACCTGGATACCTTCTATTGAATTATCCACTCCCCCAAATGATGAACGGATGTATGGCTTCTGAGATGAAGGATGCAAACAACTGTCTTTAAGAGCCAGCATACGGTTACAGACCTAAAAACAAATATTAATAGGGGTTTCAAAGTTGTCTAATATCGTACGTTTAAGATCTATGTTCACAGCGCCAGTATTGGTTGGAGGGGATGCAAAAGAAGGGGTAGGGTTTAACACTTGCATCATCCACAGTGTCAGCGCCGACCCCTGACTTAAACTGGAAGAGAACAATATGTCTGACTGACATATCGAGTCGTTGCTGTGAAGGCGATGTATAAATATGGATATTAAAAATAAAGAATATGCCGCAAAGCAAGATAAGTGCAAGGCACACGACTGGCCTTTGTTGCTGAGAGGGCATGGTAAAGGGTAAGAAGCGCGCTCCTCTGAAAATCATTACGCGGGGTAAGTAGTGACTAGTCGATCGGAATTCGGAAATACTATCTATGGCTGCATGGCACTAGAAGACAAACAATGCAAATATGATTCCTATAAACCAGATGAAAGCAACAAATGTTCAACTACTGCTTGATTTATAAGGCCTTCTTTTGAAGGGGGGGGTCTGAATGTTTACCAAACTCAGGTTAAATAGGATTTTTAGGTGAAGACAGGAATAGATGATAAATATGCGTCTTTGATTGGTGGGTTGTATTAGTAAGGTCCGATTCGAATAGTTAACTATAAAAAAACAGGTTAGGCATTCTCAGATCATGTAGCCTTTCAAGCATTCTGCCAAGTATCTTAATTCTGAAAACTCAATCTTTCCTCCTACCATTTTGTCTCTAGTTCTGCGTCAATTGTACCCCCTGCAATACCACTTGTATCAAGCTGAGCAGAATGCTTAACCCACCGACAATTGACACCAGCCAGAAAGTCCAAAATTGCAGAGTGTCACGCCGATCTCGAATGAGATTACCAATTGAATTTGGCCTGGCATCTTTGAGTTCCTTGGCTATGAGCTCTATTCTTTCATACAGTACAGGAAAGTCACGAGCTGCGAAATAGACGGGTCGGTCTCCGACAATCGAAGTCGAAGCAATCGGGAATTGTTTTCTGGTGCATACCAGTGGGAGCAGAGAGTCGAAAAGAGAACCATGCTTCTCTGAAGGCTTGAAGATTTGGCGGAAGAGTCTTCGAGACTTTGCCGATTGACCAAAAAGAAGACGGTACGATAGCAGGACTTCTCGAAGTAATTGTGATATGTCCTCTTTATCAGCACGAGGGTCTATACCGTATCGTTCAATGCTCGCGAATGAATAAATTAAACCGTTGGACGCGAGCGTATCAAGGCAGAAGGATGGATAACTGAAAAGGGATAAGGTCCTACTGGACTTGTCGTAATCAAGGTGCAGCGCCAAAGCATCTACCCATCTAATATGAACACGCAATAATGTGTGAAGCATATATGCGTTAGTTTCCACTGGGTACAGCGGTAGCCAGGACGAAGCGAGCTTGCTAGTCTCACTTGCGACCTGTGGAACAGTGGAGGACCGGGCTGGCAGGATATTACCGAAAGCTTTCAGTAGCACCGATAAAGGGCGGTCGGAAAGCTCAGCCGGGACTTTATACGTGTCAAACACAAAACCTGACTGTGGTTGGGAAGAGTCTTGGTGAACAGCCAGTTCTTGAATTGAGCAAACATTGAAACCTGCCTGGTACAGCATGGAGCGCCAACCAAGAACGGCGAATATAAGAAGCCTCTGTGGTCCCAGCAAGTCCGATGCGTTATCGAGGATATCAATGTTTTGCAAATGTCTCACAATTTCATCGATAGAAACTCCTTCATTGATTTGCGTGAAGTCTCGAATCGCGTCAAAGAGTTTGTCCAGGCAGAGTCCCGCTAGGAGCGATTCCCCTTGAATACGTAATTCCCTCAGACAATAAGGCAGGTTTTCAAGTTGCTGAGAGAGCCAGACATCATACCAGGACATATCTATCAGAGAATCAAAGACAACATTTTCCTTATATTTCTCCGAAACTTTTCTCGCCCTGTTCAGGTCATATGTAGCGACTAAAACCGTCATGGATTTTGCTCCAGACATCAACCTAGAAGTTCTTTTGCCTGTGGACTTGTTAATAGATCTGATATTCTCAAAGGGAAATTATCCGGTGGTTACTGACCAGCTCTCATAACGATGATAAGCTGAGAGTGTACGTAGTCGCTTTCTGTTGTAGGGTTGGTACCTTATCAGTAAGACTCTGTTATGGTTATTTTGAAGCATTAGTAAACAGGAATAGACGAAGAGCGCTCAAGAGGCTTTATAACTTTCAGCATCAGGCTATGTCCTTAAGCGTTTCAGGTTCAGGTCAGGGAACACTTCAGCGCCTATAGTAACTGATCTGCTGTGGCCATAGGCTTGTCGAATAAGGATATACAGCGGCTAAGAATGTAACCCGATTAATGGGTCCAGATGGCTCGGAACGTGCTCGGGCCGCGAAATGAAACCACGCGCCCAGAGCCCCGCATATTCGATTTGTCACATATCTGTTCAACATTCCATCACTCGCGGGAAATAAGCGTACGGACAGTATTTTGCCATGAACTCAGGCGCAATAGCTAGACCAACACAGCGTAGCTCTCGCAATGAGCGCTATGTCAGCCCCATCTGGCAGGCAGCTATTGACAAGTACTTTGAGGAGCTCAGAAAGGAGGGTGTGAAAGAGTCAGCGATTGATCAGGATCTCTGGAGCATTCACAGCCCCAATGACCTGCTGCAGCAAATCCAAGACCTCGCACCTATGGATACTTCATTATCTGGGAGTTGGATGGGATCCCTACGGAGACTGGAGCCAATACTTCTAAGTCTCAACGATTTCGCTGCTGTTATTACACTAGCTCTAGGAATGAATGGCCAAGTAGCCGCAGTAATATGGGGTTCCATCAGACTTATCTTAAAGGTAGATCGATGACTGATATATTAGCTGCAGCTTGCTGACCGTATCAGTTTGCGCAACCAGTCTCCCCCGAACTCCTAGACATGTTCGAAGAATTAGGGAGAGCCTTACCCAGGTTTCGCCAATATGAGCAGGAACTACCCATGACACATTCCCTCGAGGATGCTTTGCTTAACACGTATACTGAAATCATAATTTTTTGTGCTCATTCAATTGTGTTTTTTCGAAACAATCCGAACATACACAAAAGTCGCCATGCATGGGCAAGATTCAGTAACGAATTCTCGAAAGACATATCAAATCTTCGGCACTACTCCAGGCTTGTGGACGAAAAAGCTGATATGATTCGTTTATCCAGGGAGAGTAAAACAGCAGAAACTGTCGAGGCAATCAAAGACTTGCAGGCTTCTCAGCATATTGAGATGAAACTCCCGTGTTATATGATACCATATGGTCTTAACGTTAAGTTCTTTGGTAGATCTGTGGAAACGGAGGTTTTGAAGAGAAGTCTTCAACCGGAGAGTGATTTTGAGCGCTTGAAAGTCATCGCAGTTTATGGAACAGGAGGCGTTGGAAAGACGCAACTTGCGTTGCATTATGCTAACACCTCCATGGAGTTATATGACGTCGTGATATGGATACCCGCCGAAACGCAAATTAAGGTGACTCAAGCTCTATCCGAATTTGCGAAAAAGCTTGGAATGGGAAAAGCTGAGGCTGGCGAAGATGATTATCCCTCTATACAGCGAGTGAAAGATTGGTTAAATACGTCAAGAAAGACCTTTCTTTTAATATTCGACAACGTTGAGCATCATGATCTTCTTGAACAAATATGGCCAGCCAGCAATAGGGGGTCAATCATTATTACCTGTCGGTCACATTCAGTCGCTTCAAAACGAACGACTGAAGTTATGCATCTCCAATGCTTTTCTGCTCAAACAGGAATGGATGTATTTTATTCCTTGACGGGTCGACAACCATCAAGTGAAGCTGATGCATTAGCAGCAGAGGAATTGTTTCAACTTCTTGGTGGTCTACCTCTCGCCATGGTTCAATTAAGCGAGTTCATGACTGATGGCGAGTTTTCATATTGTGAGCTTTTAAATCTTTTCAAGAAATCGGCCAAACGAATACTCGCAAGGCTAGGAGCACCTATACAATATGAACATACGCTAGGCACGGTTTGGGACGTTTCATTTGAGCGCCTTTCCACTGAATCAAGAACCTTATTGCTTATTCTCACCTTTTTTGACCCCGATCTTATCCCGGAGTCTATCCTCTCAAACAAAAGGGCGGGTATCACTGACCCTGCTTTGCAGTTCTTGTTTGATGATCTTGAGTAGGTAACTACTGCTCCTCTACGAGATAATACATCACTTACCTTAGAAATGTAGTTTTGGGGATGCTATAATCGGTTTAAGTAAAGCCTCACTGGTGAACAGGCTGTCATCCCAGAGAGCCATATCTATCCATCGTCTCGTGCAGTTTACCGTCTTTTCAAGATTGACAGCCAGCGAGGCATCAACTTTCCTGAGCCATGTAATTAGGATGCTGTCCTATAGCTTTCCTAATACATGGAATGAAAGAACGCATCAACAAGGTCATGGGTGGGCCTCGTGGGAAACCTGCAGCATAATACTCCCACATGTCAGCTGGCTTATGAAATTGACGGAAGGGCGACCACTGAACGTAACAAATATGGAGCTTTTTGCTGAGTTAGTTTTCCGCACCGGAACGTCAGTATGATCCTTGTTGTTAAGAAGGGCAATATCCACTAACATAACACAAACAGGTACCTCTGGGAAAAGGAGCAACCCCAGGCTGCGCGATCATTTTTTGAATTTGGTCTTAGGCTTGATATAAGTCATTCTACCAAAAATTCTGCGCAGGCGTACCGTTTATTAGGCCACATTGCATTGGATATGGCGCAGCCAGCAGTTGCATTATCTTCATACGAACAAGCACTGAACATCAGGAAATCGCTTGAAGGACCAAATTCGCCCTCGGTAGCGGATGTATATGACTCAATCGCTTGCAGTTATACAGAGCAAGGGAATGTTGTTGATGCCTTCGAGTACCTTTTAAAGGCGGTTAATATCCATAATGCGAACAACCCGCTGCTTATGGCCAGAACCCAGGCAATATATGCTATGACATACCTCCGAGCAGGGCAACCGGATAAAGCTCTGATCGCACTACAGCACTGTTGGCATCTGCAAGACTTGACAGAAGAGCAGGTTATTCAGTCAAAATATCCTAAACATAGTGGCGATATTATCCTCCTTGCCAGGATCAAGTATGCCCAAGGGTTGAAAGAGGAAGCTCAACAACTTGCCTCAAGAACGATCTCCATTCGTAGAGGGCTTCTGGGAGAAAAGGTCCTCGAGTGGCTGACTCACTCTTTCTAGTGTCTAGAATGTTGGAGGCTGATGATGAGAATGTGTTGGCTGCGAGGCTTTTGGGGGAAATCGTAGAGATGAGCCGAGGCGTACCGGAAATGCAAGGCCATCTCGCCCGGTCATTATGGTTTCTGGCAATAGTAGAGGATAAGATGGGAGAGTCTTCCACGGCGGAACCACTAAAAGCCGAGGCAAAGAATGCACGCAATAAGATCTGTGGAAATGAAGGAATGAATGATATTGGTAACGATTCATTCATGAACTTAGTTCCGTGGATGCTGTGGTGATATAAGCAAGTAGAAAGTTTCCCAAAAATCAAGTAACATATAAGCTCAGTGAAATCCTACCATTCAATCGAGACCGGGGCTTATACTGCTGCCTTTTCCTAATTGATTCGATGTTGAGAAACGAAATGACAGTCGCACCAGCTTCATCAACAGCATATAGTACATCCGAAGTAGCAAAAAACTTCCCAGATGTAGAGCACACCTCTAGTATTAAACTAGTCAGTGGGTGAAATAAGCAAGAAAATAGAATAAAAAAGGCAAAACTGATCAAACTTCAGTTCCGAAAGTAAAACTGCATGTATCAGATGGTTTCTCAAAATCAAAAGGAGACAGGCAAGTTCGTGAGAATACCACACATTCCCATTGGCGCTGCACGGTAAACCCAAGAGCGTAGCTCCCATAGTTTGACACAAGGAAATTGAAATATCGTTCACTGCTATACTTTTAAGCCGATTACCTGGACCAGACCAGCCGAGGAATCTATTGGATCCGCCCCTAGGCATGAAACTCATACTTTGCAAACAGATGACCGGCTCAAATCGATGCATGTAACTAGCAGTCGACTCCATTTGAAAATGACCGCCTCTGTACTAGGCGCACACAGCGGACGATGAAACCTTATAACGGAGAATCGGAGCAAATATTCATCAGTGAAGCCAATCAGCACCGAGCTTTTGCGGATGTGATACATAGTTGACGTATAAAGGAAGTGGAATGGAAAGGACTGATGGCGTTTAACGTGTGCAGTGGAGGTGGAGAGGTCCCCAGGTTTGAGAGAAAAGTGTTATGGGGAGAAATGGAGTAACTGGGATGGTAAGTTAGCTGCAAGGGCCATATCTCCACAGCGGTTACCACGCTCAGTATAAGGATCGACAGCTAGATACGAGGTCCGACGAGTCATGCATATTCTCTCACGTCATACAATCCTTATAATTCGACCTCACACGTTTGAAGAGAAATGAACAGGCCTCGAAAACATTCTCCTAGCGGTATGCCAATCCGAGTACCATGGCTCATCTGGCACACCAACTTCCGTGGCAGAGGCTGGCGACCAACTTTGACCAGAGACGCGTGGCCAGGCACAAAAAACTGCTGGTGCCTCTCAATAAGCCGCAGCAGGGCAAAGAGATCACCTACTTCACCGTTGCGTTCGCCCGTGTCCTGGCTGAGTTTTCCGCCACGGAGCGTCGCAAACATACACGGCCTGCGAAGGTTTATCACAAAAATCCAAGGCGATGATGAGATTGTGAGCGAGAAGGATGTCCAGGACGTGACGCCTATTTCTATAAGATTCGACAGGTCACACGGGACGCTAATATGCTGAGCCCGTGGGCTTGTGAACCCCATTCCCGTTACCACGTCGTCTGACCCATAGTTGTTCGACGAACTAGGCTGGAAATGTTATCTGAACGGAGGAAGAAATCTCTGTCTATAAGGAAGACCTATAGAAAATAAAGAACGCCCCGCGCTCTGCTCAGTGCGGAAAGATGAGGACTGGTGGTATAGTCAACGGGAGACGGCCCGACGTGATAACAATGTGGCTCATCCTGGGCAAAATGGAGACACTGTTCAAGATCGCGCGATACGCGCTGGAGACTGTGAAGCGAATGTGTTCCTAGAATGACATTACGACCACTGCGGGTTAAAGCAGCTAATGCAACGGACCGTCGACTTCTATGTGAGATTGAACGCACTCTACTGCAAGCCAGAGTGGTATGCAGAGGGTGAGGACTTATGGAAATCCTATTTGGGCATAGAGATGCTGGAAAGGGGGCATTTTGCAACCGAGATACTTGAACGCTACCGAGCAATGGCCAACCCTAACGCACCCCGGGAGACCAGGGAATTGCCTCTGCTCATGCAGGTACCTATTATATTCATCCGACAAAAGACTACTGTTCTACCCCTATCTATGGGCAAATGCTCTCGGAGTCAAGGAATTGTCATGCTCTTTGTGGCCCCTAGACCGGGGATATACTTGGGCTGTTCCACAGGGGCGGTTCTTCAGCTATGACACAACAATCGGCCATGGAGGCTGGCTCAGAAGTACTACATGCCCCCCCGCGGATCCCCTGAGACACGGCGGTAGACAGCGTCTGAGGAACTATCTAAAGATTTGCTGGAACTACTCGTGCGCCTGGGCATGTTGATGCAAGAATTAAATACGTGCATTGACTGAACGCAAGTCGGGTCACAATCAATTGCAGACTGGCATCTATTTCAGCTGATAGAATGGGAGAAGTGGTGTATAAAAAAGGTGCTCCATCCGGCTTGCGTGAAGCCGTCGACATGACCAGGTATGGAGACACAATAGAACAGTTCGTATAGGCTATGATGTAAATGGGTGCCATGTTAAACTTTTATAATATCATACAGAACACATTAGGTCATTCTTCCTAACTTATTTTCTTCTTCTTCTTCTTTATTTTCCTTTTTGTCTTTTCGCGGTTCATCATTCAATGTGGTGGCCACCGGGACGTCGGGTCTACCGTATTACATATTCGAAAAAGTAAATACTCCCAGGCTGGGAGGGACTGGTGACTACAAGAAGGCTGTCGCTTGCGCTTGACGGGCCGGCCTTGATGCGTGGTAAGGCCTTCCATATCTTAGTTTTCGCTTAGAAAGATTGTGAATGAAGGCAATGCGTGAGTGGCAATAACTTGAAATTCAGAGACTGAAGCACCCTAACAGGGTTATTTAGCTAATTTTATATTTTTTGACAATTTTCGTAAAATTAAACTTTTTCGCCTATTTCCAGGCTTTCTATATCTTCAAGAGCTGCTTCCATTGACTCCATTTTGGTGCAGTTGTAGAGGTTTGAATTCCTATGTCAAAAAGTCGGTGTAGGCAAAAATCGGGCGTTTGGTTGTCCCGGCCATTTGGTGGTGCCGCTGGTTTCGACACTGGATGCTCCCGCGTCACCTTGATAGGGTTGGCGCCTGATCGACAAGGGAGATCGGCACTGGTATCATAACCTGAACCTGAACTAATACAGTACAAGTCCGGTACATGGTATAATGTCACCTACAGTGGAGCGATGAAATACAACGTATATCGAATCAAAATAAAGGTCTGATTTTCCCTAATTAAGCTGATCAAAGAGCTTTATTTGTATGTATAGGCCACATATTCCAATCAGTAATCTGTTGAATAATCCTGTCTAGGCATATGGGCCGGCTTGGCGGCCAAAAGCACGATAGCTGTTATTTTCCAGTTGACAGGTAACTATAAATGTGATAACCATAACGTACAGCATAACAATACTGATAGAGTAGAGGTATCAAATTTTCAGGTTGGTTCTAGGTTCATGAACTAATAGCAGTCTACCAGCCTTCCAGATGTGTAATGTAGACTTGGGGAAGAATTCCGTGTTGTCCAATACCGATTGACCTATGAAATCATTCATGCCACTTACCAGTTTGGGTGATTGCCCAGAACCCCTCAGTATACTTTCAATGTGTTAGCTTGACACCTAATTCGTATACGTCTGTCACGACTGAACAAGCTATCTCTATCTTGTAATTCTCTAACTAATGTCTCCTATATAACACTCTGCTTCAGTGCAAAATATCTAATATGAGGATCGAATGGCGTGACCACTAGGGCTGTAAATTGCAATTTATATAAAATGCAAATTTACATTCTATTGCATTATATTCTATATAACCAAATATAGATTAGCGGTATTTGTCAGGTTGACACATTGCATGCCCTCCTGATTACTCCTCCGGGTCGGCCATGATTCGTCTCCGACTGATGACAAGTAATGGGATGGTCCATGATAAACAGGACCAATGCGTATCCGCTTCCTAGGAGGATAAGAAATGGAGCAAGGAGTTGATACAGCCTCATACTCTTGGTCTAAGCAACGTCGGCAACTCAGTACTAGGCCTTTGCCGGTCCGAAACCCGACGTTTTTTTTCGAAATTTTTATCTCAGCCTCGGCACGTGTTTTTAGATTTCTAGGAAGTACGGACAATCATGTTTGTTCAGTGTTCCCCCTCTTCTTTCAACTTACCGAGACTAAAGTAAGACTTTATAGATTATGGCGACAGAATCTCCGCATCTTGGCTTCTCGTACTTACTGAGGCCATTAACGCTTTTGGAGAAAATCAAAGTCCGATAGAGCCAGCCAAACCGCACGTATTCCATGTGTGCGAGATCCTAACATGGATGTAATTGGATCTATACATTATCATTGGTATAGACCGCAGCTTGGCAATGTCGGCGACTGCTCCTGGCCGTTATACTACCCCATAATAAGCTTGTCAATACCTGTTCCTATTTCTCCTGGGAATACATTTCGTAGACTGGGATATTGCTGGTAAAGTACTGGATCTTAAATGTTACCCGGCTCGTCTTTAAAATAATAGTCTCATAAATAATAATCGTAATCATAACCCCAATAAAAAAAATAAGAGACAATCGGAACTCTACGGCTGGACCAACATAAAAGTTGTTACCCAAGCTTCCACACAAGAATTCTGGAAGAGGAGCCCAATTTGGGCTCCTCCAAACGACTTACGCATCCAACGAGCTCGATTAATAAGCTCTGAAGAACCAGTAACAATAGATCCAGTAGGCGCTCTAAGCCCCCTGGTGAAACAAAAAGATAGAGTGCTAAAACACATTGCATAGTCCTTCATGCTACCGGCACCCGAAGCTACCGTCTCCCATAGGCGCGCACCGTCAAGATGCATGTGAATTGGAGGTATCAGGCGCTGGGCCCACTGCGAAATTTCGCGTACATCCTTAAGAGCATCACTGTACCGGATAGAGTATTTTCAAGATTAATTATCCTGGTTGGGCAGTCATAAACTTCATCCTGAAGGGTTACGTGCTCCTTAAAGTCTTTGAGAGTCAGATAATGACCTTCTCTAAATTGCTGTTTTATCACTTATCGGAGATTTTCTGTGTAGTAACGTGAGCAGGCAGGGCGGCATTGGATTTATATTAAAAAAGAACAGACCTGCGGGGGGTATATCAGGAATCTCACTAGCATTAGTCCTTTGGGACTAACTCTTTAATGCTAACACAATATATATAAAGAAATTCACATTAATAGCAAATCCGAGTCGGAGTCGGACATCACGAAGTAACCAACATTGCGAATAATAATTAGCTTCTTTTATGGTGGGGGGAAGGACTGAGGTTTTTCGGCCATTTTTGTTTGGTATCGATAAAGTCAACGGCATGAGGCTAACAACCAATTGCATGATGACAACTAATTGTATGAGACCAACAATGAGGTGCAAGTACACAAAATAGGCACATCTATAACACATTTTTAGTTGTTGATTGTTTATTCAAGGAATATAGTAGCCTTGGACGGAAGAAGGAAGAACTTTCTGATCTTGTATTAATAGTACGTAATTCTTTATATGTACACAGACATTTACAGTACTATACTCTCTCTATATATTTATTTTCTTCTAATACTAAAATTCAACTGTATACATTTAACGAGGATTTATAAGTCGAGAATATTTGCTATTATAGGCATCTGGGGACTTGCTGTAGAATAACTGATTCTATACAAGCTCTGTTCACGTCCTTAATGGTATTTTTCTTCTTGTGGGTTCTCCGAGGAATGAAACAAAATCTAGTGCAAGTACAGTCACACACTCGTGATTGACCAAGATCGAAGCAAAGGGCCCATATAAAGAGACTCTGGCTTCGTACGGTAGCTAGCCTGCTATTCTATTTTGTTTACTTTAATAATTGTGCCAGCAAAATCAATATAGACTAGACCGAGTCCAGGGATGCCGGGTGGCTGCGAACCGGCAGAACGCACACACCTTTTTCTCTTAGATATGTCCAACATAAAGCACATTAGATTCTCTATTAACTCCAATTTGGTATCATACATGTGTATTTTATATTAACAGTAAGGGTTTCCACAAATCTTTCGTGTCAAGTTTGAGTGGTAATTAAAATATAATTATATTGGATCACAAGAAATGTGCCACTTTGAATTCACCCGAGGCCAGCAGACCCTAACAGTAAGCACGAACTAGCCAAAAATTTTCTTTTTTCCAGGGGATTATAGGATTGCGGCTAAAATCACCTTATAAGTTACTTAACTTTGTACTGTTAAGCTAGTCTCCAGTTAGAAATACTAGGTTTTATATTGCTATATACACTATATAATTAAAGTAATAATAGCAATATGATATAATTTCTATATATTTCAACCTCTTTCTTAGCAGAAAGTTGGCCTTGTTGTCTCTTGAAATAAAAATTTGCTGGTATATTTGGTGTATCAGAGATGTTCTCTGTTTTATACTACGTTACTAGCGTAATTGTTAGTAGAGGCCGTTCTTGCACCATGGATTTAGACCTGGAATTTAGGATCCACAAGCCCTGCAATGCCGCGCCAGGGAGCAGACGGGATGAAGGTGGGTCTGCCAAGCCGCTGGGAAGCTAAACCATTTTTAGAGGTCATGTAAGGACCCACCTATAAGGGAAATATTTTTGGGTTTAGTGGCTCTTTTCTCTTTTATTCCTCTTACCATCTTTCAAAACATTTTTAAATCTTGGTAACAGTTTTATACCAGTATTTGACTAATCACCATGGAGCTTGTCTTGAATCTACAGGATAGACTCTAACTAAAGTCCC